TTGCCAACTCGTTGTGTTTAGATACTGTTATTCGTAATTCGCAGGTAGAGTATAAATGGCGTTCATTCCTAATTACGCATTCATAACCTAGTCATAAGAGTGTCAAACGTGACCCATGAAAAACTTAAAAGCTGTAATGTTTTGTCATATGACGGTGGTTCTTGTTGGTCGTGCAAATCCTAGTGCAAAGGAAAATCGTAAGAATTAATTGAGTCATGGTTAAATAGAAAATTATTATTACAGTTTATGACACGACTTTAGCAATACAAAGAATGAGTCAGTGATGGCAAATGCAATTTTATAAGTTGGTTCTTTAAAATGGAAAGGGAGAATATTAAATAGAGTGAGAACTATTTTTCCACTCTTTTGGCAAATAATCAATCCCGAGCCGGCTTAATTCATGCACCACAGTTTCTTTCAACTTTTTCTCACAGTCTGCTTTGCTAATAACGAATCTAAACTATTCAAACCATTTTGCTTAAAACCCAGCTATTTATGAACATGCTTAAATAACCCCTCAATTCTACAGTGGAAGTCTTTGAACAGCGATCCAGCATCAACAAAGAATTAGATAACATATTTTCACGACTAAGAATGTTCCGATGAACCTGTGACGAAGCGACAGGAGATATTACTTTTTTTGTTGTTGAGTTAAAGCCTTTTAATAACAGAGTAGTCAAGCTAAAAGAATGCCTTTGACGCGGGATAAGATTTTAATTGCAAGACTAACAATATCCCTGTTAGGCTGTTGAAAACGATGAGTCTTATAGAAGCCATGTTAAAGGATATCATACTTCCAGCAGGGAGAAGGTAAATTTAATTTATATGATGAAAAGATGACGCTACAAATATATAATCCAGGAACAGTTTCTGACGACGTAGCATAAGTACCGTAAGAACGGTTGTTGACGTTGGTAAAAATATGGAGCAGCTGGACAATCATGTAAAACTTAATCTAGCCAAATCAAGCATAACCACTCTCTAGGAGTGGTCATAAAAAAGATCCGTGCAAAGGATGAAGGGTTTGCTAATATAATAATAGACAAGTAAATCTTCCAGTGGTATGTGAAAGGTATGGTTTAAAAAAGATGTAAGGAGAGCCTCTGAAAACCCAGTAGTTAGTGATCAGTTGTAGTCATAATAAAAAATAATTCTTTTTCATATTTTATAAATAATATGTTTTACTTTTAAAATCTGATAATTGTGCAGGATTGGTAAACATGATGTATAAATGGAAGGTCCATTCGAATTTTATCTCACCCCGCAAAAGGGTGAATGAATTGTAAATAGTTGACATAGGTGTTTTAAGCCTGACAGACCGAACTTGGGCCAAACACTTTTGGGGAGTCTTAATAAGATTCCGTATGTGTCCAAAAATTACATATACAGCAACCAGAGATTATTTTCTATCTCGTGTGATCCAACATATACCGAAAGCTCATGAAATTGATCACACCTTACTTGCATTCTGAATAAACAACAGTACTATGGCATCTTTTTTAAAAAAATGAATTTCCTCTCTGCCCGTTATGCTCTACCAGCTCTCATTACCCCGAGCATATGTTCGTCTCTTGTCAGCGTGTTTGGCAGATTTGGAAACGATCCTTCACATATCTATATCCGCAATTACCTGCCTTATATTTACTTAAACCGTCCGAGGTCCTTTCCAGTATATACACGTTCAACTTCCCCAGTCGTAAAATGTTCCATCTTCAAACCACCCCAATTTTTCTTTTTGGCTCTATTCTTGAAGGCATTTGGAAACACTACTGGAGTTTTATTTTTGATTCCACACCTTTTGTCCCGGATCAGGTTGTCTGCACTATCATTGGTATCGCTCACACCTATATCAACCAGCACAACGTGAACTCAACCAATTTTCTTATCATTTAATTGTCTTTATTTAACTTTTGTTCTTCTTCATATTTAACTCATCCCTTATTATATCATTCTACTATCACTGCATACCTCTCATTACGACGTGTGACTTTCATTGAATTAAGATTTATACAAAAAAATAAAAATGAATTGGACCACGGTCAACTGGATCGTGATTGGCAAAACTCTGCATCTTGCTTGTGGGTTCATCAGCAAATATTTGTTTGGATGTATATTGTCGGACGAGATAAAGCAATGATGATAAACTGTGTCGAGCCCTATAGTAGACAGAAATAATGTGATCCCCATTATTTTAATATTTCTGTTTATTGCTGAGTCTTATCAGTATTTATACATGATACGGCGAGTAGGTGTATGCATATACCCAGATGCAGCTTTACGTTGCCTGGTTTTTATTACGAGGGTTACTTTCTCAATCGCTTTGAGATGGTTAACAGAAGATTTGTTGTTAGCTGAACTGAATTCGTTGACACTAGTTTTACAACTGCAATAGTTGTATTGATTTCAGGAAAAAAAAATATAAGACAGAAAAGAGGAAAAGATCGCCCAGGGTTAAAGTTGGGCGTCTGTTACTTTTGTTGCTTTCACGAGGTTTCGTTATAGATTTTTTTAGGGCTCTTTGCTTTTCTCAAAAAAATAGATCCCTCATGCAGAATAAAATAATAAAAGTAAGATAAAGTTTATCCCCGCGCCTTTTTTTTATTCACGTTGCACGGTTGTTCCGGGATATGGGAATACTGAGAGAAAGGGCTCCCACGATGATCCTTCCTTCTACTGACAAATAATGCACAAAAATCACATCATCTTTATCACGAGGATATTGTAAATTTTATTCGTAAAAAACTAAATTATAATTTGGATAGAATTAATTTATCTTCCTCTTGGGCCGCCTCTCTTAAAATACGACGAAGGATTTTTCCTGAAGGGTTTTTGGGAATGACAGGAATAAAGCGTATACTACGCACTTGCTTATAATTAACAACTTGGTCAGCTACGTATTTCATGATCAACTTGCCAATGTCTTCCGAAGCCGTAGTAGGATCTTTTAGTGTTACGTAGGCTCTGGGGATTTCCGTTGCTTGTGCTGCGTCATAAACACCAATCACTGCACAATCTGCTATGATTGGATTTGTAAGCTATTTCCCGTCCACAATAGTTTATCATGTTTAGTTTTATGTTTTTAGAGCATCTTTTTAAAACTTACCAAAATACCCTCAATCTCTGCAGGCGGGACCTGGAACCCTTTATACTTTATCAGCTCCTTCTTTCGATCAACAACGTAAAAGTGTTCGTCCTTGTCAAGTAAGACAATATCACCCGTATGAAAGTATCCTTCATTGTCGATACAATCAGCTGTAGCTTCGGGGTTGTTAAGATATCCCTTTACAATACATTACAATTAAAACCCTATCATTGATTTATGATATAATGGAGGCTTAAACTTACTTTCATAACGTTGGGTCCCTTTAACCATAGCTCTCCTCTCTCGCCCTGCTTTGTGACCTCTAATTAAAAAGGTACCGTATAAATATTCCCCGGTTGTCATAGCTGTTTATCGTTAATCCTCTTACCTTTCCCATCTTCATCTATAATTTTAGCCACCATATTTGATAGAAGCAAACCAGTCGATCCATCAATTGTTTTATCGATAGGTTCAATAACAGCCAAGGGTGATGTTTCAGTAAGTCCATAGCCTTGTCGGATCAATAGATTAGGAAGTCGTGTCATTGTTTCTCTTCCCAACTCTGCACTTAATGGAGCAGCACCACAGATCGCCAACCTTAAAGAAGACAGATCGTAATTAGAAACGAGCTCATGCTTTGCCAACAAAAGACAGATAGGAGGCACTACAGTTGCAAAGGTAATCCTGTGCTTTTGAATGGTGTCACAAAAACTGACAAGTTCAAAACCCGGTAAGATGTAGAGTGGAAGTCCGAGATAGAGTGCACAGTTCAGATTGACAGTTAGACCAAAAGCGTGAAAGAGAGGTAATATACCAATCATACGATCGACAGTTGGATCGATTGCGTGCTTGTCGAGCTCCAAGTATTGTGCAACATTGCTAGTCAAATTTGTATGTCTATTTATGGGCATATATTTAGTAATTTTGTTTGTTTGTTGAAAGTAATGCTTGGTAATGCTTTACGTGGTCATGACCCCTTTACTTCTACCGCTAGTACCCGATGAGAAACAAAGCAAAGCAACTCGCTCTTTTGCTTGTTCGAACGAAAGCTCTTCTAAAACTGCTTCTCGGTGTCCGAGCAAAGCCGCTTCAAAAGGTCGAACACCTTGAACGACCTCATTTCCGAACACAAAAAAATTAGATTTTTGAATACCCGCACGAAGTCCAGCTATCAATGCGGTTTTGAGATTGGAGGCATGACAGATTAAAACTTTAGCTTTGGTTTGGTCTAACTGATAGTACAGTTCTTCCACGCTATAATTGGGGTTAGCAGTAGTGGTAATACCGCCTGAGACAAGTATTAGATAACATTGGACGAGTATTGAAATAGTAGGAACTTACTTGCGGCAATGGCACCAAATAAGGGAATAGAGTAGTTATACTATTGTAGGGTAGATGTAAGGACTACTTGCGATTATAGCAATATAAAAAACTTACCTCGTTAGGAGAGTAAAGAGCCATTACATCGCCTTTTCGGAAGTCACAGATATCTTGTAATCCAGCTCCAAACTGAAGTACCTTTTTTTTTATTTGAGCAAATGTGAGTGAACGACTTGTGTCCAGAGCATCGATTAAAAGGGCTCGATCATTTGGAATGTCGCTGCCAAACAGGAATTGTAAAAGTCCAGTTTTTGGTTCAACAATATTTGGAAGTTTTGATAAATACACCATTTGAATTGATCAAAAAAAAAAAAAGGAATGAAGAGAAAACGAAAATAACAAAAATCGGTGTTTCTTATATGTAGAACGCACAATTTTGTCACACCCCCTTATTATGCAACCATGCCGATGGGAAAAAAAATCATATTTTGATGTGTCATACACTTCTTCTCAAAGCGCCTTTTTAGTCCTAAACAAGGTTTAAACACTTAAATTATGACATTCGTGTTTAGTTTACCCGTATTATTTTCATGTTTTTCTTTGGAGCTCTGAAGCAAAATATGGACAAAAGTAGATTTGAGAAGGTCAAAGCCCATTCCAAACATAAATATAATGCACTGCACATAAAAAGCCACACCTCCCTTGTCGTTGCTTTGCCAAGTCCAGATTATCTATTTTTTTTTTTTTTACAGGGTTAGTAGTAAATTTAGATCTTCATACTATTTTGACACCTTGGGCTGATTGAGTTCAAAAAGTTGGCGAGTTTTAATGCTAACGAACATTATGAAAATCTTATCGACCACCAATTAACATTTAGCCAAAGTTGTAGGCCAGACATACAATTATCAAAATAGTGAATATAAGAAATCTCTGGAATTGATAGATAATATGTGCTGCCTTCGTTGTTGATTTAAGCTATCAAAAACGCTTTACCAAGAACCCACAGTTTCAAAAAGACAGTATACAGAAATTGATGAGGTGCGTCCAATGGAGGAGGTTCAATTATGCTGAGGCAGACAGCAAATTTAGACATGATCAAAGTTATTCAATGATAGATCTGCCCACACCCACCTTTAGACGATACAGGGCGTATGTCTAGAATAAGCTGGAGCTTATCATGGATCGTCTGTTGGCGGAGGAAGAAGAAACCTGTCGGCAATCCATCGAAAACGGGAGAAGATGATCAACACTCTTTGGTCGATGAAGATGAGCGGGTGTTGGTGGAAGATAAAAAATAGTTGAGATGAATATAAATTAGTTTTTTTTTTTTTTTACAAAAATATTTTATTTGGGTCTATTTAAAGATAGAAATAGGTTGAAGAGATTTACATATCACCCCGCCTATGCTATAAATGTTCAATTTAATCAAATTGCCTTTGGAAAGCTCTACAATGTAACACATTAAAATCAAAGTAAATGTAATTATCTACCTTTTCAGGGCTTACCTTTCTTTTTTAAGATTGAGGGTCAGGCAGGATTTTGACTAGAGTAGCATATTTTTGCTGTAATTTTTAAAAAAAAAGACTTCGTCTTACTCTGAACCGTCTACAAAAGACATTGTCCGATTAAACGTTAAGTGATCTCTCATAAGTTTTTTACATCCTTCATCACGTCCATCGGTACGTCCTTCACCACGTTTTCTTGAGACAACTTTACTTTTCTGGGAAGGGAGACTCTACTCGAAGCAGCTTTACGTTTTTTGGCAGGAAGACTTCGCTCTTTTTGTTGTTCTTTTCGTTGTTTTTTCAATACCATAATAAAAGCTTTCATAACAATAGCATACTCAATATAATCATCTACAGGGTCATTGCCAAACAATCTTTCGATAGTCTCCAATGTACTCATTGTGTGATCAAAAGTTACCAAAGTGAACGAAAAAAAAACACGACATTTTAAAAATTAACAAACAGCTGGGAATGCTCTTATAAATTATGATTGGCTGATTTTTTATCCCAAAATACGACCTACAGTGCTTCCACTGCCATTTGGACATTTTTTTTGGAATCGTTTGGTCATTTGTTTTTTTTCATATCTTGGTCCCCTTTATCTAACAGATAGTTATCAATAGATTATTAACAGTGAGTAAGGTCTATATTGTGTAGACTGGAATAGGCAAAAAGGGAGGAAAACGATTGTCAATAGGTTTTTACTTTAAAATAAGTTTGAGTAGTCGGTCTTTGAAGGTTAGATCAGAAAGAGAGAAATAGGGTTTAGAGTACTTTAATCCTCAGATTATTATTTCAGTTTAAGATAATCGTTTATTGATAAGAATTGGAAGAGTATTTATATTATTTTGATATTTATGAATTAGTAATCGAATAGTACTTTGCCAAGATACTTAGTATATATATAGTGAATATATGAACTAGTGTATAGTATAAGGCAAAGTGTGTTAACTAAAGATCTGTATTATTCTGGTTGGTCAACCATGAAAGTATTTTCAATGTCCGAGTCTGAACTCACGACAACTTTATTGTTACTGTGTCTGAATTACAAAGAGACTTTTCCAAAAAGAGGATGAAGATGTGAATTCAAAAGAACTAAGGTACATATGTAAAATTACCGGTTGTTTGTTTTTTGGGAATTAGTCAGTTGTGTAAAAGATGGCTTAAAGTGTCAGCATTTCTCGAACGTATCGTTTGCATGAGTCTTTTTATTGGGCTTCTAAAACGGAAAATCCATTGACATTCATCGTTGATCTTTTTTACAAATTCTTTAAATAATAACAATTACACAACTTGTCATAAAAACAACAGCAAATACATTTTTATTGTTCATCGTTGCTTAAATCTTCCAAATCAAAATCAGTTGTCGCAAGGGTCTGACTGCGGCGACGTCGAGATGGTGTCAAATATATATTGGGCGAGCTGTCGATATCTGCAGATACAGATGTCCTAAGGACGGAAGAAAAGAACACCTCTGGTTCACATTAACGAAGCGCTGGCAACATGATCTCCTTCAGGCTTAAATGATGGTCACGCCAAGCATACAGGCAATTCAGTGTTTCTTCAAAAGATAGCAGTTCTTCAAGATAGCTGGGCATCAACAAAGTAGAAATTGACTTGGCTGGACGGAAGAAAAGAACACCTCTGGTTCACATTAACGAAGCGCTGGCAACATGGTCTCCTTCAGGCTTAAATGATGGTCACGCCAAGCATACAGGCAATTCAGTGTTTCTTCAAAAGATAGCAGTTCTTCAAGATAGCTGGGCATCAACAAAGTAGAAATTGACTTGGCTACATATATATCTTTTACTTGTTTTATGGCAAACATATACCCCATAGAACCTGTCCATTCCATCCCAACTGTAAACACAAGATCACTATCTGCTTCATTAAAAGGTAAGCGCAAGAGGTAGGTCAAGATAGCCTTATTCATTCTGATATTTTTGGACTGCTGTTGTAAGCACTTGGAAGGTGATGTTTTGACTCGCTTCCATTCGCTAGTAGACAACTCCAGGTTCTTTGTTGCGAGTATCAAGTCTATGCGTCTGCCAAAGCCATTACTTAGAGGTATATTAGAACCATACATTTTTTCCTGGGTTTTTGCAATTGATTTCGATGCTTTGCATGTGCTTTCACCATCTAACATGTTCAGCATGGTGTCATCCAGAATTTCATCGAGGATTTTAGCAAGCTTTCGATATGTTGGCTAAACACTGTCTGTCTGACTCAGCCATTCTCCCTAATAATATAGATAGTTAATTGACAACATATCAGAAGTTTGATAAAATCCTCGATGAAATTCTGGATGACACCATGCTGGACATGTTAGATGGTGAAAGTACATGTAAAGCATCGAAATCAATCGCAAAAACCCAGGAAAAAATGTATGGCTCCAATATACCTCTAAGTAGTGGCTTTGGCCGACGTATAGACTTGATACTTGCAACAAAGAACCTGGAATTGTCTACTAGCGAATGGAAGCGAGCTAAAACATCACCTTCCAAGTGCTTACAACAGCAGTCCAAAAATATCAGAATGAATAAGGCTATCTTGGCCTACCTCTTGCGCTAACCTTTTAATGAAGCAGATAGTGATCGTGTGTTTACAGTTGGGATGGAATGGACAGGTTCTATGGGGTATATGTTTGCCATAAAACAAGTAAAAGATATATATGTAGCCAAGTCAATTTCTACTTTGTTGATGCCCAGCTATCTTGAAGAACTGCTATCTTTTGAAGAAACACTGAATTGCCTGTATGCTTGGCGTGACCATCATTTAAGCCTGAAGGAGACCATGTTGCCAGCACTTCGTAAATGTAATATGGAAAAAAAAGGAAGATATTTAAAATTAAAATGATCAATTGAAGTTCAAAAAAAAATGATTAATTAAAGTTCAAGCGAATGACCAAGTGATTCTAAAAAATGTGATCAATTGGTTTCTAAATTCCGACCAATGATTTCAAAAAAATATCCAAATGGCGGTGGAAGCACTGTATTTACAAATGCGGGCCATTCAGGTTTGATTGTACATGATTGAACAAAACGATAAAAAGCCCATTTTTGATGAATTAGATTAAATAGCTTCGCGCTGATGTATGGTTAACTTTTAAATTCATGTCATATATAGAGATTCTTAGCTCAAGTTTTACGTTTTAGTTCCTGAGTTAAGACATGTTGACGATAAGCTGTTTTTCCAAGCCGATTTAACCATAGATAAAAAAAAAATGCTTTTTTTATATTCATTCAACATGGAACGATTCGTTTTTACATCAATTTGTAGGTTATAAAGATGTTTCCTGCTTCCAGATCATGCTTTATATTGAGATTTTTATCCAACTAGGGGCTGAATACAGTTTGCCCATGAAACTCATTACACATCACTGGTCTGCTTCCCTGCTGGACGACTGTTAGATGTCCCGCCTATTCCACTATAAACCTTAGAATGCTGTTTAATTGTCAAGAACTTGTTGTATCAATATCTTAGAATGATGAAGTCGCATTATCGAGGGTATTTCTTCAGTTCCCGTCTTTTCCTATTTAAATTTCACCTGTCTAATTCTTCTTGTTCAATTTTCGTAGGTATAATCGAAGAAAACTCTCATAAATAACCCTCTATAATTCGTCTTTCCCTTTATTTTTACTCTTAGGAGTTTGTTTAATTTTGGTGCTACCTCTAGCCAGCATTCCGGATTTTGAACATTGAAAAAATACCATGGCAACATTAACAGCTGTTGTTGGGAGGTTCCATCTTTACACAGACTTGGATGAAAAGTATAAAAAGTACAATCACAGTGCATGTCTTCTCTTAACTCATTTCAAGTAATTACGGTCATGTGTAAAGTAAGAAAAAGAAAGAGACCAAAATTAAAATGGTTATTTTTTGCATTTAGTCACAAATCGGGATTGAATTTAATTTATCACTCTTTCTTTCACTTTTCTCTCTTAAGAAATTGAAATGCTGCTTGCACAAACATTATCGACTGGTAAAAAAAAAAATAAAAAAATTTATTGTTGCATATCATTGCTGTGCATTGAACTTTTTTTTTCTTAAATAAGATGCACAGCTTCGTCAAAATGGTGCTCATGAATTAATTCGGTTAAATAAAATGAATTATGTAAGGAAACGAAAATCACTTTTATATAATTGTCACTGATCCTTTTAAAAATATAATTATAGTCAAGTTGTTCTACTGAACTGTTTGATTTACTCACTTCAGAAAAAATGGATGATAATTTACGAGTGGCAGCCGGTATCCATTTAAAAAATACACTCTCCACATCGGCATGGTCCCTTACTTACCATGAGACAAAAGTTACCATGAGAACAAAAGTAAGTGATTAAATATACTTTTTTTTTTATGCATAACTCAACAAATTACAGCTTCTTTTATTACTGGATACGAAAAACAGGAATGTTGCCAACGTCGTGAGCCAGGTCTGGTAATCATATAAAATTACTCACTTTCTTTTTGCTTATCTCTCTCTCTTTTTTTTTTTTTTTTTTTTTTTTTTTTTTTTTTTTTTTTGTATATAGGTGATAGCCGTCATAGCCATAATAGACCTTCCAAAAGGTCACTGGAAAGACTTGATTGATAATTTGGTCAACAATGTCATTCATCCTTCTTCCTCCTATGACTTGAAACAATACACCCTTCAAACGATCGGCTACATTTGCGAGTCACTGGTAAGCCTATAAAAAAAAGTGCTGCACAGGCCATGAGCTAAAAATAGGTGCACATTTAGGATCCAAACATGCTATCTGTCAATCAATGCAACTCTATTTTGACCGCCATTGTGGACGGTGCTCGTCGAGAGCAACGAGTGTAACATAATCATGAGAAACTTTATAACTTGAATAAAAGAGACTAACATATACATCATATAGTCCAGAGGTTCAACTTGCAGCCATTAGGGCCTTATATAATTCGCTTGAGTTTACACAAAGAAATTTCGAAAAATCAGTAAAGTATTACAATGGTGGAAAACAAAGGGGAATGGTATAAAATTGATATCAACCTAACTTTTTTTTTTATTGTTAGAGAGAACGAAATTTTATAATGAATGTGCTGTGTGATGGTGCTACACCAAGTATGCATTCGAGCGTGGATTTACAAGTGAGTTCGTATGAATGTTTGAATCGCATCATGCAATTATATTATGACACAATGGACGATGGTATGTGTAGTTCTTTGTTCAATGTAAGTGGATGTATTTGTGTGCGAATTTTTATATAAAGCTCACGCTTGTTTTAATCATTTAGCTGACAGTCTTTGGCATGATTCGGTCGGATGAAGAAATTACCTTACAAGCAATTGAATTCTGGTGCACAGTTGCTGAGATGGAAATTAATTTAAATCAACAAGTAAAATACATGCATTGAATGCATAAAAAAAATGCTTAAGCTCAATTTTCTATTTACATTATAGAAATCCAAACACCATTCATATTGTAACCAAGCTGTAAAATACATTTTACCGAGTCTATTCAAGTTGGTAGTAAAGAAAAAATCTTTCAAATATGACGATGACCTTAGCCAGGAGAGAAACATACCAAATGCTTCGTCCCATTGTTTGACTTTATTAGCACAGTGTTGTCGAGAACTCGTGATACCACAAACCATAGAGTTTATTACCGACAATCTTTTTACAGCGACTAGTGATTGGAACCAACGTGAAGCAGCTATCATTGCTTTTGGATGTATTATTGAAGGTCCCTGTAAGTACAAGACCAAGCAATTGGTTAACGAAGTAAGTTTTTTCCTAGAGGTTTACTTATTTTATCACTATTTACTCACGCATATTTATCTAGATATTACCTACCATATTGAAAAGCTTAAAGGATCCGAATACATTTATTAGAGTTTCTGCCTCTTGGACTTTATCACATATTATTCAACATTCCATCCAAGTCTTGGATATCAGCACTGTGTTACCCGGTATGATTCCAATGATAATTGAGGGAGTGTATGCAAAAGAACAAAAAAGTGTCTACAATTCATGCCTGGTATTTATATTTCTTTTGAGATCATATATACTGAGTACTCATCACCTTTTCTGGACAAATAGTGCTTGATCCACCTTGCCAAAGAGCTTAAGGTGGATAATAACATTCGTGATGAAGCTATTGTCACCTCAGGTCCATTATCAAGGTACACCAGACATATATTGGAAGCATTGTATAATATCACTAAGAGGATAAATACAAGCCATGATACCAAGTGTAAAAACACTATCTATTATGCCATGTGTTCCATCATTATGCATTGTCCTCAGGTAAAACTATATTTTTTGCAGAAATTGAAGATCTTCTAACCATTGACCTTTTAATAGGATTGTGAAGAAATCGTCCATTTAATGACAAACATCGTCTTAAAGCAATTAACCCAACTCACTACACTAGCAGAGGTAAAAAAAAAAAAAAAATAGATATACATGGACCTATGAAACTCAATTTTTCTCTATTGTTCTATCATAAAAGATTGAGGATTATGATGACGATCATTTCTGGGTTCTGTACACAAATCTATTAGGTGTTTTAACAGTAAGTTGATTCTATGCATTTGCGTATTTATATATAACACTGGGTTGATAATTATGTGCGGTAGAGCTGTGTCCAACGACTTCGAAAAGCATCTGATGGGTATGGGAATAAAATCATGATGATATCATCTGAAATCATTCGCATCCATGTTCAGCACCACGTCCATACAAATATCATAGAAGACGCATTTATACTTGTCTCAGCTTTATTAACTACGACTGGAACACATTTTGCTCGCCATGTCGATACGCTTATACAAAGTATGTGTAAAACTCTGAAAAAGACCGAGAGTGATCGTCTCTCTATGATCATTGTAGAAATTATCAGCGATCTCTGCTGCACATTTGGAGATGCTACTTCTTTGTACGCAAATGATTTCATGCAAATTTTATTACACAATTTAAAGAGCGAGACGCTAGATCGACAAGTGAAGCCTATGTCACTGTCTTGTATAGGAGATGTGGCGCATGCCTTGGGACCTCGGTTTAAACCGTTTGTCGAAATTGTCATGATAGCATTGAAGCAAGCGGGTAACTTGCAGCCCGATAAAAAGGACCCATCCAAGATAAAGTATATAGATGCAATTCGCGTGGGCACATTGGAAGCATTTGAAGGCATATTACAAGGCTTGGATGAAAAAACCAGGAAGAGTCATCACATGTTACCACATGTGCTTGACATTATCCTGTTTATGAATAACATTGCCTTGGATAAATCCAGATCCGATCGATTGACAAGTGTAATGACTGGTGTCCTGAGGTAATATTGAGTCAAAATAGATGGATAATCCCACTAAAATGGTTTTTTTTCTCAATTTAGTGACACGGCAATCATTTACGGAAATAGGATAAAATCGGAAGTACTGCAAGAAATAAAATACTTGATTGTTTGAGACTATTGTCAATTATAATTGGGTATAGTTTGTACATAAGAATTATTTAAGAGCTGAAGATTTGAGGCAGGATTTTGATATAAAGAACTCATAAGTTGCCTTCATATCTTAGGATTAATTATAACGCAAGTATCATTTAAAACCATTGAAATAAACATAAAATTTAAGACATATGTATCGTTTGTTTGAAAGAAATATTAGTCTCATCTACATGGATTGGAAAACTTTGCTTTAGATCGAAGCAAAGCTGTTTATTTCCATCATCATGGTGAACCTATGATAAGTTTGAGGTGTCTCAAGTCAAACTGTGCGCGTAGCCAGGAGAGTGACGTACATTTAAAATTTTAAACATTTTCAGCATCTTTTTCCTTTCAACTCAACCCATTTTAAAACAATAATGTAAGTAAAGAATGAAAACGGAAGCAGGAAAAAAAAAAATGCGGAAACTTTATTTTTGAAGGATTGCTACATCATGATACTTTAATGTGTCATGTACTTACAAAGCGATAGAATGAAATAGAAGTAAAAAGGGGTTATTAAACCTTTTTGTTTTTAATTTTTAGGGCATCCTCAAGATCTCGTTATTCAAGATCACCTTCTCCTCGTCGTCGTTCCGTTTCGAAAGGCTCACGTTCACCACGCTCACGATCACCCCCACGTCGTAGTCATTCACGATCTCCCAGCCCAGAACACCTTCATTCTATTCTTGTCACAAACTTGACGCGCAATGTCAAGGAAGATCACGTACGAGAGATTTTCAGTAAATTCGGTAAAATCACTTTCCTCGACTTTCCCATCAACAAAGTTTGTAAGTACTTTCAAATGCATGACCCAATAAATTAGAGCCATTCACTGAAAAAAAAAATACGCTTCCTTCAAAACTAGTGAATACCAATAAAGGCAAGGCATACATTGATTACGAAACTCAAGAAGAAGCCGATAAAGCTTTAAGCTACATGGACAATGTAATAATTAAATATGTGTATATTCACGTCGAAATAGAAGTAACTCAATTATAATTATAGGCCCAATTAGATGGTAAAAGGCTTGTATGTGTTGCGGCGCCCAAGCAACGTGAGAAATCTCGTTCTCCTTCACCACCAAAAGGTAGGATAAAATAAAGCTTAGGGAAAGAGAGAGAGAGATATTTATCTATTTCAATAGCCCGTTATGCTCCACCTCCATTTAGACGAGACACCCGTGCACCTATTCCTGCTGGACGTGGGGACCGCTTTGGAGGCAACCGAGGTAGACGTTATTCTCGCTCACCATCCCGCTCACCCATCCGTCGTGGCAGACGTTATTCCTATTCGCGTTCCAGATCTCCCTCTCGTAGTTACTCAAGAGGAAGAAAGAGATCGTACTCCCGTGGACGTAGTTATTCTCGTGGACGTAGTTATTCTCGCAGCAGAAGTTACTCAAGAAGTTTATCGATCAGTAAAAGTCGTAGTCGATCTCCCAGACGTAGTAGATCACCTCTCAGACGTAGCAGATCTCCTATTCGACGTAGATCATCCATCAAACGTAGTCGATCTCCATTAAAGCGTAGTAGATCACCTTACAGACGTAGTAGCAGATCCCCAAGAAGAAGCAGATCTCCTGTCAGACATAGCAGAACAAGATCGTACTCAAGATCTCTTTCGAGACGTAGAAGCCCCAGCATCAAACGTTAAGAAACAGTACACTTTTTTTTTATTTTTTTACTGTTTGTTACGAAATAATATAAGTGAATAAAAAAGAAAATCTTGTTTGTTTTTCTCTTAAAGCAAGTACGTAGACAGTCTTTCAACAACATGATTCATGGATGGTCGCTAGGGATATATGGATTAGAATATAAAAAAAAGAGGCTTTTTTGTGTAGGACAAGTATTACCAGCGTAGGATCGGTTTCCCACATCTCCATGACAAGAACCAAAAGGTTACGAGGGTACAATCCTGTGAGTTTTGAGATGGGAGGTCGTACATCATGCTGCTTTACAGCAACATATAATGCATGTTCTGCTAAATCTTAATATTTCTACGTTAGTCTGAAACAAATGACATATTTCTGTAAACTTTCTTAAATTACTTTGGAACGGATAACCGTAAGCTCCCCAAGTCATTATTTCCCAAAATATAAGTCCACATGCATATACCTACAATAAAAAAAAACCCGCTCATTTTTAATATGTAAATGGCCGAGCGACACACGTATTTTTCTTACATCCACCTACGAAAAAATAAAATAAAAATTAACATATGAAAGATAAAAATGTCACTTTTTTTAGGTGTGCATGTGTTACTTTTTCTGTGTAGCTTGGATTCGAAGTCCAAAATTCAGGGGCTATGAAACAATGGAATGGTTACAAACAAATACATACACAGGGGGAATGATTTCACCTTGCCTATTTTGATTTCAAAAGGAAAGTTTTAATTTAGTACAATGCAACAACAGAGACACTTTAAATTTTTATTCTGCATACCAATTCGGTGTTCCACATTGTGTATGCATCAGGGAGTTGGCTTTGGGTCGAATTCGTGCTAAACCAAAATCATTGATTTTGGCTCGTTCATCTTGTGAAATCTGCCATTATTTTTTTTATAAGTGATCATCTATAATACGAATTTTTTTTAGACATTACCAAAATGTTCATCGATTTGAGATCCTATTTGGAAATTGTCAGTCAATTTTTATTAACACTGTTTTGTGTTGTTGTTACACTTACCCTATGAATAATCGATGGTCTATAGATTGCTGAGTTAAACGAAGAGTAACAAAAAAAAAACAAATGATGTATCATACCTTCTTGTGTGCAAGTAAGACACACCTAATGCGATATCGTACATGTACATGACCTGCTGTGCAAAGCTGGGTCTTGGATGGTTTCGAATGACATCAAATAAGTCACCTTTGGTGCAAATTTCAGTGACTATACACAGGTGACTTGGGTTTGTACAAACGCCTAAGAACTTGATCACATTTTCATGTCGCAGTTGTCTAAAAAAGAAGAAGAAAAAACATTCAATGGTTTCTCCCTTGTATTATACCGTTTTTTTTTTTTTTTTTTTTTACTTCAATACGTTGATTTCGTGCTTGACTTCTGCAAGGTCAAACTCACCAAAGTGAGTTAATCTTAGTTCACCAATTGCAACCACTTCCTAAAAGTTGTGATAAATTATTAAAATTTCTCTCTAAAACAGATCCTTTAGCTTACTCCCTTGTATATTCCTTATACAGAAAAAAAAAAAAAGACTATGAGTGGGATAATATGGAAAAAGAAAATTGTCTTACCTTGATAGCAATCTTTAAAGCCTCCACTTCCAATTTTTTTACCGAACGTTAAATCTCCATATGGTATATCCATACCAGTGGGTGAATCTTCATCCAAAAACAGTAATGAAAACTCTTTCGAGTTTAACAAGACTCTGTCATCTTGCTGATGCGTCATTGTAGAGGATTCCATATTTTGAAGATCAGATAACGAATTCAAGCGTGGTGTTGAAGGTGCTGGTATTGGCACTGTATGATCTTTCTACTCATTTGATGATTATTAAAAAAAAAAAAGAGTGGTTGTACACGTTTTATAAAATATACCCAAAATAAGAGATCACTAATCAACTGCGATTTTTTCCCTTCTGTAGGTAAGTTTCTTTCACGACAAATATCAATAATATCTGCAAGTGACATATCATTTAGCTCTTCGTATTGCAGATGCTAATAATAAACAAGTCAGTACATAGTTTCATTTTCTTCACTAAATACCCACCTCTAAAGAAGGATCGATATGTTTTGGAATCGTATGAAATAGCATTTTTGTATTTTATTGACAAAAAGTTAAAAAAGGGAAAGAAAAAAACGGGATTAATAACCTGTGCATGTTTTATAAGCCTAGACTTGGTCAGCAGTTTTGGTAGCTTGTGCCTGGCACGACAATGCGGGTTTTTAAAAATCAGTTGGGCAAGCGTTGCACTTCAATACTCTAACTAATCCTTTACTTCAATTCGAATGTTCTACTTCACTGCAGCTATAATTTCTAAGGGTTTGATGCCTTGATATTTAAACTTTCTAAACCTTTATCAATCCCCTCGAACCTGCTTACACTCTTCAACTCTCTTCAACTATCCTTAACCGGTGTCAAGCCTTTTAAAATGTACCCAATTTGTCTTGACTGCCTCAAAACCTCTTCAAATTTCTTCAAGACGCTGTAAGCCTCTACAATCTTCTTTTAGTCTCTCTGCTAAATTTCAATATATTAAAGACTCTGCAGCTCTCTATATCTATCTTTAAGTCCCTTCAACTGTTGCTCAGTCTCTTTGCACATGTGTCAAATTTCTGCCATGCAGATAATTTATAAAAAGAATTATACTGGAGATTCTACAGCAGGTAGACGTCGTAAGTTACGTTGTCGTTTCAAGTCCACTCTCCTTTTGCTCCTGTTGCACTGTGGTAGAGTCACTTGTCCAGATCGGAGCTCGATTCTTTCCTCATAACCAACAAGACTGTTTATCGAATGAGTGGCTGTATTAACCCCCACTGCTTGAATATAGGTAGTGTAAACCAGTATAAATGGGTGTTGTAGCTTATTTTCAGCCTCTCGTTTGGAATTTATCTTAAAATTTCTGCGTAAGATTATGATCAAACGCACTTAGAGGCGAAAGAGTGATGATATAAATGTCAAAACAAGTGTAAATTATTCAATATGTATTTATTCGTAATTATCACACTGTTCTTGATTATATATACATGTTTTCAGGTCTAAAAGACAGTCAGATTACAGATTTTACGTTATAACTACGTGCATTTTGACTGTCCCTAGGGAAAAATTGGCTATTCCTAAGAGACCCGTCATAAAAATTACTCTCAGAATTATGTAACATCTGGTACCCTATAATTTAGTAAGATCGGACCTTCCGTTTAGGATCTTAATTTAAACATCGAAACCTGTAATATTTATTTAGATGTCTGATGTTGGCGTTGTTTTATTAGTTAATGGCTCGAAAGATCTCCAGTGGGATACTTAAGCCTATTTAGAGTGCTTCCAATCAATTCTACTAACACTGTTGGTCCTCCCATCATCTTAAAGGTTATTCATGCTAGTAATTCTTTTTTCATTGTTTGCATAAAGTACATTGGAAGATGGTAGCATAAAAGAAACCATGGATGCAAAAGTGTATTCCGCACTCGATCGATGTAACTATTAAATTAGTTTCAAACACTTAAAGAATTTAATCTCCTTGAAGGTTATTATTTATCATGACGAGGACATGGGCTGAAGGAATCATGTGAAAAATTGTTTAATCTTGCAGATCTTTTATTTTTTTTAATCCGTTGCACAAAAAGAACATCTCCCATGAAAAAGCAAAACTTCAATGCTCATTTTCTCGACATCCAATGAAGAAAGTAACTATGATTTGCACACGGATGAGATGAGAATTTTACGGATGATTCAAAGGATAACACATATGTTCAAAAAGTAGTGACAAAAATATCAAGTTTGTAAAAGTAGCCTAGACAAAATCAACAAAATAAACAAAAAAAAAATTTTTTTGGTATAAAAGGGAGACGGGTGGGAGAAAAAAAGCGCTCTTTATCTTTTTATTCTTTTTTAAACATTAGAACAGAGAAGTTAGCATGGCTCAGCACAAGAATGACACTCTCGACTCTGTTCGTCTTCCGTTAAATCTATCCACTTCATTACAGATCGGGCAGTGTTCCAAAGGCCGTAGTAATCCCTAAAAAGATTACATTGAGGAGTCTGCTGGTTGTCAAAGTCGCTAGGCAATGGCCTTGGTCGTTGTCTGTATCGCTTCATTCGGATTTCAGTACAACAATCTGACTGGGGCTTGTCGCCTTTTGTTCCAGGAACTTCTTACTAAAACTAGTGTCACACCCGTTGCTTGGTGGAGGGTGAATATAGAGCGTGTTACTAGACGGTGGGATGGTCGTGGCCGTTTGAAGCCAGTCGATACGTTCTTGGTCATTGGAATTGGTGTGGGTTGTTATTTTTGGTCGGGATCTGATGACAGTAGGAAGTTTAGTACCCGAATGCATCTTGTAAGTGCTTTGCCTTGTTTACGTCTACGCTAGAGATATTGCATTTTATAGGCAGCCATGGATTGGCATCCTGTTGGACAGCTACCTCATCTACACGGAATGTTAACCTTAAAGCCAATACTCGTCCAGGTGCGGTTGCTACGATTCTACTGCCAGGGTAAAAAGCACCACCCCAACATGGTGTAGGGGGTATTTGGTCCTGGTGATTCTTATGTTGCGCATTGTGGGTAGGTGGCATGTAGAATTATCAGGTTCTGTAATGAAGATGGTTTATCGGAATTTACTTTTTGGGTCAGGATGTGCTTCCACCTTCTCGTGGTCTGGCCTGTTAACCAGCTATTTTATGCTGGGAACTAGGAGAAGCACTTATTAGCATAGTTTATATATTATCATTATCATTTAAATAAATAAAAAATTTTAAAAAAAAAAATTCTTTCTTTGACTTGATCATAATTTTTTAGGACAGCCTAAATTATGTCTTTCAGGCCTATAAAGTAACTGCTGACGTAAGTTTTTCATAGTAGTGTCATTCATATGCACCCTTTACTGTGTATGATATTTTTGGGTAGCCCGGAACAAAATCACCCATGCGTAAATTCATTCAATGAGGCAAAAAAAAAAAAAAAAAATGGGTTATTAACAAAGTTGCTATTTATAGATCCTAATCATGTCGTTGATGACTACTAGTACTTTTTTTTTTACAAATAACATTTTATTTAATTCACCAAAATAATTTCAGGTAGATTATCTGTCCTGCTTACTGGTGGGGGATACTTACGTCAAAGAAAGATAGTTATGTCCTTTCAACTCTGGGCCAACCGTTTGACAATTCACAATGTCTTGTCTCTGAGTGTGGTAGCTCTTGGCGTATTGGGTTATCGGGGTAACAGCCCTGACCAAAGATACGCATGTGGATCAAGTCAAAAAAAAAAAAAAAAGAGAGCCAGTGTTATGTTTCAGTTTCCATATTTCTGATCTGGGCTTGCACGAGAAATGGGCGCTAAAAAAAAACCAAAAAAAGCCCTGAGACATAAAATCATGTACTAAGGTTGCAGGAGGCTTGTATTCACCAAAGAAGTTTTATGTAAGGATTGCAAAAACATACAGAATAATGTATTTCATGGATAGCCATGCTTCCAAAGATGAATTTTTAAAAAGATGGAGTGCAATGGAATAAATATTTGTGATCTCGGGGGATTTTTATTTGTGTGCATAAAAGAACAAATGACCTACAAATGATCCGTGCGTTTTCAATGTAAACAAAAAGGTAATTTTTTTTTTATTTATTTATTTTTTTAATAATGGTTATGCGTGTGTGTGCGTGTGTGTGTGCGTGTGGGGGGGGGGGTGAAGAGAAGGGTTTGGAAATGAAGAATATAATGTTTTTGATTTTACAGGTCAGCTAATAAGGCTGTACCCATTTGCTTGAAACTATATGAAATGCCAGCTTCCTTGTTTGGTTTGATAAAGAGAGGATTCTTGCTAAATGAGAGACGAATTCCTCCCTTGACGGAATTTGACAAAAGATGAGCTTGATGTTCACTCATGGCTTGTGTAGCATAGACCACGTCTTCAAATTCTACAAAGCACATGGGACCTTGAGGTTTTGCACGAAAGCACATACGTTTGTATCCTTCACATTGCGAAAATAACGATCGCAATTCATCCTCACTTGTAGCCGGAGGTAAATTACCCACATACAATGTATTACATGGTGGGTTTTGGTCCGCTGAATTATTCATGGCACGAAAACAGGCGGATGAAATACTCGTGGATCGTTCGATATGATGCGTCTTCATTGAACTTTTACGACCACCACCGCCGCCCATCAAATCCTCCGTTGCTGCATGATGAAAATATCCCGTCTGCTCTTGTTGACTTGACGTGTACTCGGCTTCGGCTTCGGAAAAGGATGATTTTGCAAACAATTGAAAAGGATGCATGTCACCATTGTAGATGTTTCTGCCGTCAAAGGACTGTGAACGTATACAAAAGAGAGCATCACCAAAGAATGTGGGTGTAGTAATTTCATGATGTAAGGAAAATGGGTCCTTGTATTCTTTTTCGGGTGATAAGAGGTCACTAGGCAACGGAGAGAAAGATTCATAATCATCAGCAATATTAGCCTGGGACTCTTGTTGCGGATGAGTTACGGTTCGGGAAAGAATTGACATGGGAGAACTAGAAGGCTCGGGTAAGAAGACGGAAGATAATGGCACCGATCGTTTGATATGTAGGTTCTTTTTGGCCATCTCCACTTTTAAAATGGATCCCTTTTCAGTATCAATTTTCTTACCATTCATTTCATTGGCAGCTTCATTGGCTTCATGACGAGTACGGAATCTAGCAAATCCAATCTAATTTTTTGTTGTTAGGATACGCGTGTAAGGGGCCTGTTAGTCATGTCTCACACTTCTACATTTTTTTTATAATTATTTTACCATTTGTTTCTTGTTCAGGACGGTATTAAACATGTCTTGATCCTCTTGTTGGTCCTTACAATGCCATTTTAACGAAGCAGCTTCAAAACCCTTTGAGAACATAAACATATTTTGGAACTCTCGTTCTTGCAAATCATCAGGAAACCCTACTACAAAGATAGTGGTTACATCGTCCGTGGATAGCGAAGGTAATGATGGAGACCCAGAAAGACTGGTATTGCAGCTGGGATTCACATTACTACTGGGTGAAGGGATCGAAGGATGCATTCCTCTCAATTCACTTGTATCACTTGTCATCTTCAAATTAACACACTCACACTTATTAGGTACGTTGTGTAACCGGAAAGTTATAAAGAGAGAAAAAAAAATAAAAAGAAAGAACAGACAAATAATAATAATAAAAAAGAGAAACAATTAAATATGTGGGTGTTTGAATATGTTGTTTTATAAATATGGAAGTCGAAATGTGCCGGGAATGATGTTTTTATGGCCTTATTGAAAAAAAAAAAGAAATTTTCGATTATTATTTTTTAAAGGCAGACATTTTTTTTTTCTGCATAAACACACACAAAAAAAAAAAAGTAATGTACAGTTAGAACAATGATAATGCAGTGCATGTATAAATTATAGTAAATATTATGTTACCCGCACGGGCAAAAAAGGGTTTAAAAAAAATAAAAATAAAAAAAACACTTCGAGGTATTTAAAAAAACATTAAGTCTCCGGCTCCTTCTGATGACGTTCTTTTCCCGCAACACCCACTCTTTCTTGTTTCTTGGAGGTCGTCTTTGACATTCCTTTACGCTTGTGTGGATCCTACAACATAAAATGATGATGAATAACTCTTTCCTATATTAAAACGCAACTTTTTTTTTTTTTTTTTTTTTTACCTTGCGACTCATGGTGGATACGTTTCGAACACCTTTACCACCTTCCCAAAAGGCACCTCGCTGAGGAGCTCTTTCAAACTCATGACCACAAACACAGGCCTTACCACCTACAATGGTTTGCTCTCTTGAACACAATCCACACACATGTCGTTTAGCCATTTCCACATGATGATCTTCATGGCTATCATGGCAAATATCGCAAGGATACAATTTGTTACAACAAGAGAATCGGAACCATCGATTGCTTTTACCATAATGTGTACATGTACCACGATTAGGTAAAGGTTCACCAATCACCAAATGATCTTCTTTCTTCTTCTTTTGCTTTAATTTCATCACTTGCTTTTCATCTGCCGCCTTTAATTTCTCACCTCCTTCACTACCAATCTTGATAAATGTATAATCACCTAATCCACACGTCATTTTAGCATGACAAGAGAAACAGGTGATGGTGCGTGGTGGATCATGAGGTGATAATGTCAAGGTATGTGCCATATCCACCATACATGAACCACAAGTCCCGATATACGCAGAAGGTAAAATATCATAGGGTTTACAACCGGATAACTGTAATAACCCCAATGATTTCGCTCCCTGATGAACCAACTCACCAATGAATTTAATGCCTAATTCTGCTGTACACGTTGGACATCCCATCCATCTTTCCTTTGCATCCCCATCCGATTTGATATTTTGTACTTGCACGGTTTCTTTACATCGGTTGCATTTCACCATCAAATGAAGGGAAGAACATTTAAATAACGAGATATTGTCCAATTTGGGATCCATCAGACGGATTTCTGTACCTCTACGAATGACAGTTTCTGCAACACCCGATAGGACAGAGGGACCCGCTGCCTTTGTTTCCATCACATGATCATCATCATCTCCCTGTGCTAATTCTACCTGGACTTCATCTTCCTCTGCCTGCTCGATAATTAAGCTAGGATCATTGACGATAATCACCTTGTTTTTCTTGACATCTTCATCAAACAACGATGTCTTCTTTTTTGGCTGAGGTGTGAATACAGGTGCTGAGACAGATAAAGACACCTGTTCCTTTTTCAAGGGAGGTTTTAAATCCTTTTGTTGTAAAGCTGCAATCACAGCGGTTTCCTCTTGTTCTGCTGTCTTGACCGTAGGTGGTACTGTAGCTAATGTCTCCATATGTCGATTTAACCAGTTTAAATTCTCAAAGAGTGTAAAGTCACCATGCACAACGTGTTCATTGAAACCTGATGCAATCCAACTTTCAAAAAAAAAAAAAGGTTGTTAAATTAAAAATTAAAATAAAAAAAAGGGCGGGTCTTACTTTGCTCGGGTCCTGTCCAATTTCTTGTTGTCAATTTCAATGGAACAAGGTTCAAGGGGATATAATGCAGGAACATGGTATTTAATATAAAGATCCTTGCCACCCAGTAACTGTTCGTGCGTGAAATCACAATCATTGATCGTCATCACAAGTGTTATCACAGACTCCTTTGCATTCGTCCTATCTCTCCCATTGTCAATTTTCATTCTTATCACACACTGACATTTTTTTTTTTTTTTTTTTTTTACCTGATATTGATGCTGTCACAAAATCGTGTCTGTAATTGGGTTATTTCATGCTGACGTCTCTTTCCTGCAGCAGACATTTGAGCTTGACTAAATGAATGGCTCTTTTCAACTGTCGTTGCCACGGGAGACGGTTTAGGTTTTACTACAGGCGCTGTCACAGGTTTGGATACACTACTACTACTACTATTATTATTACTGCTGCTAGGTTTCGTTTCCTCGTAAATTGGCTTTGAAGAACTCGCAACAGCACATTCTTTGTTGTATTTGGATTCAGGTTTTGTATAGGTGGTCTCAAAGGAGATGGGTCTAGAAGTAGCGTCAATAAACTGCTTGACGGGTTCCTCTTCGTGCACTCGATGACTGTTGGATACAAAGCGCACGGTAGCGGCAGGTGGTTGTTGTAACAAACTTTCCATATTTCTATCCAGCCAATTCATTTGTCGTACCAGTGTTTGGTGTGCGCTCTTATTCACTGGATCCACATGCGCGACATAACCCTTTTCTAAATTACTATGGTTTTTTTTTTTTTCATTTAGTGAATCTCTCGTTTTTTTTTTTTTTTTAATAACATGACGTTTTCTTACATGGCAAAGCCTTTAGGGATATCGCTGTTAAGCACTTGAACAGTGCATGGTGAGGTGGAGTAATCGGATGGTATATTCAGTTGGATTTTCAAGGAGTCTATTTCATAAGGAAAGTCTGGGTCCGAAGGCTTAATAGCAAGTCGAATCACGGTTTCCTTCTTGTCGTCTCTGTGTGTGTGTGTGTGTTTCCGTGAATTAGTTGGGCCCGTCTTTTTTTTTTTTCTGGGTAGTATAATAATAAAAAAGAAGGCTTACTTGATGAGACGATACGATGACTTGTAACGTGTTTCCAACTGGATGAGTTCAAGCTTTCGTTTATCACCTACATTCTCATTCTGCTTTTTTTTTTTTATTATTTCAATATATCAGTATTTGCTCCCCCTTTCTCTTTTATTTTCAAAAAAAGTGAATGTGTTACCGTAGGTGGTTTCATGGCTGGTCGTTTCGCTTTATCAGACATGGTTTATATCAATGTGTGTTTTTGTGTGAAAAGAATAAAAATAGGCGTTTTTCTTTTGAATTTATATATAAAAAAAAAATGCTACGTCGTATGTGACTGTGGCTAGTGTGTTTGGACCGCAGCAGCCAGTTTTTTGGGCTAGTGTGAAATGTCTGTGTAGTGTAGTGTAGTGTATAGTGTAGTGCATGATTTTATTAAGAAATAAGGGAAAAGGTTTACATCTCCTCTAGGTCATCGTCAGAAAAGTCCAAATCTTCTTCTGGGAAATCACCAACATTGACTTTTGTAGGGCGTACAAACCCACCATACTTGGGCGGGCAATCAAAATATCTTTTCCCCTTGACACTACCATCATTTTTACCCAAAGGTTCATCGTATTGGATACCTACCCAAGGACCAGGTTGAAATTCAGTCTCGCCCACGAATTTCACGGTACCTAATCTTTGAGCGGTATAATCATCTCCCAACACTTCACAACGATCCCCCACCTTGATTTGTTTCGCGGCTTCCTCATGAGCTTGTTCAATGGCCTTTTCCTGTGCTGCTGCCTCGGCCGAGAACCGACCCAACTTGTTACGCTCCTTGAACGCTCTCACGGTGTCTGTGTAGCTGACTTTTTTTAGTCTTTTATTCATCCCAAAGGTGTGTAAGTTCTTTTTTTTTTTTTTACCTGATCGCTTTTCATATTCGTCAGTGGAGAGTTCAAATTTTTCAACAAGCGAGACATCCGTGTACTGATTCTTGATACGATGAGGGTTGGTATCTGTGACATGGATTCTCATGTAATCTTCCACAGGGTAAGCACCCAACATACTCTCTTCATTATCCAATGTTCCCTGTAGTGTGTTTCCTTGGTATAAATCAATTTTTTGTGTCGAGTAAGGAATACCCGTGATGGGTTCCAGTTTATACTATTTTCTCATTAGTTTTTATTTCCTCTCTCTCTCTCTGTCTCTTCTTTTTTTTTTTTATTCCTGCTTTTACCTTGAGCTGTGAAATGGTCAAACTCTTTTCAAATCTTCGCTCGGAGCTGACCTTTTCATCAGAAGTATCTACAAACAAAGTGACAATCGACATGGTGGAATTAGAGTTGTAAAAGGGGTTTTTCTTTTTTTTTTTTTTTTTGTTCTCGTTGCCTATTTTTACACTCCGTTCACATACACGTCAAACATTGCCTTATATATATAAGACATATATATATAGGTGTATGTACATCTTTAGCTTATTCTTATGCATGAATACCCAACTCATCTCATGGAATAGCAGCTATACTAATCAACATGTCAAAAATAGAGTTTGTGCATCATCTAAAATAGTCAAAATTGGTAAATCGCATTTTTCAAAAAGGATCTACGTCATCAGCGGAGTATAGGTGATATTATCAGGGAGACATTTTTTTCTTTCAATTGAGAGCTGTGTGTTTTTTTCTGAAAGTGTGATTTAAATTCATTTTCTCTCCTTCTCCCCCACTCTATTTTTAATACTAAATTACAATGTTTGGAGCTCTTCGTCAATTCGCTATTGAAAGACCTACCATTTTCTGGTCTTTTGTTCTTGGCACTGCCGGTAAAAAAAAAAAAAAAGATGAATTGAAAATGAGAGAGAGAGAAAGGCATTGACCCCCCTAGCAACTTTTTTTTTTCTTCTTCAATAGGTCCTGTCATGGTCTTTACCGTTCCCAAGGTCAGACGTGAATACTTTGGATTCAAGGGTTATGAACAACTTCCCATTACATACCCTCGTATGTATTTTCACACCTTCTAATGAATATAAACAACAGAAACTGACACCCACTTTTTTATAGTTCCTAACCGTGCCCGTGTTGCCACTACCGGTTACGAAGATAGCGCATAAAAAAAAATAAAAAGTTAGAATAAATGTTTGTTTTATGGGTAATTACTTTTTTTATTTTTATTTTATTTTTTTTCGTACAGTAGTGATAATATATGTACAACAACAAAAAAAAAAAAAAAAAAAAAATATACATGTACGGGAGTGATCTACTAGAAGAATGGTAATTTTCTTTTGTTTGTTTTTTATATATCTTGGTGGAAGGGGGGGCTGCTGTAAAATCAAAAACAAAAAGTGAGGATTATCTTTTCTTTGGTACATTAGGTTTTGGTTTATGATAGACATGACACTAGAAGAGGAGGGAGGTTTTTTTTTTTTAGTAAGAAAGAAAAGAGAGAGAGAGTATGTGTGTTTTTACCTTGTGTGCGTGACGATACCATAGAACGCTATTCTTTCTTTTTACATTACTTACAGCCACCCATTGATGACATTGATGACATAATCCTTCAACCAAATCCTGATCAACCCAACGAGTCTCAAGCGGTTGCACAAACTCTTTACCAGAGACAGACGAGATACCATGAAAGAATTGCTTATGATACCAATACGCACTATTCTTTAACTGTAGCCATTTACCAGGCTTACAGGTATCACATAATCCTTCCTTGGATTGTCCATTGTATCTCACCCATTGAGGTGTGTACTTGTCTCCTGTAAACCGAAGCTTTTGCTTACGAGGCCTTGCTTCAGGATCAGATCGTGCTGCTTCTACATCACGCGTAGACATCTCCGGGTAATCTTCTTCGTTTGTCTCTCCTCCCAACTCTTCATCAAACTCATCGGTATTATTGGACTTTTGTTTCTTTCTTTTGGGTTTAGCTAGGATAGGTGGTGGATGATGTACAGGTGCATCCATGGGGCCTGTAGGTAGAGGTAATTTGCCATTGGGATAGTAATATCTTTGTTGCATGGGATGTTGCGGTGGGAAAGTATAACTATAGTATTGATGTTGTTGTTGCTGTTGTTGTTGTGGGTCATTTGTCTTCATATCGGGTTGACGTGCAAGTGGATGTAACATGACGCCAGGATGATGTTCCTGTTGTGTTGGTTGTGTTGATTGTGGTTGTGGTGGCGGTGGATGTGATTGTTGTTGTTGTGATGATGATAGTGGTGGTGGTGGTTGTGCTGGTGAATAACGAGGATGATAGGTATGAGGTGCTAATGGGGAGCTCATATTAGGGTGATAAAGTCTACTATTATGTTGTTGTCTGGGTGAGATAGGATAGTCTCCATAGGGATGTTGTGGTTGTATTGGTTGTGTAGGATGATGTATTTGTTGTTGTGGTGGTAGTGTTGGTTGTGAGGGTGGTTGTTGTTGATGAGGATGGGGATGAGGGTGGTGGTGGTTGTGGTGGCTGTGTAAGTCATCATGACTCCAACTCACTTTGGTAGGTGTATGTGAATAAAAGTTTTCTTGTTTGAATACAGGCACTTGTTCTGGGTTGAAATGAGGATTGATTTGATTGTTACCCATATTATGTAATAGATCAGGTCTTTCCAAAAATTCTTCAGACATTGTTTGCCAACTCATATTCACATCGTATGAATGACGTCGATTACCATCACTCTCGTTGCTTAACACATCTCCCCATGAGTTCTTATTTTGTGAAGGTATTGACATATCATCTTGCCATTGTGGTGGTGGAACTTCAAAAAAAAAAAAAAAAAATTAAAAAATCAGTCGTCACGGGATAAATTTTTTTTTTTGATCTTGGGGGGGCTGTTGTTATGTGTGTGTGTATGTGTCCTTTTTATGCGCATAATTTAACTCCTTTTTTCATGCTTAATTTTTTTTTTTTTTTTTAATTCCCCCGCCCTCCCCTTTATTTTTTTTTTATTTGTATTATTTTTTGTTGTTACCTTTATGCTCTACTTCATTTGCTTTCGGAAAGGCCATTAATTTATTGAAATTAGCTAGTAGCATGGCAGCTTCAATAGAGTTTCTTTGCTGAGATAGATGTAGACTTAGTTGTGCTTCATGATTTAAGCCAAATGGCAAACCCAAGATAGCAGGACTACTTTTTCGTTTATCATATCGATTTAATAATAAAGCAGGATTTAAACTATCTTCTTGTGAACTGCTGCCAGCTTCGTTTTGTACCGGGGTTGAACTACTACTAGTGGCTCCTGTTGTTGTGTTATATTCTTCTTCCATGAGTGTTGGTAACATGTTGGATGACTTTAGTCGATCTTTTTCAAACTGATGAGTAACGCCTTCTTCCTTGACTGGTGCATATCCTCCCATATTCATTTTTTTTTTCACTTTTTCCACTTATCAAAAAAAATTTATTTTTCAAAAAAAAAAAAAAAAAAAAAAAAAATCTCGCTATTTTTTCCGGGTCAATATACAAAAAGCCTTTTTTTTTCTTCTCTTTTTCACTTTTTTTGCATAACTCTGGCTTTCAACTTACTATATATATATATTACAAATGAGGAATATATAAAAATATATATTGTTATACGCTTTTTAAACAAAAAAACAAAAAAGAAAAGGGAAAAGGAAAAAAAATTAAAGCAAAAAAAAAAAGTAAAAAAAAAAAAAAAAAAAAAACTAGCCAATCATGGCTTGATAAATTGAGCCTCACATTAACTCCAACTGTGACTGTAATAATTTTTTTTTTTTTTTTTTTTTTTTTTTTTACCTTTACTGTGTTTCACCTTAATCCACAGAGAATATTTCTATAGAGGAAAAGGAAAGGAAAACAGAGGATATCATGTTTCCATGGATACGAGCAATACGGATATTTTAATCATGCAATACAGACCCATCATGTACAAATTTGTATGCAAAAGATAGATGGCTTATTGTTTCAAACTCAATACTATCCTGATTGGATATATTTCAGCATGGATGAAATTGATTCTTTATTTTGTATTACCATCCACCCCCACCCCTTCCTCTATCTCTCACTCTCACTCACTCTCACTCTCTATTCCTGACCCATCCAATGACGTCGCACGTTTATCAAATAAAATCATTAACTACAGAACGCTGACTGCTTTTTTTTTTTTTTTTTTTTTGGTGTCATTTTTTATGGAGATCCCGTTTATGGCTTTTCCGTGCATGAAAGGGGTTAAAAAAAAATACTGGAAAGAGAGATGAACCGAAAACCAGTCACCATAAGCCATTCATTTAGGATTGTCATACTTTTGCACCCCCCCTCGTTGTCTATTTACATTTGTGGCGAAAAAAAAAACTTTTCATTGGCTGACAATTTTACGGATCTCTCTCTCTCGCTGTCTCTCTCATGCGCATAAAATAGACTTCATTTATATATCTCTTTTCGGCTGACACTTTTATTTTCATTTGGGGCTCACAAACACGTTTTTTTTTTTTTTTTACATGACGGTTGTACCACGATTGAGTTGCACTCATCATCTTTAGGGTGCCGCTGTACCTTTTTTTTTTTTTTTAACTCACAGATTGACCAGAGACCTTATTTCTATTCTTAGAAAAAATGCACATGATAAATATTTAACCCGCTGTGCATCTCCACTATGCCAGGTCAAAGTTGATTTCTTCGACCAAAAATGAACTCATCTGCATGATATAAACCCCTTCGCCTTGATCACTCATTATCCTCTTGTCTTTTTAATCACATTAACTTTCTTTTGTGTAATCGCAACCCGGGTAACTGTTCCATATTGTATTCTGTGTTCATCGTCATTTACATATCCTGGACGACAAACATCAATCTACCCAAAAGACAAAGCTTCATCTATCTACATGCTGTTGTATTTTTTACTTGGATGAAACAGGTTACTATTATGCTTGATGACTTTCTATTTTCCGCTCCGTCTTCTAAATAGCTCTTTTTTTTTGCATACCTTTGTCTTTCAAGTTAATACATAACATAAACATGGTAACTATCTCTATGTTTTCATGGTATATCTCATAAGAAAGATGGCTTATTAATTCAAACTCCAAATTATTGATTGGATAAATTCATAGACTTTAATATGACTAGACAAGAAAATTCAAAAAGCCAGGTGGACAGACGAGTCTTCTTAAACTAAGGGATATGTATGCGGAGTATCCAAATAGCTACAAGGTCTTGCCTGTCAACTATTTCTACAGTGAATATTCCGTGTCGCTAATAGGCTTCAACGAATTAGATCACATCCTTAAAAAGCGAACAATTAAAACTTCACAGCCCAAAAAAAAAAAAAGGTCTTTTAAGTGTCAAGTAATCCGTTTCTTACACTGACGAATTCTCAGGGCACCGCTATTTTTGCTTATATGAGTTAGTTCATATCTTCATTATTTTTATTTTTTTTATCTATTGATGACTTCAATATAATATTGCTAAATCACTTGAAATAAATTCATTGTACGTGTGGTATCATACATGTAATTTTTTTTTTTTTTTGGACATAATTTTATAAATCAATAAATTATTGTAAAGTCAATTTATCTGAACATGAATATTCCTTGTTTAAGTAATCAATCTTGATATTGAACTAGCTCTTGTCAAACACTCTTTAAGCTCTTCTTGTTAGTAGTCTCTCATTACATAAAATACCAGGCTTTATATCTTTCAAAAAAATATCTACTTTTTTTCTCTCCAAAGCATGCCCAAAGTTTATAAAGGGAATTCTGATTATATATGCAAAATTTGTGATGCAGTTGAAGTGAATTAGGCAGAGTACTCCAAAGAAGGCTTATCACTATATACTTTGTCCAGCGTGGTAAAAGCATCACGCTATGATAATTGGGGACTACCCTAATACATAGGCTTGATATTTTGGCTAATTTCCAAGCTACTTCACGGAAATTTACACAAGATTTCGATTCTATTTAAATTATACCTACGTATTTGACAGAAAAAACTAAAAGTCTAGATATAATCAAATTACAAAAAATGTGTATGAAGTGAGTTAAGCTTTATCAATGTGAACTTAAAAATACTTCCTATTAAAAGCGCCTGTACACAAAAATGACATTGAAAAATCTTATTTTAAGTAGACAGCAACAACTCTAAAAAAAACACCTTCATTGTTTGCTTTAAGGCCAGTAAAAAAATAATGTCAATTTTTTTCCTGGTCAAATTTGGAGGCCGCCAAGGTGCGCTTAGTCGTAATGTAGGTTAGGATACCTTAACTGAGACTAAGATGCCAATGTATAACGTGTCGCTTTAAACAGTGATGCATACTTGTTATAAAAAGCATCTGGTCATCTTGCCTGGTTACTTTTAAGGTCCTGTTTGGATTTTACCCTTACATATCTGCCTAGGGTTAGGATCAAACGAGCACAAAGGGGAAAGAGTGACTATGGCATTACCAAAAGAATTATAAATTGTTAAGGACAGCTAAGACACCAGATCTTACGTTACGACGACGTGCATTTTGCTCACTTATTTTTCTTTAGTGCAAAATCCCAACACGTATTTAGGCTAGTAACCAATTTTTTTAAGCATACCTAATTGGTTAATTATCTTCTCCGGTGAAAACGTCTTCAAAAATCCAAAGCCTCCTTTATTGTATTATATAATAAATTTGTATGTAGTTTGGAAGAAATCACAAGGTTTTTATTAAAAGTTGTGGATGAGAATGCTTAACATCCTCTATCTTTTGAGTTCGTCATCTAAAGTATCATTCGAGGGGACAGTCTCTGAAAGGGGAAATCATAAGTTTATGGGTAACTTATGCTCGTGTGACAATGTTTGTCTTTAATATGAGTAAGAAAAAAATCTTTTTAAATCTTCAATCTACGCGGACCTTTCTATTTATCCAATTTAAAGACTACAAGAAATCCAAGGAGAAAGAAAAACTAGGCTTCTACATATCAAGCGATCATTTCAAGAGCATATCTGTATATAGTTTCAATTATTGTTAATAAGCCTTGGCGCTTTAGTTTTGATTTTCATTATGATTAACTTTACATATGTACTTATTCATTTCCTAACATAATACTGTTAAGACACTGGTAATAGTTCTTAAAGGATAAGGTGGATATAGGTTATTAACACTGAGGTTAATAATAAAGTAGTTATGAAAGTGAGCACCAGACTGGAAGTAGTCAACTTAAGAAATCTTATAATATAAAGCTTTTAGGATAAGAAGATAATCAACGATGATTTTAAGAGGGCGTAAGTAATATAAATATAAACTGATTGCCAAGATTAAAAAGAAAAGTAATTATGTTATTATAAACAATATCTTATATACGGTTGTAGTAATAAAGAGATTCAAGTCGAGTGTGAAATATGAACTTTGAGTTAATTGTTATATGAAAAGTATAGACTTAAGATAAACAAGAAGTATGAAAGTTGAGGGAAACACAAAGGAGTCAATTACAAATTATTAAGAAACTAGATTTTTAGTTAAGATAAAAAAAGGGACGTATTTATAGAAAAGATCCTATCCTGTGTAACACCAAGTCAATTTAGATTGGCTGCAACAATACATAAGGCCATTTATTCATAGAATGGACCAAGTTGATGCATACCAACTTTATCATCTTCTTCAACTAACTTCAGAATACTGGGATTAACTACTGTTGAAAGATTCTCGGAGGGAAAAGAAGTAAATCTGAATTCTTTCAATTTCTGGCAATGGTCATCTTTTAGTGTGGAGATATTTTCTACCGAATCCTCCAACAAGCACTATTAAGAAGAGAAAGAAAATATTGTCAGTTAAGTACTGGAATGGATTTGATAACCGTTTACCTTTAGCAGCCAATAGAACTTGACAAATTTTGGCGGTTGTTCCAGCTTGCATTCGAAATTAGGGTTGATATCTAAACGTCCTTCCAGCCAAAGTTCATACGCGGGACCTTCCACCACAAATCGTAAGCTCCAGATGTAGATAGTCTTGTCTTTTGAAATTATTAGTATTCTAACACATACTACATTTTAATATGTCTTACCAGCAGCTTGTACAAATATGATCTTAATTTTAGCGAATTATTGTACGGATCCCAGATGGTAGTTATCACCAATGGTTTTAATCATGGATAGTGACCCAGAGATTCACTTAATAGTAGTATGAAGTCTTTCCAGGAGGATGTGACCCACGTTGTCAAGTGGCGGCTTGCCTGGGTAAGGGGACACATCTGCTAAAAGCTAACGCAGGTATCCTAAGGGGGACCCAACGAGAATAAAGACCTTTCGAGGTGATTAATACACTTCCTATTGTTCTTTTTTGCTTCTAAAAAAAAGAACAATGTCTCCAAATAGTCCTACCTGGTCACCACGAGCTCCATTCACCGATAATTATCACCTCCAAAAGAAGCACTTCCAAAAGAAGCACTTCCAAAAGAAGCACTTCCAAAAGAAGTACTTCCAACTCCTCCATCCCATACAGAGTGATAATACCATCAGCATAATATAATGTGGAATCATCATTGCCGTTTAGCTGCTTTGTCATTGCATTTAAAGGGGTCTCCCCCACCCGAAATTCTGATCCACAGGCTTTCACATCTTGGACTGCTTTGGCGACTGCCTTCAGAAAAGGGTACGTAAACATGTCATTGAAAGTGGCCTCATCCTTTTCCAGGTTTTGCCGTGATGAACCGACCTTATAGCTGGAATTGAAGCATTAAAATCAAAATAACAAATTTCTTTATGCTTCAACTGTTTTTTTTACCAAGGTCGGAATATATCTTCAAGGAAGACAAAAGCAATGACAATATTACTATCATTACTTTTGGGAGTATCCCTTAACTCCTTGTTGAATCTGACAAGTTACACTGCTTTTTTAGGTTGGTTATGAGATATAATATGACAGCAATGCAATTCGGCTATTTTTACTTACACTATCAATGACGCTATTCAGATAGGTTTTGGTGACATCTGGGATGATGTACTGTCGTAACTTTCGTCATCCAAATTCAGTTTTGATGACAGTCCTCGGTCACATCTGATTAGTCCCATGCTTTTCAGGACTATCAATGCATTAACTGTTAATAATAATTTTTTTTTTTTTTTTTTTTTTTTTTTTTAGCTAACCTGTATGCATGGAACTTTTCGATGTTGTTTTCATCTTATAAAAAGTCCATCCAGTCTTGCGATAAACCATGTGTCTAAACAAAATAGTATTAACATATTAGATTTTAAAATGATATCAAAATTTACCTTATCTATGATTCGTTCTTTTTTATTGGGGAAATGAACATCGCTGGTATTCTGGTTACGCTTTTTATTTTTTGTGCTTCCCTCGCTCGAGTCAATCTAACAAATATTTCGATTAAATTTTATACTGTCCCTTATACCAATAAATGATAAGCTTACATGGGTGTTAAAATCTATGCTACCAACTGTACTATTTTTCAATATTATCCCATTGTTGATTGTTGTTGACTTGGTATTTTTCTCTTTAGCCTTTTTGGATTTAATATGGGCCTTTGATGGCTAAGTGATAGGGATTATGAAATTAGTGCGCCATAAATACATGATTAGGGTTTGATACTTTACGATATAATCCAGGCAGTAAATGGTCGGGATCACACTGTAAAACAGTTTCGACCAGTCTGTATGTGACTGGACATCACACCGTGTTTAGCGGATGCCAACGCTCGAAGCGTGACAGGACTGCGTTCAATACTGCTCAGTCTTTTATTGCAATCCGTGTTTCTGGACATAAGAAACCACTTCATGCCACTCACATCATGGTATTTTACAGCCATGTCACCTTCATGTTTGCATTTTTTCATGCTGAAACATTTACCTAAATATATGCAAGTTAATATCCGTAATCATGGTCATGATTTAGAGATTCAATGTCACCTACGGTAAAACCCTGTCTAAAGCTGAGACCCCAACTTGGGAGGTTCCCATTCATGAATATCATGAATGGATAGTATGCCGCCGTAGTATTACGGACATACTGCGAAAATTGAAACATATATTTTCAAGTCATATTTTAGCGTTATCTTTTTTAAGAAAAAAAACAAAAGGTCTATTATGAACTTACCTTTTCATGACTATCTTCTTATTTGTGAAGACAGTGTTATACATGAAATAATACAAGGGAAAAGATAAAGGAAAAAGGAAAAGGAGAAGAAAAAAGTGTGTGAATGAGCTTTTATTTATAGACCTGATAAACAAGGGCTGAAATTATGTCAGGATGATTATATAATTGCTGATTTAATCACTCATTAATTGTTTGAGCCTTTACTTATAATGGAAATATCTGCAAATACCGTAACCCCCCAGGCTTACATAAATGTAAATGGCTGAACTTTGTAATTGTTTATCAGTATTTTAGTTGTAAGTAGTGGCATGTACCGTTGATAAATTATGATTGCGTTCGTTAAAAGTACACTTTATATGCTTAACGTAACAAACCTTTTTCAATATTATGCACTTCATTATGACACTACAAAAATCCTCATGAAATACAAAAGTGTTTGATACATGCTCCAGAATAAACGGTACACCCCTATTCTTGTAACCCACCAAGTAGGCTAGATTTACTTTATTTAAGAAACGGGATTTTAGCTTGGGTGTTGAAGGCAAGTGTGTTTTGAAAGAGATTAATTGTAAATTTTATCATGAATCATATAGGTTGACTCTGCTGCAATTAATAGAACTCAAGCATAAAGTGTGCTGGACTGACTCAATAGTTTGGCTTATGTAATATCCTCCTGTCAAAAAACGGATACCTTTCTCCCCCCAACCCCGGGCGAATTAAAGAGTCACTTGAAAGAGAAAAAAAAAAAAAAAAATTTAAAAAAAGGGAAGGGTGTTGATGGTGGCAAGTCACGTTGTCAAGAGATGATTGGGCAGTAATGAATAAAAAAAATTTTTCATGACGAATATAAAAAGGGGGGCCTCTGTTTGCCACTCTTTTCAATTGTTTTTCTTATATAACAACAAGTTAAAAAGGTAAATAAACAAGACATATAGAAAGGATGAATTCATGTTTCCGGGAACATGGGCCAAGGATTAAAAAATATTTGCTACTTCTGAGAGATAATGAGGTTACTAAAATATCACCAAGATCTATGAGGCAGAAAAACTATTCATCCTTTTTAAAAAAAAATTTTTTTTTCTTTTCATTTGGAAATTAAAATACTAATATTTATTTTTTCTGAATAGATTGCTTTCTTGCTAGGCTGATCTTTTTTTTTTTGTTGTTTTTAAATAAATATTTGCTTTTTTTAAAAAAAAAATTCTTCATGTATATAATTTTTTAATTTTTTGTGTTATGTCTTCATTTTGTCAAAAGAAGCTTTGAATAAGAAAAGATTCATTGTGTTTTGGAAGTGGCAATGTGTTCACTCGCGCGAGCTTTTTGCTGCAATCTAATTGGTCCGATAGCAGTCACAATTGAGTGGAAACAGAAAAAAAAAATAAAAAAAAAAGGAATATAAGCCTAATTCTACTTTTTTTTTTTTTTTTTTTTTTTTTATTTTTCCTTTTTCCTATTTCACCGACTATATAACTTCACCCCCCCTTTTTTTTTTTTTTTTTTTTTTTTGTTCTTTTTTTTTCTAATCACTCCCCCCAAAAATCAACTGGTAAGGAATAAAAGTCTGACTCTTAAAAAAATAAATAAATAGATATTTCGTGTATGTGTTCCTTACCCTGGTTCTTTTCCTTTCTATTTATTTTTCCGTAGAAGCGTCAAGAAAAGAAGGAAAAAAAAAAGCAAAGAAGAGAAAATGAATGTTGCTTCACCTAAACAAAGGTAAGGTGATAGGAAAAAAAAAAAAAAAGAAAGATAGGGAGAGTATGACGCGTATCTGTTTATTGAAATACATTTTTGATGAGGTAGTGTTGAGCAGTTTGAAGAGATTGATACAAGCAGCGTGAAACCTAAAGTAGAATTAAAAGAGAACGTATCGTTATTAGACCGTGGAAAGGGGATTAAAAAGCAGGTAAGCTAAAAGAGAGAGAATGAGTGAAAGAGAATATTTTATCAGTGTTACTCATGTTGCACAGTCAAGGACCAACTCGCCTTCACCTTCTATACCTCCCGGAAGTAAAACCAACATGACACGCGATCAAATTAAATATTGTGGAGCCATCATGAGAAACTTAAAGAAACACAGAGATGCCGCTCCATTCTTGCATCCGGTTGATTACGTCAAGCTCAATGTGCCTGATTATCCTAAAGTCATTCAGCATCCCATGGACCTGACCACGGTCGACCACAAACTGAATGCGGGTGAATATGAAAATGTGGAAGAATTTATCAATGATATTCGATTGGTCTTTAATAACTGCTTCAAGTTCAATGGTCCTGAGGCCATGATATCGATGCTCTGTCAGAATGTGGAGTCTGCCTTTGAGAAGAGTCTGCGACAGATGCCACCGTCCAGAGGAGTGAGTGTCCATGCATGCTATTGCTATGAGTATATATCTATACACACATATTAACAAATATTACTAGAGCACCCCACCTCCACGGTCAGTTTCACCAGTCCTGTTTGATGGCGATGAGGGAGAACGAGGAATAAAGAAGAGGAAGAAATCAACGACGACCAGCAATATCAAACATGTACCTATACACCACAACACCAACAACAACAACAATAATAATAATAATATAAATACAAGAGAGGATTCACCACAGTATAATGGACGACGTATTAGTGAGGATGGCCGACCCAAACGAGAGATTCACCCTCCTCCATCCAAAGATTATCCTGAGCCAATGACAAAGCGACGCAACCCCAGAAAGAATGACCTGCAAATGAAGTTTTGTGCTCAGACACTCCGAGAACTGAAAAAGAACAAGTATAGAGATATCAATTACCCCTTTTTAGCACCTGTCGATGTCGTTGCTCTCAATATTCCTGATTATGTCAATATCGTTAAACATCCTATGGATCTAGCCACTATTGAACGTAAATTAACTGAGGGTGATTATGATGAACCTGATCAGTTTGAGGCTGATATACGTCTCATGTTTAACAATTGTTACCTCTATAACCCACCTAATCTACCTGTCCACAAAATGGGTCGTGAGCTAGAGAAGGTCTTTGACGAGAAATGGGCACAGAGACCCTCGACTCCTTTGCCTACTCCCGTCATTGATGAAGCCACCGAATTTGAAGATCAGACACACGATGACGACGAAGATGACGACGACGACGATGAAGATGAGTCCGACCAAGACGGTACGTTTTTCTTCTTCTTTTTTTAATATATATCTTACTAACTAACCTTTCTCCAGCAGACCGTGATCAGAAGATTGCCGAGCTGGAACGTCATATTGCCACCATCTCGCAACAGATTGCATCAATAAAATCCTTAAAGAGAAAAAAGCCGGAAAGACCCCCTCCCCGTCGTCAAAGTAAGCCTGTGGTAAAGGAAAAGAAGCCTGTAGTGAAAGAAAAGCGAAAGAGAGTCAATAAGAAGAAGGATGGACTAGCACAGTCAGCCCCATTATCATCATCATCAACATCAACAGCAGCACAAGGAAAAACCTCGACAGCATCATCAGGACCATCACATCACAACCAACAAGCGCATAAATCTGTAAATAGCAGCGGTGTAGGATTAAGAGAGGAATTACCCGAATTCACATTTGATCAGAAGAAGGATCTAAGTGAACGTATTAATAATTTATCGGGTGATAGTCTAAATACTGTGGTCAACATCATTCAAAGTTCCATGCCCAACCTGGACGGGGTAAGTTTTGCTTTTATTTTTTTTCAAAAAAAAAAAATTGATATACTTACATCTTAATTGTAGCAAGGACAGGAGGAGATTGTCCTTGATATCGACTCGCTTGACAGACCCACTCTGCACCGGTTGCATGAGTTTGTTACGGGTGAGAGTTTGGTCGCCAAAAAATCCTCGTCGCCGTCTTCCAAACGACCAAGAACCCACTATTCCGAGAGGGATGCGGACCGAAAGATCCGCGAACTCGAAGAGACATTACAAAAGTTCAACTCTGGTAAGTCTTCTTTATGGTTACCATGACAATATAAACTAACAATATCTATAGACTCTTCAAGCGATAGCGGGGATTCTGATAGTTCTTCAGGCTCTGATTCTGATGATTCCGGTAGTAGCTCTGATTAAATATAGATACCTTCCACTCTCTCCCCTTCTCTTTTTTTTTCTTTTTTTCTCTCTCTCACACACACACATATAAAAAAAAAAAATTAAAATCACACAAACAAAGCACGCAAAAATAGTTTTTTTTTTTATTCTAAAAAGTCTCGTCATCGTATTCTACAGCCTTTAATTCTTCTTCCTCAGGTGGTACTTCAAAACCTTCTTCTGTGCTGTACAAGATGGTCTGAATAGACTGTAAAATGGGGAAGGCTTCATGCTCTTCCAGAGTACGGTCTGTTTCTTGACAGGTCAATTCAACTCCTTCCAAATTCTCTTGAACGTCAATCTCGATTTCTCGTAATTTCCCGAAATAAAAATCACGTTCCTTTTCAAGGCCATCTACGGTTAACTTGAGTTCAGCAATCTGTTTGTTGAGGTCGATGATCATGGTGGCCGAGTGGTTGTCCAAGACACTGGCACGTCCACCTCGACTGACACTGCGGGAAGCGGGTGTCTTGGTGGCCTTCTTTGCACCTCCAGCGGCAGAACTGACTCGTCCCGATGTTGTGCTGGCATGTGAAGTCGTCGTGCTAGAACGGTTACCCGTTGCTGCTCCAGTGGGTGCACTGCCTAATCCTTTACGGCGTCCTAAGGCATCGTATTCTCCTCCTGGGTAGTTTTGATCCCAGAATCTCTTTACCCATTGCATAAACTCCAAATTGTCTTGGAGTTTACATTTCGTCAAGCGGTCAACCGGAACAATCTGTATTGCATATTTGTTAGTGATGATTTCTCTATCTATCCTTTTTTTTTTTTATGTATATATATATACCTTGTCAACCCTATTTTTTAAGGAGTTATAAAAAAAAAATTTAAACAAGGGGGGGTCAGTAAAATAACAACAAACACCTATTTTTTTTTTATAACACAATGTATGTAGAAAGAAACTTACTTGTGCTTCTTGAAAATGTTTTGTAAAATCTTGTAATTACCAACATATTCATATTCAAGTTTTGCTTCGAATTTCACCTTGCTAACAGGTACATCGCCTACAATAGAGTTAGTACATAACTTTCTTTTTACAATATCGTCACGACATTACCGTAGATGGAATCAAAGATTTGACAATACACAGCACCTATACACACACGCAAGAAAAAAAAAAAAATGCAAACTTTTTCAATACCCCTTTTTTATCTGACCTCGAAAAAAAAATTATATACCAGTTCCAGCTTGTTCGATTTTAGTGTATCTTGTTTGTAAAAGGTCGTTCAGCCATGCTAATAATTCCGTGCGAGATTCTCCCATGGTATGTGTATAAAAATAAAAATAATAAAAAAAGGGTTGTAAAGAAAATAAAAATAAAAAAAATGGATAGAAAATTTTAAAAATAACAACAAAATTTTTTTTGCACGTGTTTTGTGACGTATTACTTTTTTTTTTTTATTTATTATTGATTTCCTCCTCGTGTGGCTGCACGAAGTTTCTCATTAAAAAATCTTTCCAATTTAGCAGAACATTTGGCATATTCTGTTTCTTCTGCATTGTATAATTTACAATTCTCAAAAATCTTTTGCGTGTCCTTGACAAAATCCTCCATCGTAGGATACGCATCCGCCTTTACATTCTCTTCCAGTGTCGCCAAGTCTATGATTTGGGGCCCGATTAGTTTTTTTTTTTCTCATACATACTCATACATATATACACTGTACCCATTGGATCCTTGATAATATCGTAATAGTCCGCTACATCTTCTACACTCACAGGCTCCAGAAAGGGCCAAGCATGTGTATAGTTCTGCATCTCTTCCACGATATGCAGCATTTGATTGTAGTGAGGCGAATGTCTCGGTCGGTTTGATCTATACCATGCGTCAATTTATATAAGCATAAAAAAAAAGAAAAATAAAACAGATACAACTCACATCATGTCCATCTCGGGCGTCCAACCAGACTCGGGTATACCGGGCACCTCCAGCGGATCAATGGAGCGTTTGCCACTCTTGCCTATAGGCATACGTAAACCGGGGAAAGCCACATGTTCTGTAGATTTCTCCTTCATCTTTTGCAAGATGGCATTCTTTTGTACCCCCAATATATCCCCTACCTGAAGATACTTGACACGCGGTACCATGGTACACTGCATAATCGTACCCCCTTCATAATCCTTGATATACCCTACCCATTTCCTTTTATCGAGCGTAATCTCAGTCGTAAAACCTTGTTTTTTAAAATACCCCACCGCATAATTATCAGCATACGTCAAGAAATGTTTGACATTGGTGTGACCCGACACGTAATCCTTTAGATGGTTCATGATGAAGGAACCGTACCCTTTCACTTGTTCCGTAGATGCCACCGCACAAAACACAATTTCCGCAAATTCCTGCGCGTCAAACGGCCGATAGCAGATACCACCAATGACCTTATGTGGATTACGAATCAAGGCAATACTGCGATGATTTCGGTCATACACAAGTCGTGCAATGTACTCCTTGGGCATCTTGGGTAGTTGCTTCTGGAAAATATTTTTTAACCCCGTCAGCAAGATCATGCTCTCACGTTCCCCGTCGTTCAATACAACCTGTGTACTGATCTCGCCCTCGCGTTCTTCTATCATGGCAGGACTTTCTTTTTTCTCTAAAGGCTACACAAAGAATATATTCAGACTCATATCATCACTGTATAGGTCTCTCTTTTTTTTTTTTTTGTTACCATGAATTCCTTTAGCATCCTACTCACTTGGTCCTGGTCTGTTTGTACAAGGGCATTCTCTGCCACGGGTGGTGGTGATTGTGGTGGCGGCGGTTGCGATGGAGATGAGGGTGGTTGTGATGGGGATAATGGTGGTAGTGATGGTGACGAAGGCTGTTCCTGTGGTTGCTGTGTTTCTGGTTGTGGTAGTGGCTGTGTTTCTGGTAGTTGTGATGGTTGTGGTGGTTGTGGTGGTGATGAGGAGGATGATAATGGTTGTGATTGTGATGGTGGTAGTGGTAAAGATGGTGGTTGTGATGACGGTGGCGGTGGTATATTTTCAGGCTGTTCCTGATCTATCTCTTGGTCGAGTGTTGTTGTAGATTGTATAGAGTCTATCACCATGGGTTCTGCTTCCTCTTCTTCCTCAGAGTCCTGTTCTGAGTGATCTTCTTTATCTGAATGATCATCCTCTTTATCTGAATGGTCCTCCTCTTTATCTGAATGGTCCTCCTCTTTATCCGAATGATCTTCCTCTTTATCCGAATGGTCGTCTTCCTTGTCTGAGTGATCTTCTTTATCGGATGGATCCTCTTCCTCCTTGTCAGAATGGTCTTCTTTGTCTGATGGATCATCTTTATCGGAATCCTTATCCGATTCGTCTTCCTCCTCTGATTCCTCTGATTCATCTTCTTCATCCTCCTCTTCGTCTTCATCCTCATCTTCATCGTCTTCTTCTTCATTTTCACTTTCTGAATGATCTGTTCTATTTCGTTTGATGCTGTGACCATCTTCTGTCTCGTCTTCATCTAGTCTCGATCTCTTTTTATAATCTCCCTGAGACGATGATGATTCAGTAAATAAAATTTGTCTATTTTTGAGAAAATAAATTTGAAAGAGAGCAAAAATAAAATATAAAATTAAAAAGAACAATAAAAAAAAAAAAAAAAAAAAAAAAGGTACGGGAGCGGGGAAGTTAAGAGAAAAAATATATGAAAAAGATATTTAATGCATAATCATATTTACTTTTTTAATGAATTGATATCTTCATCTTCATAATCATAGTCTTCGATCTTTCCTTTTTCCTATGCAAAAATAACAAATAGATGTGGTAAGTATTTTTTTTTTTTTTTTTTTTTTTTTTTTAAGTAAAAAAATAATGTGTATTTTCACTGGGATAAATACTTCAAGAAGCTCGTTGAGTCTGGATGCCACTTTCAACCTGCGTTCCAGATCTTGTCCATTGTCTACATGATGAAAAGTATCATGCCCACATTGACAGCTATTATTGTAGGAAGGATGCCATCCTTTACAAGAACATAGATCACAAGGTATAAAACGTGCAATCATGGCGTATTTCTCCTCATCACTCATCTCTGCCAATTGAGGAAACAATGGCAAGCTGGAAGCAACCATAATGTATTTTTAATAATTAAAAAAAAAAATTATAAAAGAGTGGGAAAGGTACAAATAAAAAAAAATAAAAATAAGGAAAAGCGAGAAAAAGAGCAATAAATAATAAAAAAAATGTCGTGTTTTATTTACCCTTGTGTGTGTAGGTATTTTAGTCACAAATTGAATTTAATTTCTTACTTGGACGACTGCCTACCATCATCCTTGATACTAAGAACATTAATTCATTTCTATTGGTTTATTACATTATGTAAGGCAAAAATAAAACAGGCTTCTCGCAAAAAAAAAAAGTGTTGTCTACCCGTCGTGAGCCCAAATTTGGTAACCATATACTGTAAAAGTATTTTTTGTATATAGATCGTGATATCACTGGAAAGACCTGCTACTTTGGTCAACAATGGCACCTACCCTTATGCATTCAACCGCTTATACAATACAACCCTTCAAACAAGTGGCTCTGCAAGTGCCTCCTATTTAAGGTCCAAATAAACTATCCGAAGAGTATCTTAAGTATAATTGCTATCATGAATAATCATGGAGACCAACAAAGTGTAAGCACATTCAAGAAGTCATATAGTTTACAGTAATTATGCTCAATTATAAGTGCGTGATTCCGAATGTAAAGGGGCGATTACGAGTAGGTATATTGCAAAAGCAATTGATAACACTAAATTACTAAGAGCGGAGGACTTTAAGAGATATGTTTTTACTTGCATTTTATAGCTTTACAGGACTTTATAGCCAATCAAATATATTGTTAATATTTTGGGAATTATACGGTGTTTGCGCAATAGATCCATGTTCAGTGTAGGTATGCTGATAGCAACCTCTGTTATTGGAAGGGCTGTAAAAGTCATTTTTAAAAAATACAAAAATAATAAACCTCACCACTCACGTCTTACAATTTGATGTGTGCGACTGAGTAGGTTTATGATGTTTTCGCAATAAGACAAGTTATTATAGGATATCTTTTAGAACGAAAAGATCACTGTTATGTAAATGCCAAAAAAATAAAAAAAAAAAGGAGGATACCAAATGTTGTGATTTGTGTAACAAGTTGCCTGTCGCAAGTAAGTGTATGCGTTGGCTGTCTAAAGCAGCAGATGTCGTCAAAAAAATTTTTTTTGGTGCTTTAAACAAATGACTAACAGCTATGGTACCTGCACCTAAACCAATGAAGACTATTGGTGGGAAGGGACAGCTAGTAATTGTATATCCCCATTACCAGTCAACACTTCTTATCTAGCCGATTTGGATCGGGATGTGTCCACAGCTCCTTTAGAGCAGATACCTGAACCTCTTTTTGACAATGTGTAAATGTATATCCATAGTTCTTTCTATTGTATACAATCCATGGAATAGTAATGACCTACATGTTCCAGCGTTGCGAACTATGCTAATTGTTTTATCCATATTTTTTTTTATCGTCCGCTTACATCCTGTAGGCCTTTTTTTTCTCACGCTTTGATATGCATATAAATTCAAACTGGAAAACAAAAAGGGATAGTCTTTCTTTTGTTCTTTTTTTCTTGTATATTAAAACAAAAAAGTTATACATAAATGTCCATTTCAGACGATGCCGTATTGGAATTCATGTTCAATCCTGGTAAGACCTTTGTAAAAATAAAACAAGATGGTGTGTTTAACAGTCAATCAGAATCACAAGGATTGCCTCTTGATACAATCTCCAGCACAGTTGATACAAAACCAAGTAAAGTATACGAAAAAAAGAAATGATGTACATCTTGTACTTACATGTTTCTAGAGTATGATATATCCCCTGAAACCATTGCAAAATTAGAGGCGATTGAAAAAGAAGCTGTTGTGTTGGTAGAAAAGGATGCAAACTCTGATAAGGCATTAGAGTTATTTAACAAGTGTATCGAAATAGAAAGTAAATACTCTTCAGCGTATAACAATAGGTAAGATTCAAAAGATGTATATGCTCTTTGTGTTATTTACTCTATTTCGGTAAACTTAGAGCCCAATTGTACCGGATGCAGGATAATTTGGAGGCAGCGCTAAAAGACTTGGATTATGTCATTCAGGATATTGGAGAGGGACAGCCCAAGATTTTAAAACAAGCGTATACTCAACGAGCCATTATAAAACGTCAACAGGGAGATATCAGTGGGTCGCAAAAGGATTTTGAGATGGGAGCCAAATTGGGTAATCCGATTGCGCGTAATTTTGCAGTGTCCGAAAATCCTTATGCTAAAATGTGTAATCAAGTCATGATGCAAGTGATGAATCAAGAGAGAATGCGAGGTTTTATTAATCCGGAATTATAAATATATACTTCTTTTAAAAATTTTACAAGTGTCTTGTATAGAGAGTTTGTGCATAATATCTAATTGTATTCTTTCGTTGGCTATGGCTGTTAGTGCAGTTATAGGCACAGTAGGGTATGTGCTTTTTAAATTTTCTGTGATTCGTAAAAAACCAAATACAAAATCCGTTCCCCATTGTGATACACATTGTGCTTCGTCGATAATAATTCTCGACAATAGGTTCTCCCTGTAGAGTTCTTGGATAACGAGAGAGCACTTAGCAAATACATCAAAAGTCATATAGACAATGCTATATTTCTTGAGCAAGGCAGTATCTACATCGTTCATGGAGACCCAATTTTTTTTGAAGCTGCTTTTAGACTTGCTTACAAATAATGTTGGTATATTATGTACTGACAAATTGTGATCGTCTTGTTGTAATAAATAAAACGAATCGGGCACAATCACGATATTTGTCAAATTGGGGAAGTGATGTAATATGGGTATTTGGTAGCAGATGTTTCTTTGCTCGCCCTTTGGCAAGACCAAGAATATATCATCCCCATTCATTGCAGCATCAATCGCTTCGTACTGATTTGGGAGGAAGTGATTGATGTTGAAGACAGCTTGCAGGAGTGTTTGAATCTCTTCTCTGCGACCAGGTTGCACCAAAGGCGCTTCTGCTATAGGTACTGGTGGTGTGACTTCTTCAAACTCTACAATATCATTTTCATCAATCCAGTCTTCCTCAGCGTCGTAGTAAATAGAAAGATCGCTCATTGTTCTAGTTATGGAGTTTCTAATTATACAGTTAAAAAAATATGTTCTGTTTACTAACAACATTTTTTTTTTTGTACCTGTTATCCTAAAGAGAGAAAGAAACATTAATTTCTTAAAAATTGTCAAACATATATGCTTTGGCCAAACCTGCGATAAAGTGAATAAATTTTCATCAAATGAGTGATCCTATATTTTGTTTGAATGATATTAAGAGACGGAGTTATCATCCTTTTCGATTTTTTTTTTTTTTTTTACAAATATCTGTTTTTCAGGTACAGTGGGTATATGCGAACATGTTGGTATAGGCGACAAAGCTAGTGGCGATAAAGGCTTAGTTAGATCTATCTCATCGTCCGATAGAAAACGTTCCTCTGTTCTCCTCCTTTTTCGAGAATGCGAAACTTTGTTCGGTAGATTCCAGATCTGTTGTTAACACCAATGGAGTAAAAAAAACAAAAAAACAAAAAGAAAGAACTACCTTGTTCGTCAGTGTTGGCCGTAAATTCAAATGGGATTGGTGGTTTTCTTAAAGCAGCATGGTAACATCGTGTGTCTTCACCATGCTTTGTTGTCATGTGCGGTTCGACTGTATGTTTAAACCAAGCCAAGTTCTCGGTATAGTTTGATTTCATTATTTATTTCTACAGTAGTAAAGAAGAAGGAGGGAGGGGACCTTGTGTCACGTCTCCACATATAAATTCTTTTTATATGTTGGAAATGAAAATCAGTTTGGCCTTTTAAATGTATAATTACTGTCGTTAAATCTGGATTTCCATGTTTGTGTGTGAAGGACTTATTAAGCAACACTATTATACCAACATCAAAGGCTACTCTGTTTGCCGAATTCAAAGAGTAGTTATGCATTTTACAAAGGATTTTATGGTCAAAGGAACACTTCGATATATTCACTAAATAACGGTGATTTAGTAATCTGAAGTAAAATTCACCCCGCTACCTTCAAAAAATAGTATACAAAATGCTGATTACATAATGCTAGGTGTGTAGCTGCCATAGTCATTTTGTCTAGGGGGGAAATGGTTTGTTTCTATACACATACTATACCCGGATTATGATTGGATATAAACAGGGGTTTTCATATCTGAGATCTGCCTTAGATCGAAGTTGAAGGTCCACACGAAGTTATTCATGCACTTTACGGTGTTGCATGAAAAAAAAACAGAAATCATGGTATGTGGCTAGGATGTGTATTCATCTATCAAAAAACCATGCATTATAGGAATTTATAACTTCTTTTCAGAAGCCCTAATACACATATTATTTTGTAACCATCGACTCTTATGTAAGGATGCATGCATTTACGCCATTGTAACATACACTGATAAAGACATACTTTATGCATTACACATCTTCACAGTTTTCTTTTCTCTAACCAACTCTATTAGCACCTATACGTAATCAATTATATTCACTCCATCTCGATCTGACATCATATATATTTTATTTATTTTTATAATTGGCAGTTGATGAGACAGCAGATTTAAACCAAACTTGCTTTCAATTCGTCAAGCTCATCCTGAATACGCTGACGTTCCATACGTTCCTGTTCTAACTTGTTTTCGAATTCTTGACGGATTTTATCTGTCTCTACCTTTATGAGTTGTCTAATCTTCATATCCAATGGATCTGGCGTAGATGGAAGTGCGATATTACGATGTGGGGGAGTTTTTTTCTCAGGTACCTGACTTTGATCAAAATTGTTTGGTAGGATGGTCTTTTCAGGAAGTGGAGGCATGGATCTTTTAGGGACGGGAGGAATCACTTCATCGTTGGTCGAAACGGGTCGACTAGTGGATGGAGATGGGGGAACTGCGTGAGGCGCCTTGGCCCCAAAGTTCATCTTTGGTGGTTTAGCCATATGGTTTAGTGCATTTTGATGTGCCTCAGGACTTCTAGCCCCATACAAATCGGATGAAATAGTAGATGTTGGTCTAGGGATAGGACGCGTAGGTCTTTCGAAACCGGGTGACATGGGCGGTAAATCAGGAGAAGTGAGCGGGATAGATGGAATGCGTCGGTGACCTATTTCAATAGGTGGTGGAGATACAATCGAATTAGTACGTCGAGTAGAGGGAACAGGAGGTGATGTAATTGGACGAGGCGGTGTCGTAGTAGGGCGTGGAGGAGGGGACCCAAGGGAGGATCCTTCCCTTTGAGACAATAAAGATGTAGGACGTGTGGTTACAGGTACGGGAGGAGGTCGGGCCATACTCTCCGGTGGTGCTGCTACTACAGGCGCCTCGGTCTTTACAGTTGCAGGTCTAGCACGAACAGGTCTTTGTGGGGGTTTATCCTCTTCCAAAATCTGAACAAAGTTTGAAGGGAATACGCCAGTTTCTCCGCTTTCACTCGTACCTTTCCACCATCCGTCATTCTCTAGCTGATCTATAACTGTAACGTATTCTCCTCTCATAAGCTTTATTTCATCTATTGGTTACATAGTTTAGTAAATAGTTTATATGCACATGTTACCATAGTTATACCTTCGCTCTCAGGTGCATAATCATGAAGAACCATAGCTCTAGATGACATTGTACCTAATAATGAAATCCGATTAATCCAATGTATAGCACGACGAACTGAAAGAGTGACCAACCTTTCTTAGTGGGCGCAGCTACTTGCTCCACGGGTTTTGCAATGGTGGGATGAGGTTTATTTGGAATTGAGGGAGCCTATATTAATAGCAAATAAATACAAAACATAAGAGAAAAAAAGGTAATACAAGGGAATAAGGTAAAACTTACAGATGTTTCAGGGTGTGATGTAGAATTTGTTGAGGTGGGTCTTTCATTCATTGAGCTTCGTGCGGACGTAGAAGATCTCTTTAAAGAAAATCCACCAGCCAAGATACTACCTATACCACCTTGTTTGACACCATAAGCAGCTAGTTTAAATGCATCTTCTAAAATAGAAAGAAAATAAATAACATGCGTTCCATTGTGGAATGTGACTATATATAAAAAAAAAACTTACTTTTGGACTTTGAGTCATTATCCTCGGGGTGTTCACCTTCTTCTACCAACTCCACGTGCTTAGGACAAAAAGAAAGAAAAAATGGAGACTAAGTAAGGAATTTCTAGTGCAACCATTCAAAAAAAACTTACGTCGGCCGGGAAAAGGCCCGTTTTCCCATTCAAGTCACCTTTCCACCATCCTTCACCAACATCTTTTTCCAAAATAGTCACGATTCTATTCTTTTGTAGAGATAATTCTTCCGGCGATTGTGCCAAGTAATCTTTGGTCACAATAGCTAATATAATTCCTAAACAATAATAATAATAATCGTCAGTACTATATCATATGATGTTTCTTTCCTTTTCTTTACCTTCTTTCACTGGTATCTTTTCGAGAAACTAAATAAAGAAAAAAAACAAGATTAGCCATTCCTAAACTTAAAAGAGTGAAAAGTACTACATTACATTGCTTGGCACCAGGCCAAACTCCTTATTATTATCAATTCTTTCTGCCAACCACCAGTCAGGACTATCTTTGTTAGAAATACGCACGGTCTCTCCTACTTTAAGAGATAACTCGTCTTCTTTGTCTGTTTCATAAGCGAATGCAGCCTTGTATAATTCTAAGACAAAAACATTAGCATATTTCTCTTATGCTATATTTTTCCCTGTTCGTTTACCTGTCATTGTTTGTTGTTGTTTTCTACTGGAATTTTATTAAAAGAAAGAAAAAAAGATAACAATAAAAAAGAAAATGCGGATAGAATGAAGAACTGTATTTCCGGTTAACACCTTTGTGCTACCAGTTAACCGGCTGAATTATAAAATAAAAGGTCACAGGTTGAAACCATATAAAAAACTGCATTGATGTAATGACAATCAAAAGCATTCTCTGTTCATAAAAAAACCTCAATGTAGTCAGTATATATACATATAACAAAGAAACCAGGGGTATTTTTATTTAATGCCTTTAACAAGCTGGTTATGCTTATAATTATGCAATATGATACAATCACACTATTTTATACGCCACAAATCTGACAGTCTCATAAGTCACTGATCAAACTAGACATTTTAATATCTTGGCTCAAATATTCCTATTGTATGCAATGAATTCCAAATATTATGCAGTACTAAAGCTGAACACTTCAGTGACTGGGATTCTAAATTTGCTCTTGTAGATCTATAAATACTTTCCGTGGTTTTTATTTAAGGAAATCCTGCAAGTATCAAATAATACACAGAAATAAAGCAGCACATTCGCCTTCAAATGGGGGTCTAGATGTTTTGATTTTTAAAATAAAGCCATCAGTCAAGACTGAACTCAGAACAATATGAGCCTTACCGATTAATCAGTTCTTGTTGCTACAGGGGAATGTTCCTCCTTGCTCTGATTAAATTAGTGTATCATTATCTATAATATAATAAAAAATAGTCATTGATTTACTGCATACGCATTAAATTATACTCTAGATTGCAAGAAGTTTATTTTTGTAATCGCCCAACTTTAGGTAATGTAAAGACACACTTATGTAAGGATAAACAAGGATCAAATGCGTTAGAGCCTGTAGCACATTTTTTTTTTTTCATTTGGTAACAAAGGGAGTTTGAACCTCTCTCTTTTACTTTGGAGAAAAGAAGGTAGTCTAACAAATGCTATGAAAAGGTCTGCGCATTATATTATATTTCTTTGTTTGAGGTCAATACACTAAAATAAGTAACACTTGAGAACGAGATCCAAATTACTCGATCGTTTCTTTACAAAATATATTGATCGCCTGTCCAAAAATAGCCACGTGTAGCAACAATTATTTGCGTAATTCTGATACTACCTTTGAAATCGACATGAAAATCTTACCTAGATCAAGGGCTGCCCATATATACAAACTATCTCTTTAATTGAAATCTACGACTAATAGCTTAATATTAGGAATTTTAGAGCAAAAACATCAATCATTAGATGTACTTGTTTGTATGTCAAGATAAGAATCTCTAAAAGAAATAAGGAGACCATAATCTTGCATTATAAGCAAAATATTATTCGACAGAGTTATTTCTTTCAAGTACAAAAACTTTAAATGTGGACAAGAGACTCAGAACAATGACTCTATTAAAATGACTTTTGGAAGGTGACATACGTTGAACTTCAATTTAATAAGTCCCAAAACAAAGTGTTTCTGGCCATAATCATGCGTGCCTTTTTTTTTTATCCGGAAAATGAATATTTATTTATTGTTTATTTAACAAAAAATTAGATAATATCCTTATTTTACTTTCTTCTCGTAGCTCCCTTTGAATGTTTGTTATTTATATCTAAGCTCAATTATTAAATATATAAAACACTATCTCCTATAGTAAATAACTGATGTTTCTTGTTTGTTATCCCTTTAGTTTAACAAATAAAACACGTAGTGATGATGATGGAAACAACCTCAGCATAAATAGTTTATTTTTGACGGGATTTTAAAAACAAAACGTAATCAGTATAAAAATAATCGGTTTGTTGGTTGAGTGTGTTTGTTTCTCTTCTATCAATCTACATGCCACTATCGCTATCATATACACTACCTGGTAAATAAAATAAAGTGTGCCTAATACGTTCATGAGCTAAGTTGTGTTTTTTAAAGACCATCCCAAACCAGGAGACGAAGACCTGCTCAAGGGGGTTCAAGAGTTGAATTGTGGCAATTACTTAAAAGCACTCCAATATTTTGAGACTGCATCCTTATATGAACATGAGTATGGCACAATTATTTTAGCCTGCATTTATTACATGGGACTCAGTGATAAAAGAGATCCAGTTAAAGCTTTTCAGCTCTTTGAAAAAGCAGCAAAGCGGTGGCATAATTGTACTGCTCAATTTTTTACCGGGCTCATGTTGTATAAAGGCGATGGTGTGGAGAAAAGCTTTAAACACGCAATAAAATGGTTAATATATGCATCCAAACGCTACGAAGCACGGTCCTTTGTTGGCGCCATATTTGAAGAAGGGGGATTCGGAGTAACGCAAAACGTTGGCAAGGCTATCCTTTGGTATGAAAAGGTGATTGTTGAGATGGAGCAAAAACGCGGTGAAACGGTATTGAATTTATTCAAAGACAACAATGCCATTACAATAGCAAACTGGGAGCAGGCCGCTGATTTCACATCAAAAACAAGATGCTTGAACATTCAACCTTTTTCTGTAGCAGACATTGCAAGATACTACAACAATTATGACAAGAGATTTATCAGGGAAATGTTGAGAGACTCTTTCTGGTACTTGATGGCGAGTCCTGAAAAAAATGTCAGCTTTTCTCAATTTAACTTTGCAATGCTTTTACAATCAAGAACTTATGATTTACTTTGTAAAAATGCGTATGATAATGGTGGTATGGAAGCAAAAGTCCTATTTTGTAAAGCAAATGATGTTATCTTTGATGCCGCAAACAATGGTCACATGATAGCCCAATGCATTGCCGGAAAGCATGCTGTTATTCACAATAAATACGAGGAAGCGTTCGACTGGTACACCAAATCCAAGGAAAAAGGTTTTATTGAAGCTCACTATGAGTTAGCACTGCTTTACTTTAGGGGATTAGGTACACGCAAGGATTATGAAAAGTCTCTTACAAATTTGTCTTTGATACTGAAATATGGTTCGCTCTACCGACACGGAACTGTGTATTTTCTAATGGGAAAAATATACCAGGTCGGTGGATTTGGCATTAAGCAAGACATTGGAAATGCAGTAAAGTACTATAAAAAATCTGTGGAATCAGGCCAAGGTGTATCGGCTGCGGCAATCGGAGACATCTACGTACAAAACATTGGAATCGATCAGGACTTAAAAAAGGCTTTCGAATGGTATTCAATTGCTGCCTCAATGAATTCCAACGCTGGTAAAAATTCACTCGGACGAATGTACCTCCACGGTCACCACGTAGATCAAGATCTTAATCAAGCCCTAACATTATTTAATGAGGCATATGAAGGGGGATATCAAGATGCTAAAAAGATGATTGACTTTATTGAGCTCGTCAAAATAACCGAAATAGCACAAAGCACATTTAATAGGAGATGCAGTTTTTAATTGTAAGGTTTCGTCGCGTATTTCGTTTAAACAACTCAGCACTTTGATTGCATTAAGTTGAAATATTTAACTATTTAAACGATTTCCTCTCAATAAAACCTACTTTAAAAGGAGGACGAAGGTAGATTATATATACAGATAAATTTAATAGATCATGTAAATCAGAGATGGAGGTAATTATAGTTTAATAATGTTGAAGCTTTATAATAAATTTAATCTTCTTCGTCTCCTCTTTTCTGTTATCATAACTAGATGAATCTTCGTAAGTTTACTGTTTGATGATCAAAATTCATATTTTATATCGTATTGATCTGCTATTTATACCATCAAAATTAAGCTAACTGTTTATCAATGTCCAACAATTTAAGTGCTTCACTCCGACACAAAAAAAAGGCTAGGTATACTCAATGTCCCAGTTGACACAATATATGCAGGCTTCCTTTGTTTTGGGGCAAAAACTGACGAGGTAGGTAATTTTTCAAAGTCAAAGCTACTAGTGCTTAAGAACTAATATCACAATTAGCCTGACCTGGTTTTATCCGGTTTGAAACTTGCAATCGACGTTTTTTATTTTAATGAGATGTTTTGTTTGTAATAAAGGGGTTCATGTGCGACGATCAAAAGCTAGATCCATATCAGATTAATCACAAGTGTAATTATTTGTCCTAACACAACATAATAAACATTTCACCATTATTGGTCAAGACAATATAAATTGGTGCCACCATTTTCGATTCGATTTTTTTTTTCACTAATTGTCACTGTTGTATCGCAGATGTATTAAATCATAGAAACAATACAAATCAATATTGGATCTCAGTAGACAGACTGGAGACCGTAACCATGGAAAAAGTTGCTATGGACGAATAAGAATACATGGATAAACGATAGAATAGTAATCCTGATTGGATCTACTATTAGTTTAGACACAGCTTCGTAAAAGTATAAATACGAGCTCATTTAACTCTTAATAAAAGGTTATCTTTACTTTGATTATTTTATAGTCTATTGTGATATCTACGATATCAGTCATATATTAACAGATAGTATTAAGTGCAGTGATTTTATAGTCACCGATGTCTTTCAGTTATTTAGCTATATAATTGACGGTTTTGGGGTATGCCTGTGGAAGGAATATCAAAATATAAAGGAAATCAGGCAGTAATTTATGATAGAGAGTGTAGATTTACTATTCTTTAAGCCTTATTGCGGTTTAAAGTTTACATAAGGCACTTTTTATATGTAAATTTACTGCTAATGAACCGAGAAATTCTAGCCATTACTAAGGAGTGAGTTAAGAACCCTATAGTTTTCTAGGGTTAAGCTTGGGTGACATTTGAATTTTTTTCAAAAAAAAAAAAAAAAAAAGTTGTAAACAGTTCAGCTGTAAGTTACATAAAAAGTTAAACTTTATGGCTTACACTTACAAAAACCAGTTATCTGCACACTGGTGTAGTTACGTATCAGCCAAGAAACAGCATTTTACAAACACAATCTGCTTAAAGAGAAAATTTTATGCCTAATTGCTACGTGTAACATGTATGATTTAGTGGATGTATTTAGAAAAATTATCTACATATATTTAAGTGTACGTGAGCTCATCTATCTACCAATCAATCTTTAGGAACGTGGAAGATTTGATTGTTTGTATTCATAAACGAGAATAATCGAGGTGGTTAAAAGGCCGCGAAGTGCGTATCACATGCACGAAATTTTAGTGTAAATCACTTTTTATAAGACTGATCTACAGTGGTTGTCACTCCAAAGTTTGATCTCCTTTAAATTATTTGATTATTCTATTATTTGATTTAAGAAAAAAAAGAGAATAATGAATTTGATTCAACAATAGGACCGAGAACGCGGATGCAAACTTGATTGTGAATAAAGAAAATCGAGCAAATAAAGGCCAACCTCGGTGCCATGATTGTTATAATAAAGAGTACAATGTAAAAATAGAATGGTGCACAATATACACTATATCTATTAATTGAAATTTTCAAAGAACATACATCGTAACTGTAATTGATTGTTGTCTAAAAAAAAAAGAACCTTCTCCTTATTTGACTGATCCTTTTCTTAAATCAAAAAAAAAAAAAAAAAAAAAAAAAATCAAAATTTGTTGCTTTCTTCCTTCTAATCACTTTTTTCCCTCTAACCCATGTTCAAATTTGCGAATGATCCATTTGAATATGTTGCACCTTCTGTATGTATTGGCGTGGTGTTATCAATGATACTGGGGCCTATGTACTTTCCTCGAATCTGGATTCTCTTTTTAGCTGGGTACTTTATGATAATCTTCGGAACTCAATTCAACCATTTATTTCAATTTTACAAAACGTCGACAAAGATCAAGCGAACGATTAATAAAGACCAAGATAATATAACAAATCATATCATCACGGAAATGGAGTCTTGCTTAGCTTTTGATGATTTGGTGCACGCTATTGTGGTACCAAATTATTCTGAGCCCGAGGCATTAATAAAAGACACAATAAACCGTATTGCCATACATAAGTAAGTCTCATTGCCAAGATCAGTTTTGGGGGACTAATAAATTCTATTAATAGGAAAGCCCGAACAAATTATGTGCTTGTTCTAGCTATGGAGGCATCCGAACTATTTCACACGACAAAATCAGATCATCTCAAAGAGTATTTTAACGACAAGTTTCTTGATTTTATTGTCACCAATCATCCATCCGATCTTCCCGGTGAAGCTAGAGGTAAAGGATCTAATATCAGTTATGCCGCTAGAAAAGCATGTGCCGAGTTGATTCAAAAGGGCATGGACATAAAAAGAATCATGATCACAATTGCGGATTCAGACTCGCACATACCTGAATTATACATGACTGAGGTAAGAATAAGTAGCATATCGTGAAATTTTTAAAATTAACATTTTTTAAAAAAAAAAGGTTGAAAGGGAATTCAAATTTACAGAAGATCCTTATTTTAAAGTATACGCACCTCCTATCTTTTTCAGCAGAAATTGTTTCAATGTTCCTGCAGCAGTTAGAGTTACAGATATCACATGGTCTTCCATGATGATGGCGAATTTAAGTGGTAGTCGAGGTATTGGATTTCCCTGTTCAACATACAGCTTAAGCTGTGTGTTGGCTGACAAAGTAGGTTATTGGGATACGGATGCAGACGCTGTTGGTGAGGATATGCACATGACATTGAAATGTATATTCAAGACGCAAGGACGTGCCCGCATGGTACCCATCTTTGTGCCTATCAATTTGATGAATGTCGAAACCGAAGGTTACCTTAGTAATTTAAATGCACGATTTGTTCAAGCTAAGCGGCATTATAACGGTGTAGCTGATGTCTCTTTTACACTTCGTAACGCGCTAAATTTATTACCAACATGTTGCACAGATAGTCATTATAACTCATTTGAAAAGATGATTATTGTACTCAAAGTGTTTGAAACGCATTTTGTTCCAGTAACATCAGGGTGGATTATGTTTTTATCGGTGCCTCTGATGAAAATTGTGTTTAGCTTTGAAAACCCTATAATGGATTCCAGTTTTTACATGCACGTTTGGCATATTTTGAAACTCACTAGTGTATTTTTACCTGTGCCACTATTCTGTACACTCTTCATCTATGAAAACCTGCACCGGTTTATAGATCTGGAGTTCTTAAACAAGACCAAGCAAGAAAGCCGGACGTGGATAAATTACTTTGATTATATCAGCATGCCAGTGGCTGCTTGGTTGTTCATGACAGTGCCTTCCAATATCGCCTCTTGTAAACGGCTTTTTAAATCAAGAGATCAGTATATTGTGGCTGAGAAAATATTTCATGATTCATTGTAATAAAAACACATTAAAATATGTCCGGAAAGTGGCTAAAGTTATAAACTATACCACGTTCCAGAGCCTAAAATTACATCTGTTTGTGTGACACAATTGCGTCTTTGGATCATTAACAAAGCATGGTCCCTGTGAAAACTTAAACTTAATGTATACAATCATGTTCGATATCAGATAAAATAAAGAGTGACACAAAAATTATTATTAGACAAAAAAAAAAAAGTATTGTATAGAAGGAGGAAGTAAAAAAGTGTTATGAGGATAGCAAAAAAAAATTATTGTAACTGGATTGGTAAAAAGTTTCCAACAATGACAGTCTACGGGAAAAATTGAATTAGCAACAAATTATATACAAAATAACAAAAAGGTTACTTACAGGAATGTTATATTTATCTCTTCGAATAGTAAACGAGAAACAACATGAGATGACGCTTGTATTTTCGGGGTTAGGACTTCTTAGCAAACAAGATGTCAATACAGCTTTTTGTCCAGGATCAAAAGCAATGTTTCCATATTTCTGTCCAGATAGTGTTAGTCACTCGCCTTGCACTCACGTATTTTATTTGTTTATGTTTACCTCCCAATAATTAACAGCAGATTCCTCAGCCATCAGTTCATAAATACATAACCGACCCTCCCTTAAATTTTCAATAGGAACATTGACAAGAGCTGCGAATTCTTTATTGCCCTTATAGATTTCACCTGTACGACGCCATAAACAAGCGGGTATACCCATCGAACTGAAAACACGATCGTAATCCTACAGATCCCAATTGTTTAACCCTTTAATTGCTTCAAATATGCGCATATGATCGCACTACTTACCAAAAGTAAACGCTCGAAAGCTTCCTCTACAAGAATCAAATCGATATCAGTCAATGACTGTGCTACTGATCTAAAAGCAGGACGAAATGTTCCCATCACATTCAAAATCCTCTGTCTACTAGAAGCAGACATGCTACAGAATATAAAAGAAGAATTAGAAGGATTTTTGAAAAAAAAAAGTATTAAAAACATACTTGTTATCCATGTATTTTTGAAGTCTGGCGTAACCATTGACATAATTGTATGGTTTTAAAAAGCCAGCTTCGTATTTGGCGTTAATGACTTCAGTAAGGCGATCCTCTAATTTACCATCGGATGGATCAGCTGCTGTTAAGAAGAATCTTTCGGTTGTATTCACAGTTGGTGTGTTGTTACTTGGTGTATACATCCCTTGGGTATCACTATTAGAACCAAGTGAATCGAGAAAATCGCTAATAACAGATATTTCATTTCCCATTTGCTCACTAGCAAAAGTAAGTTGACCTGCTCCCATTTGTCCATAAAATTGAAGTGGAAGCCCACCCATATTACTATTTTGTGCTATAAATAAATATTAATTTAAAAATACTCTCACACACACCTTAAAAAAACATACCATTGTTAATAGTGGATAAGGGCGGGTAATTTCCGCCATTAAGTCCTTGTTGACTCATGCCATCTTGTCGATTGGTATTAACCTGCTGCTGCTGCTGCTGCTGTTGTTGTTGTTGTTGCTGTTGTTGTTGCTGTTGCTGCTGTTGCTGTTGCTGTTGTGGTTGTGGTTGATGTTGCGGTTGCGGTGTATTACCTGACGTCTTTACTTCATCATGACATAAGTGACCAATACTACGCTTAATACAACGTTGACAAGGGCGACCTGTATATGTAACAATGTATGAGTCACCTATGTAAAATGCCAAAAAAAAAAAAAAAAACCTTCGTCACAAGTCATATGGGAACGTCTACAGTATACACAAGCTATGGAGGGATTTTAGGATAGTGTTTATAGCGCTGCTTCGTCTAAGATATTTACCATGAGTCACCTTTCGCCTTTTCGGTCCGGTTCGCTTTTTTTTTGAGTCTTGGTTTTGATTGTTTGAATTTTCTTCGTTTTGATCTTGTTGATCAGGTGTTGTTGGATTCTGTTCTGGCATTTTCTATTAAAGTAGTTTGGTGTTTGTCTATGAATATCTTTTTTTCAGAAAAAAAAAAGAAGGAATCTTGTGTTTATATTAAATTCATGTCAACAAGTTGACAGTTTAAAGAATTAGAAGCTGTTTTTTAGTTTAAAAAAAGAAAAGGGCCTTGGAGTTTTTTTTTTTTTTTTTTTTTTTTGGCCTTTGGCTGTCCAACGTTTATATATATTTTTTTATCCAATCAAAATGGGGTATTATTTAAACCCTCCCATGCACTCGGGCTGTAAACGGATTGCCATCAATTTTTAATTTTAGTACATAACTGCATTTAACAGTTGTTTATAGCTATAATTCAATAGTTATTTAAGAAAATATATTATATAATGCATACAGCGTATTCGAAAAAATAATAACAAAATCAATAATGAACATGATTGTTAGTTTCTTCGTGGAATTCTATACACTCATTTTAGGCCTTTTCTAAAATGTCGGAAGTAGATCATACATTTTTTTGCGGAGCTAGCTTACTTGACACAATTACAATCACTAACAATGTTTGTTTTCTTGTTTTCCTTCTACCCCCAAAAGCATAAGAAGTATGGTTAACAGAAATTTAGATCCAGTTTACAACAAAATATCAATGCAAACATATACACAAAATTAAGAAGATTGAAGGCATCAGAAAGTATGCCAAGCAAGCGTTCGAATATGTCAAGTCCCAGTGCGGAGCTCATTCTGCTTATTTTGCATATGACAAAGATATCAACGATATTTCCAGTGAAGATTTTCTCGCCTCTGATGGATCTGTTGACTCGATTTGGCTGTAGCATGCCCTACTCAAATCTGACTAGTAGAATTGTATTCTTGGTAGGATGTTAACGTACAGGAGATCATTCATAAGAGCGCAGATCAAAGTAAAGATGAGTCATACATTCTAAGAGGTGCGCTCCCCAGCATCTCGTTCCTATTCAATTAGCCTCACGCAGTGCTTCCACTCCAATTTACGTAAATTATATCTGGCCTATGGAAATTAAGTACAGCTATAATTAATATATTCTTTTGGCCAAGACAGGCTATTTTTGCTTTTTCCTACTCATACAAAGCATTTATATACAACATCCTGCTAAATGAAAGGAAAAATGCCATGTTAAGTAATAACTCCACACCAGAACTTCTTTGTAATTACAGTAACAAATCAAAGAAGGTGAATGCTTCTTCCAGCAAAGAGAGATAATGCACAGTAATACAACCACTCCTTTCAGCAGTAATTCTAGCAGCACATGGCTCGACAGCATTTCTAAAGCACGTTCATCTATAACCAAGTGACACCCTTGAAGATGATTTCACATTGACTGGTTGAGGACATCATAATGTCCGTATAGAAAAAGTTGAAGAAGATGAAGCAGCTATTACAGAAAGTAATATCCGTTCTATAATATAGGATATACTATAAATTGATACAATCGAAATTACTATTGATTAACTGTTGCAGTAATTAGGTCTGATCAGAAAATTGACAACTATCTTATGCACTTCTTTTGGTCAAGTATGAGAAGATTTGATATCAATTTAGGGAAACGGGATTGCTTTTCTGATATTATTGGGAGTCATTAATTGATTTAAAAACAAATGTGTAGACTTAATTACAAATTTTATTTTGAAGTAGTAATCTTAATCAGAATAAAAGGTAGTCAGCAAAGGTATAATTTCCTTTACAGTGTCGAAAGGAGAACGCGAGAAAGTTCGAGTAGTTTTCCAGCTTTTATTTTTGGGTTTACATTATAAAAAACCGATGGTTGTCTTAATTAATCACATAATTTTTGCCTTTTGTTTGGCAAGGAAGCGCATTCAAACGAAGATCATCATACATATGTATTGATCTAGGAAAAACGTTTCACCGATCGTTACACACCTTCTTTTTTTTTTTACTGCACCTTGAAGTCCCAGCCCCGAAGGTGACGCAATGGAAGCCTTTTTATCAAAATTCTGATCTTTTGTTGTTTTTAAGTGTTTGTATGGGCAAGCCAGCAAAAGTGTTAGTGTATCTGTTGTAAGTTTGTACCTGAACGAATAAAACCCTACACATTGTTTGTTGAAGGATCTGGAGTTTAGATAATGGTTTTATTACAACAGTTCTTTGTATCACCCATTCACTATTGGAGCATTACTTACTAGCCTGGAAGGATCGCATACGCTCTGAGAATTTGTTGACATTATCGATTCTATTGCATACTGAGCTCTCTTACACAGATGGTTGGACTTTGTGGATCCTGTAAGAGTACCCACATACTTCATTTAAAATTACTCCCATCTAAGTGCCCTACGTTGCTTCGTACTGCTTGTGATTTGAATGATATTGCTTTAGTCGCTTATGTTATCATCAGCCGCCATTGGTAAAATTTCATCAGCCACTTTACTCCCGTTTAATCTAATTTATGTGCACTGCAGCAGCTGCACTTCTTGTCCCAAACAATTCTTCATAGGCGTCGATGGCTTTTTGTTTTGGTTTGTACCCACAAATATTCACCAGCCTGGCTCTACCTTGAATGCTTAGTCACTAATTACAGTATTTGATGGCCCACATCACCTGACCCCGGATTTCTCTTGAGTTGGTTTCTAACCCAGAAGATGGTTCTCATGTTCTACATAAAAAATTTCGATCTTTTCTCGTTCTTCTTTTCTTTCCCTTTTTTTTCAGTAATTTCTTTTCCCTATCGTATGAGTGAACTAGACATTTCATTTAAAAAGCAGCAGATGCTGGAAGATGACGTAAATCTGAAGGCAATGCTTATTCAAATCGTCACAGACATTGTGTTTGCCATATGCGTATTTTTTTTATTCAGCTGGTTGAGACCAAGACATACTTTTATTTACGCACCCAAAGCAAAATTATTAAAAACTGAGTAAGAAAAAAAGAAAAAGAAAAAAAGAACGCCAAAAAAAGAAAAAAGTTTATTGATTTCCAAATAACGTTTAGTGTACAAAGACCAGTTACGCTTGGTCCAGGTTGGTTCGATTGGATAAAGCCACTATTTCGAGTTAAGGATGATACGTTATTGACAACAATTGGCTTTGACGCTTTTGTGTTTATTTATTTTACAAGAGTTTTAAAACGAATAGTGATCACCATTACATTAATTTCAATGTTTGTATTTCTCCCAATCAATATACTTGCAGCATATAAAACCGGGTAAGCTACAACAAAATTACCAAAAAAAAAAAAAAAAAAAAAAAAACTGACAATGTGTTAGAGATTGGCCGCCGGTTGGGCTTGAATTTCTGTCCATTACAGCAATGAATTATCAATATGGTAAATCGCATGGCAAGCCAGATCTTCGGTGGTTTTGGTCTCCTACAATCGCAACATATATATTCTCAATTATTGTTATATGGCAAATGATCCATTCGTCCAAAAAATTTATACTTTTTCGACAGGCATATTACATGCAACAAGAAGAAGCAACAAGATCAAGGTTACCTCTAATGTCGCCTATTGAATTACTACAAAAAGAAAAACAGGATTTGATTGGAAGAACGTTGTTAGTTCATTTCGATATTGAAAAGGCTCCGGCCGTCACACATGCCTGTACTCAAGACGAAATTGTGAAAACAATGGTTGATTCTCACTCTAAAGTATCATGTTCACAAGTCATCATAGGTGAAAATAACCAGAAATTAACCCTCCTCATACAAGACTATAATCGAATCATAAAGAAACTGGAAAATTCATTAGACACTTTTTTATATCAAATCAGTAAAGGAACCAATCCAAAACGACCTCAAATTATTATTGGATGGAAGTTTGTGGACGCTATCGATCATTACACAGAGCGCGCCTTATCGTTATATACATCCATTAAACGAAAGCGACAAAAACTTCAACCGAATAATTATGGGTGGATTGTGTATCAGAGTAGATCAATAGCTCAACAAGCGTATTTATCCATTGAAAAAAGTCTCTTTATAAACAAAATATATCACCAACCCACTTGTGAAAGTATTCAATTGGCACCACACCCAGACGATATTGTTTGGAAAAATATGCAAATCGATGAACAGACAGCACAGTTAAAACGTTGGTTTGGTTATGGTTTATTCTTATCCATCAACTTTATTTGGTCAATACCCATAGCCATACTCAGTGTCCTATCCAATCTTGTTAATCTGATTCGTTTATTTCCCCAATCAGAAGAAGTCCTTTATCATTATAGACTGCTGACAGGTGTTATACAGTCTTATGTTACACCTTGTTTAATGGTATTGTTCTATTTTGGAGTACCTGAATTGCTGCATTTTGTGGCGAAACAACAAGCTTACAAGACCGAAACTGTTATTCAACAAAAGACGCTCTCAAAACTATACGCGTTTTTTATCCTTAACAATTTGTTAGTATTTACACTGATAAGTATTATGATTGGTATTGTGGGGCAGATTAGTGCCCTGACGATGGCAGGTACTTTAAAAGACAAAAACATTTCCCAATATTTAGTACAACTTGCCAAAAATATGTCGGACGTGTCTTCGTTTTGGATAAATTACATGTGTATAAGGTCGGTTGGTATTCTGTTTGAGTTATTACAATTGACACCACTAATGTGGATCGTTGTTTTTAAATCAAAGGGATTATTCCGATATACACCAAGACAGTTGTCAATCATGGTTGGAGCACCACCTCAGTTTAAATTCGCAAAGAGTTATGGCATGGTCATCTCTTTCTTTACGGCAGCATTGGTCTTTTCAGTAACAGCACCTGTGGCACTTCCATTTGCACTACTTTATTTTGGTCTGGCTACAATTACCTTTAAATATAAATTGATGTATATTTATGTCACAAAGGTAGAAACGCATGGGCAAATATGGCCCATGTTATACTGTATCGTCATGATATCACTGGTTGTTTTCCAGCTCATGATGGTTCTTATTTTAAGCTTAAAATCCGGTCTACCCCAAATGTACGCAATTATACCACTTATTATTACCACAAGCTTCATCCTCATTGCATATACCCGCTATCTCTTAAAGCACAATACATTACAAGCCTGGATAGAATTGAATAATCAGATAAATCAGCAATCTGTTTTATTGGATGATCTATCTATCACACCCAAAGAAAAAGACGCAAAACTAATCAACTTAATATACCAAGATCCGACATTGACCGAACCTTTATGGAAACCAATGGTGTTTGAAAATTTCGAGAGTTTAATACCCGATGTTTACAAGAACCATGCACAGAAACAACGCATATTAGAAGTTTTGTTTGGACACGAAAGAAAAAAGACAAAAAAGATGGACGAAAAATTAAAAATGAAAACCCAATTAGAAAAGGAAATGAGAATGTTTCCGCCAACACCACATCATCATGGGGATCTTTGTTACGCGCATTATTATGAAGCAGGAAGCAGCCGAGATCCTGTTCCTTTGGATCCAACAGCAGATGAATTTATGGTTGAACCAACAGCACCTGAATTGATCCAGAGACCACCACCCACTTATGAGGATGTGATTTCGCCACATCAGATCACAAAAGAAAGACGACACTCGTATACCCTTTAAAAAATAAACGTTCTTTTTTTTTATTATTATTATTTATTAATGTTTTATTCGGACTTTACATCGTCGTCATCATAGTGATGATGTAAATAGGAGGATTTTGCTTGTAAAGAACGAATAATTTCTAGTGTTCTTTTGTTTAATGTACAAATTGGGGTTTCATCTTTTGGCGCTACATGGTTTCTTGTCAAGACTCTTTCTAAAAGTAGGATGGTGGGATCAGCATAAATGGATCTAGCCTGTCTAAGAATGCGTTGAGTTCTAAGGAGATTGATTTGACAGATGGATTTAATTTCAGGATATTGACAGGACTTATCAATCATGAGATACACATAGATAGTAATCATGGCACCATACACAGGGCTATGGTGACATCCAATCGTATCAATTGATGTTAAGGCTTCTAATATCTGGGTATAATGATTGACAATACTTAGGCAGCCTACAAGGCAGTAGAACTCTAATTCTAAGTCTTGCTCTGTTAAAAAAATTTGCTTGGATGTTGGTGTTGCTTTTGTTCTTGTGAATGGTATAGAGGATTGTGTAATACGTTGATAAATATCGTTTAAATCTGCTGTTTGGCTTGAATCATGATGCTTGACAAATTCTTCAAAATATCGTTTGGGTAAAAAGGGCAGTTGAGCGAATAATTGTGAATGACAGTATAATTCATGTAATAAAAGTGATTCCAAGTCTGTATTTTTGCTCCACGTTTGATTGGCATTATCAAGATTTAATTTGAACGTTTCAGGCGTATTGAAGTATGTCTGAAATAGCTGTTCATCAAGACCTGATCTTAACGCTTTGGGTGATAAGAGTGAAATCATGTAACTCGACTTTAATAATTCCATCTTTCGGATAAGGATAATGCGACAATAATTTGAAAAATATTCAACTTTCCTTGATATATTTTGTTCCGCCGGTAAGATTGCCTGTGGGAAATTAACATGCCAGTCTGTAACACCAATCATCCCTGTCTTCCCTGTTGAATTCCAATCAGCATAATAATCTGCACACAATAACATCCATGCCAATCTCCTGAGCTTTTCTTTTTGATCCGACTCTTTGTCATGTTGTATATCCAATCGATGCAGATCCATCGCTAATGCCATTCTTATTGCCATTGTCAATAAAGGTGATTTTACCCTTGATGGAGAATATAAATGTACGTGGCCTTGTGGGAAGAGTGATAAAATAAACAATGATTGGACAATAGCTATATGGTGCATATCAAATAATTCTTGTAACAATTGACGTGCTTTTGAGTAATAAGTATGCATTAATGAATTAGCTACATTCAAATCCCCTCGATGATGTATAGTTGTATGCCGAATCATTAAAGTACAAATACTGAAAATCAATAGAGTCTCCACTGTATGTTCTTTTGCTGCACTAGGTTGAGATAATATCATTTCTGTATTTGCAACTAAACTGGGCACATCTAAAAAATACGCATAACCACAATCAATAAAACTCTGTACACAGTGTCTCATCAGTTGTGCTGAATTATACTGGTTTAATCCATCCATTCGAGGTATCGTCGTCAAGGTCGACAGCTTTGTAATAGGTTCAATCATGTATCGAAACAATGAAATATCAAACATGTCTGAATTCACTCTTTTTTTGTGTCGAATTTTGGGCGGTTGTGGCTTTACATTGATACGTATTAATTCCAGCACCTTTTCTAAGCCTGATACCGTCAAAATACTTGTATCTAATGTCATCATTGTGGGTGTCAAATTCAATCGCCACGTCACCGTATCTGTGTCTTTTTCGGTGTCAACATCGGCTTCATCTTGTATTGTATTATTTGAAAGTAAAATGTCTGCATGTTTAAGAATTTGTAATGCTTCTTTAAGGAATTGCTCGATTAACACAGAGCTATTCGACTTTGAAAACGACAAGACAAGTAGCTGATCTTGTGTCATCATGCTGATAAAAAAAAAAAAAAAAAAAAAAAAAAAAAAAAAAAAAAAATGTTTAACGAAAAGCTAATTTTTTTTTTTGCAGAATTTAATAAGGCAAGAAGCAAAAACCACATCTTTATCCCCTTCGTCATGATGTCACTTTTTAGGATTGAAGTTCCGGTATTGATTTCATTTTACTCTTTTGACGCCGAGAAAAAACATACAGTGCGTCCATTCTCAATTGGAAAAAAAAATAGGTCGGTTTTTAAAATTCAATTGCCCATTTTTTTTTGAAAAAAAAAAAAAGGAGGTATATTTAATTATGAAATTGAAAACTGGTTTCGTGCCAAAAAGTATAATAATTTATTGCCTTTTTAATCACATGAACCGATTAATGGGGGGACGGAGCTCCGTTTATAATTTAGTATGACATTGGTTTCGATCATATCATTACTGCGTAGAAGCCACTAGAAGAAATTTTCCAAAGCACTGTCTGCGGTGTAATTTAACAATATCTTGTGCATGTAACCATGTACTAGAAACATAAACATCCCCCTTTGATTTTAAAAACCCGTCAATTGGCGTTTTCGAAAGAAAACAGTTTCCTGGTACAGTGCGTCCACTCTCAATTAGACATCTTTTTGAAAAAAAATGGCCTCATCAATATAACGTTTATACTATTGAAGACCGTAAAAGATACTTTTATTTCTTAAAGGAAAAAACTTTTGAAGCCCAAAGAAGCAGTCAACGTCAATTATGATACCGCACGCAAATAGAAAAAGACTTACGAGGAGGACCCTGAGAGGGAGATTCCTACGAAAAAAAACAAATCTCGGTTCGAATAGACCTGTTAGCCAGCTCAACGGGAATCATAAGGCTCATTTGATCAATTTTTTTAATGAGGATTCTTCTGCGACTATTCAAGATGCTGTAGATAATTTGACTACAAGCTTTGTTGGTTTACAGATTAAAAAATCAAGAGTAGCTGAATTTATGAAGGAAGAATGCAATTTAAGTATCAAAGTTACGACCCGTCATCCTCTTGCCCATAATAAGGAAGAAACTCTTCAGGCTCGTGCTGACTGGGTTAACTAATGGGTAGAAAATGGAATGGATTATCTGAGAAATTGTATTTTTGTTGATGAATCTGGCTTTACGTCGTAGTCGTGGGTGGTCTAAACGAGAAACTCAAGCCATTGTTACCGTCCAATCAGCAAGAGGTATTTCCCACACCATAATTGGTGCAATTTCAGCTCCTGGGGTTGTCAATCTTAGTATGAGAGAATCTGGAAACACAAAGAAGAGAAACGTTGTAGGAGCTACAAAGAGAAAGGCACCTGAAGATATATTGTCTGTCCCCAAAGGTACTACGCGTGGTCATTATTTGCGATTTCTCAATGACACCATGGGCATCGTGGATGACTTTCCTGAAATGAAGGGTTATTGCATAATTATGGATAATGCTCCAATCCATGTACCTGAATTGATTAACCCGGTTATCACAAAAAGAGGCTATATTATTGCGTATTTTTAATATTTTATTTAAACAAATTCAGATATTATGGATTTAGCATATGAGCCATTATGGAGCTTGAACAAGAACAACTGCTTAAAATCAGGGTAAATTAGTGCTTTTTATGATTATCAAAATATGCAAGAGTAAGTTGAAGCAGGCTAGTCTAACGTGAGGAATAAACAAAGTGTTCAATCCTCCCACAGGTTAAAAAAAAAATTAGTGTAAATGAATATTACATATTTCAAATCTTACCATGAAAAAAAAAAATTCAACAACTCTTAAAGCAAAGCAATCTCGATGAACAACTTAATTTCAAAACAACACAAGGCTGTTTTTCAAATAAGCCAACTCTGGCCAACATGGGTTTAGTTGCGTCACAAAATAGGATATTCGCCAAGCCCACAGAGATTGCTCACAACCGATATACCTTTATACCTTACTAAGTCCTACAGTATAAAGATAAGGAGTCCAAGTAAACATCACTCGTTCCGATTGTGGCTTTAAGATTTGCTGAATTCTCATCATCAAAACAATCCCGATGAACAACTTAATTTCAAAACAACACAAGGCTGTTTTTCAAATAAGCCAACTCTGGCCAACATGGGTTTAGTTGCGTCACAAAATAGGATATTCGCCAAGCCCACAGAGATTGCTCACAACCGATATACCCTTATACCTTACTAAGTCCTACAGTATAAAGATAAGGAGTCCAAGCAAAAGATTCACTCGTTCCGATTGTGTTGGTTTATGATGATGAAGTTGATGAAAAGAAAAAAAAAAAAGTTTTTTGTGAACTAAGAGCATCGTCAGCATTTTTAATTTAAACTCAAGGCGAGCATTTATTGGCTGATCTTCTTAGAATTACCAAATTTGGGTCAAAATCAACTTCTCCTAATGGGTTGTGTTGTAACGGGATTCTAATTACCTATTGGCTTAATAAATCAAACTATCTGAGCACCTTCTTGACTATAATCTCCTCTCCAACTAACAAGGAAAGTATTGATAAACGTAGAAATTGGGGTGTAAGAGGACTTATATTTTATTTATTTTGAACTTGGTTAATTTATATTTGATTTTCTGAAACTATTTGTATGATTATCTTTTAATATAGGGATGATGTGGTTTGATTGGCAGAGGCTCTTCTACGCTTTGCTACTGGCTGTGATACCCATTGGATGGCTTGAGTTACACATATCAGTCACCGTGACCTCACCACAGTTGGTTGTATTTTCAAAAAAATCAAAAAATTATTGGCAGTGTGACTAACGCGCATCTATGATCACCTAAAAATCGTGGCAAGAAAACGCGTCCAAAAATAAAAAAGAAAAGCAAAAGTAAGGATAAATGTTTTGTATCTCAAAATCTTATTGTAAAACTCATTTTGATAATCAGCATCTTGATTTGAATGACTTTGATTTGTGCAAGCCTTGATAATTAATCAATATGCAAATTTTGATTTTTTTGATTTTTTTTTAACCATGTCCTTGTTCCTTTTTATTTCACTTGTTAGTAAGAAACCAAATGCTACCTCCTGAATTTAAAAGCTTTAAGCTCGCTGAACATCACGAAGGATCAAGAAATTACTTTCACGAACATGAAGCAGAACAATGGTCATTCAGTCATTATTTCAACCAAACACACAATAACCTCAACAAGTTTAAAAAGTACAAATTCATTTTAGATGCCTATCAAAAAGATCTTGATTGGCTTATTAATCAACGTTCAGTGACAGCAAAGTTAAAAGATTACTTAATTGTATTAAAGAAAGAAAAAGTGGTAAGCGATTTTTTTACTGTATTTTGTTTGAAAAAATCACTAAATACGTTCTTATAACAGCCTGGAAGTTCTAAACTTAAAGCAAAAGCAGCCTTGCCCAAAAAGATTAGATGTCTTAACAGTAAAAACACTTTTAACATGATCGGTAACAACAATAACATTGGAAATATCCAACTTGGTGATACATATACTGCATCCGAAAGTAGCAGCATGAATACAAAACGCAAGGCTAATGATGACTTTGAAGAAACAACAAAAACGAGGAAACCCTGCCAAGCTGAATTTGAAGGAAATACTCAAGAAATCAACTCTATTTTGGGAAAATGGAACAAATTCCTTGAAAATAAGGAAACCTTCCACCCTTTTAGCCCAGAATACCACCATGTCATTCGTTGTGGAAAAACTGTTTCATATAGACCTTTTTTGAATAAGGAGCTTTATGATCAACATGTCAGCCAGCATGAAGAAAAGGAATATCCACTTCCAGAGGTGTGCATGTCATACATTAATAATATCATGAATCAACATGATTTGAAAAAGTATAGAAAAGCAATTAGAAACGTACCAGAAGCAGAAGGTGAAGATGAAGATACCTTTTTATTTGTTGAAAATATATTTCAAGCCATGTACAATTTCCATACCACTTACAAAGACATCCATGACGGTGAACCTGAATTCAATGGCCTTTTCTTGTTTCCTTTTTTAAAGGCAGTGGCAGCAGCAGTTGCAGCAGAGTTTGGTGCAGCTAAAACTGATTTTTGTGATGGTGAAGTTTGTTTAGAAGCGATGTCCACTCAACTAAAGGCACTAAATATGCTAATCGATGGCCGTAACAAATATAATGCTGATGGGTTGATCCGAATGTACGGATATAAGAATTTAGAGATTCTCCTTCTAGAAACATCGTCTCATTTTGGATGTAGTGATCAATCCAAATCTAAATTTGACCACCATAAGGGCTTATTTGGATCATTAGCCATGATAAAAACAATTGCCGATGAATACCAATATGCATCAATCACCACATTTAAAAAAGTAAAAGTTATCTTTGTTCACGCAAGTGACACAACAGTATATTTATGGAGTATGTCATTCGTACCAGACGAAAACATATATGAACTTTGGCTTGAGGATACACTTGAAATAAAACCAAGTATCGATGACAAGCTGGAAGCAATTCCAAATTTTATCCAATTTTACTGGAAAACAAAAGAATTGTTGAAGCAAACTTCAAGAATAGTAATGGAACTCAAGAAGGAGCATGAGGCAACATTAGTCAAAAATATGTTTAAGAAATCCAGCGACCTTACTTCCCTCTCCACCATCGTAAACCCGTCAATTCTTCGACTTACTGAAGATGAAGATAAAGCCGGTATGGCTGAGCTTGGGCCTGTATTCAAGTCAAGAGGAGAATAAACCACTTTTTTTAGCATTTGACGTTTCTTACTCGAAACTTCTATATATCATAAAATAAAATCATTTTTTTCATCAAATGGTGAAATCATTTCATACTATAATAGAAAAATCATATGAAAATGTAAACGCAGAACACAACGAGCTGCCGTGACACGCTTTCTACAAGAACCACATACGTGTAGATGACATCAGAAAAGATGCAATCCTTCTAGAAGACACATGAATCGAAATTTTCCTTCGGATTTTGAGGAGGGCGGGGGGATTAGTCCATCAAATTTCGGTTACGCTGGATACACCACTGGCGATCAACGTGATGGTCGCGAGGTAAATCATCGGTGTCATTATAATATTATTATGTCCAAGTAATATGTAAATAATGTTTGTCCTATGAAAAATATACAACATAGTTGTTTGGCAGTGATTTAGACGATAAATTCTACATATACATCTAAAAAAGAGATTTGTGTTCATTCACGTACTATTCATCTTAAGCTTTCCCAAGCTTCATAGGGTAATTTCTTTTTCATTCATAAAATATACTTCACTATCGGTGCTTCACTATTGGTACATGCTACTACTAAAACAAGGATAGACAATTTCCAAGTTCCGCCGATGTTTCCATTATTGGCAAAGGGTTCAAACATTATAGGCGATCAAATAGACAATTAAATCATCCTGATATAAACCAGCTCCTGTTTATCATTCTTATGATTAAAAACTCATTCACATCCTTTTCTCTTTCCTTTTCCCACCAAACCAAAAGATGAAATTTTTGAGGCGATCTCAATTACACACGAAAGAAAGTATTTATATCGGGAAAGCTGATCCGTCTGAGAACGTTTGGTGAATCTGGATTCCACGCTCTCTTTCTGTATCCTTTTTTTAAAAGCAGTTGCAAAGGCCATTTCATCTGAATTGGATTCTACCAAAACCATTTCTGCGATGGCGAAGTGTGTTTAGAGTGGATGTATAAATCCAACTAGAAACTATGAACAAGATGGTAGATCATCGTAATATCTACAAGGGAGATAGAGTAGTCAGGATGTATGAATCAAAAAGATTAAAGACCCTCTTCTTGGAAACATCCCATCATTTTGGATGTTCAAACCAACTAAAATTTAAATTTGATTATCACAAAGGCTTGTTTGATGCTTTGGCCATATTAAAGACAATTGCCGATCGGTACACATATGAACCATACGTCACTTTAAAAAAAAATTAAAGCGAAATATTCGGCGCATGGTAATTTTTAATCTCACTGTTCGGTGCCTCTTTTCTTCTCGTATCGTTCCCTTATATCTCCAGGAAATAGTAAGTTTCCTTCTAAAAAAATTGTATTCAAGAATTGGGCACAAACAAATTTTTTTGTCCGTGACACATAGAACAGTGCATCTGTGGAAGATGTGATTAAAAAAGCTATTGAATGAGACTGCAAGAATAATATTGAAGCTTTGAGAGGAACGATATTCCAGTTTGATCCAAAATATGCTTAAGTCATCCAACGGCCTCGTGTCACTCTCATCAGTTATAAAACCTTTTATATTACGCCTAACAGATGAGGAAAACAAACAGGCGTGGCATAGTTTCTCTGCATGAAGATGAACAAATTAAATTAGTTAAGGCAAAATCCAATTTAAATTAGCTTTTGTAACTTTTTTTCTTATTAATAAAATGGGGGAGGGGTTTATTGCTTTTGTGATATGTGCACTATTTACCGATGAGTGTCAATCAATTAAGAACCTGCTTTGTAGAAGCTAACCTTTGTTCAATTTAAAAAAGCATCAAACTTATGCAGGTACGGTAAGGGTCTGTGTTGCTATGACAATATTGACGGTTAAATCATGTTGCTAAACCGTCATACAATTTCCTCAAGACAGTTTAAACACGCTAGCTTCAATTCACGACAATTATGTATAAAACACTTGGCTGTAGCTTTGTCTGTGGACTTATCTAAATGCTTGGGGTAGGTCTTTTTGACAAACATGCAAGGTTCTTTTCCAAATTAACTTAATGTTATTTTCGACAGAACGTCATGGACGTTTAGTATTTTTTACAATAATATGATACATTGTAACATACCAGAATAGACGTCTTGATAAAAAAACACATCTAGTTTAGTATCTTCAGCGTCTGAATACTTTTTTATTATTTTACATTTGGGTTGGTTGAATTTAAAGTGCGAACACAGTATGACAAAGGGGGAAGTTCAAATTATTTCCTCTGTCGCCCCTTCATTTTTAAAATACAATTACTGCAATACCATTTACCTTTTGGCACAGTTTTAAGATCGACACAAGCCAAATGGAACCATTCAATTTCACACTGAAGAATGTTAGTATAACTGTTTCGGTTATTATAATAAGTTAAACTTACATCTGTGTTATCACAGGCAACCATTTCTCCGTAGGATATTTGTTGACAATAGCAATAAAGAGGTTCATTTGGATCAATCGGCATATCAGGAATAACAATGCTAAATATGATGAGTAAAGAAAACACAATATGTGCTTTAGATGACTTACTGCTTTGGCTTCCCAGTACCGTTTCCATTTCTATTTGAGTTATATGCATTCTTTGTTTTTTCTTTTTCTAAGCTTTTCAATGATTTAGTCTCCTTTAGTGCCTGCGTACGTACAGCAGCTGGTGGAGGAGTTCCATTAATTTCCTTTGTCTTTCTCTTTTTATTGACTGCTGGAAAAATTAAAAAAATGAGTACACTTTCTAGTGATTGGTCTCAATGTCTTACTTTTTCGTTCACCCTTAACTTCCTTCCTTTCTAATCGCTTTGTAACTCGTTCCCTTACGTCTGCACCGTCTTTTAAGCTACGAGCAGAGGGCTGTAATCCTGGTAAAGTTGTAATTCTACTATCGCCGATAGTCTGGTCTTCCTCAAACTTGACTAAATCGGCGTCAAGTCGATTGCAATGACGATCAACCTAAAGCAATTGAACTTAATGTGTGTGAATGAAGATTAAGTAATTTAAAAAAAGTCCTACTGCGTCGAAAGTTGATTTAGCTAAGGCAACCTTTTCTTCACCTCGTTTTAGGGTTTCTGTTAGTATATTGGTGAGGTTTTTTAATTTATCAAGACGTGCATTGGGGTCCATATGTTTGATATTGTCAATCAGGGTAATGGCTTCTTTGGAGACATTCTCCATTAAATCTAACCTTAAAGTGAATATCTGTAGATTTTTATATCATATGGCAATATTACCTTGTGCATAACCATCAAGCTCTCTCATGAGAGTAAAGTTTCTTTGTAAATCAAGTGGAACTGCCTCAATTGCTATAGAAAAAGAAAGGTGTTCCTTAGCGGTTTATTTGCGCGTTTTTCATTCTCTTCTGGGTATTCTTACTGTCAACATAGTCATCAAGATAGACCAGGTTGTCAAACTGTTTGACGATATTGCTAACTGGCTTCATATCAAGACACAAAAAGGGGGTAATAGAGAAAACAAGAGGGTTCCCATAAAGTTATTATTTTGGGAGTTTTAATCAGAAACAAGAGTCACACTCCATTAGTTTAAAAAGATGGGAAGCCTTCATTTTTTTTAGCAGGATTTACATATTATTTCTATTTTTTCTCCGGGAACAAAATGTCTGTCAAATATTTTGTACTTTTAAGTCTTTTATTTTTGAGTGCGTCTTTAGCTTCAGACGGTGATACACAAAACGAATATCGTCATTGTCTAGACGAGTGCGTTCAAGTCACTTGCCCCACTCCGTTAGATGCCTCACTACGTTTACTCCATTGGAACTGTAAGTGACACAACACCTACCTTATCTCTATTTATAATAACACTATAGTTATTAGGTCCAGAAAATTGTAGATATACTTGCATGCAGTCAATAACAGATGAAGCTCAAGAAAGAGGTCTACCGATATATCAATATTATGGAAAATGGCCTTTCTATCGGGTGCTTGGCATACAAGAGCCTGCTTCTGTGATTTTTTCGATAGGAAACGGACTCGTGCATCTCTACTATTTTTTTTTACTAAGAAAGAAAATACCCACGAACTATCACCTCAAAACTAGTTTACTGCTATATCCTTGTGGGTATGAATGCATGGCTATGGAGTACTATTTTCCACGGTAGAGATGTACATTGGACTGAATTAATGGATTATTTTAGCGCCTTTTCACTAGTATTATATTCATTATTTTTTGCTTTAATTCGAGTATTTCAAGTCCAAAAACATAGTACTCGTTTATTGGGTTTATTGTTTCTTTGTGGATATTTATCGCATATCATTTATCTTTCAGCCATTTCCTTTGATTATGTTTACAATATGTATGTTAATGTAACTGTCGGTGTTCTACAGGTGGTGGTCTGGGTGTACTGGTATATTACACAAACTAGACGATCTTATGCTTATCTTGCTGTCATTTCTGGTGTCGGTGTTTCAGTCGCCATGTGCCTCGAGCTATTTGATTTTCCGCCCTTGTGGCGAGTATTTGATGCTCATAGTCTATGGCATTTTGCAACTATACCACTCACAATTATTTGGTATAAGTTTCTTTTGGCAGACATGTGGTTTGAAAATCAAAACGAGAAGGTGGCTCTTTTACCCGCGTAATATTAACAAATAAAAAAATAATTTTTTTTATTTAAAAAGAAACTATCTTTGTTTGCCCCATTTAGGACAATTAAAATGTCATCAGGGTGATTTTTTTTTAAGCACCGTTGCCGATAGCACGACTTCCGGCACCGGTTCCATCCTTGTAAAGTTGTTGATCCCACAAATAAACACCAAGGCCTTCACCAACACGGTTAAGTTGGGTAACCATGTCTGACAACTTCTTGATAGCTTCAACTTGTTCACCCAAGTAGGTACTTTCGATAAAGTCGCACATTTGAGGATCACCTTGTCCGTCAGAAATCTTGTGCAAGTTCAAAAGTGACTTGTTGACATCTATCATTATGTGGTCAGGGACAGTTTTTTATACCTTAAAAAAATTTAAAAAATAAGCACACGTTACCTTTTTCAAGTTGAAGAGCTGATTCAATTGCATTTTTAGCAGACTTCCAATCAGTCTAGTGAAAAAAAAAACTATCAGTAAAATAGAACGATCAGAAAGCTTCCAGTTACTTACCTCTGGTGCTTGCAAAGCACGTAATACAACTCTTCCACCTCTTGTATTGATATAATCTAATCAGGTTATGTTAGCATATTATTTTTATATCTGTTGTCAGCCAAGATATATATATTACCAATCAAGTGTTGAGCATGTTCTCTTTCTTCAGAGGCAGATTCACGAAAATATTTCTCTAATCCGGGCAAAGCGACAGAAGAATGTTGGGCCCAAGCGGCCATAGATAAATAGACTTGAGAAGCTTGCAACTCGGTATTAACCTGTTGGTTCAAAGCTTCTTCAGATTGGCTAGCAAAATTTTGTTTGGCAAGAGACATGTTGCAAAAAAAGGTGACAAAAGGGTTTAATGTAAGGAAATTTGTAAAGAAGAAAAAAAGAAAAATGGAAAAAAAGCTCGATATTTATTATGTTTCAGCATGATTTGATTGGTTACACTATGTATACTTCATTGGCGGTTTCAAATGGGCGCTCAAATTCGGCTTGTTCAGCCGAACAACAAACAAGTTTCATTTTCACTGATACTTTTCAATGACACGCTTCATATTTTTCAATCCTAATTCAAGTTGTTCCATAGGTGGACCAAAACTTAATCTTACAAAGTGATGACAAGGAGAATCAAATAATTCACGGCGATGTGAAGGCTAAAAGAATTAAATTAAGTAAAAAAAAAATATGGAAAAATACGCGTACTTTTTAGATTTCTTACATTGACATCAAAAAAGATACCAGGCACAACAATACTATAAATACATAAATGAGCATCAAACATTTAAGTTACGTTTTTTTTTTGTTTTTTGTTTTTTACTCACACTTTCTCCTTGAGACACTCTTCAAAAAATTGTAATCCAACATTAATAGGCTCCGGCAAATGTGAAAGATCAAGCCAGATGTAAAAAGTTGCATTTGGAGGTACTTTCACGTCAAGGCCCATTTCGCGTAACTTCTTTAAAACGAAATCGCGCTTTGCTTGAAAATGACTTTGAAGACTTTTAGCTTCATCTCGAAACTTTGTAGGATCCAAAAAGGGGATGGCTGCGATTTGAAGAGGATGGTTTGCACCACCTTCCAAAAAGGATCCTGCACTTTCCATAGATGAAATTACAGATTTGGGTCCCACAATCCAGCAAACACGCCAACCAGGCATCTAATTATAGAATGAGCTTCATTTATTTTGTTGTTGAAAATATTTAGACTTACTCTGAAGTTTTTCGTCAATCCATCAATGATTATAACTGCGTCTTCGTTGACATCGTCTACAAACTGTGTTGCACTCACTGTCTTGCCTTCTTCTTCTCCGTAAATATACGCAGAATAAAATTCATCCAAAACTAACGTTGCATGCTTTTCTTTGGCGATCGTTACAAGCTCTTCAAGTTCCTGATCCTGAATGACCTGACCAGTTGGATTACGAGGGTTTGATGCTACAATTACACTTAAGCCTCTACCGGCTATTTCTTTTCTAACCGTGTCCGGGTCGATATGATAGTTTGAGTCTTCTTCCAGTGTTGTGGGAATAGGTACAAATCGTTTAAAGACAGACAGCATTTGTTCATAAGCTGTATACTCTGGTAAAAAATAGCCGACGTTGACATCCCCAATCGCTGCTGCTACACGGGTCAAACCAGCACGTCCGCCTGGACAGATACAGACATTCTCTTTTGTATACTTTGAATCTTTATCCGTGCGGTAAATTTCGTTATAAAGATTGGCAACAGCCTCTTTTAATTCAGGAATACCGCTCGCAGGGGCATATTCATAAGCACACTCTGGAATATCAATTGTTTTTGGTCGTTCCATACAGCCTTCAATGGGTCCTACTTCGGGAGCTCCTTGGCCAAAATTGGCCCATTCTTTACTAGCATAAGAGAAACCCTGTTTCATAGCGCGGTCCATAACATAAATGACTCCCGTGGAACCAGGATGATCAATGCCGTGAATATGATCTTCTTTATCATTTTGGGATGCTCTGTGTTTATTGCCGGGATAGCTTCGTAAGGTTCGATGTGCTTTCGAGTTAATCTCTGCACCACTGAAAATAAATATTAGTTGGCTGCCTTTAAAGTATTTCAAAGTATTTTACATGTTTTTCGTGATCTTTTCGGCAATATCACGCAAGTGGTAACGAGGTTTTTTGTGTTGAGGACTGGACATTTTACTTCTTCTAAAAAGAGAAAAAAATCAGTCTGCCTACAGCTCTCTTTTATTCCCCACATAAGGTTTCGTAGATTTTATTTTAGCATAAATTGAAATGACCAAAGTGTGCCGTCATGATTTTTTTTCTTTTTGTTCGCCATTTCTGTCAGACAGTAGAAAAAAGGCTTTATATCATTCTAATGTCACTGTAACACGAGTTATCGATCATTGTGTAATATACGATGAGCGGGATTTATACATGCTTTTTCCCGCGGTGATGAGAAGAGACTATACAGTACATCTTGATTAAATTATTTGTTGTTTGTAATGTTTGTTTTATCAGAAGTTTCATCCCACAGCTTATTTCTGGTGTCACAAACTATCATAATGATGGTGTGAACGCGACCCAAAATGAGGAACTTGTGCACCTTGATAATGTTCCCCTAAATGAACGGCTGCTTAGTATTATGCACACAGTTCTGTAACCTTATTAGCCCTTATGCATATATTTGACTAAAAACAAAATGTCAATCAAGAATACCAATACTACATGTCGTTTCTAGTATGAACCTTGTCGTGTCACGCCAGTTACAAAAAATGAAGAGTGACTACTAAATCATTTGTTTTAAAAAAATCTTTTTTAGGAGCCCAAAGGTTTGGAATTGAATCAACGCCATATCAATACATCAAACTCTGGCATATTTTATGCAAACAATTACGTTGTGTATCGGCATATTGTAGCATTACTCGACATTGCCTTCAAAAAAGATGTAAAACCTTAGATTTTATGTCTTAGGCTTTATACAATATACAGTGACAACAATGTATTTATTGTATTTGGACCGATTTAAAGAACCTGTTTGTGGGATAATCACGCGACGATTCAATATATTTAAATCATTTACAGCTAGTTTATCATTAAAACCAAATGGTTATTGTATAAGTTTACGCCATCTCTATTTTTTTGACAATCTATTTGAAAAAGTGCGTCCGAGAATTCCCCTTCTTCTCGTTATCAGAGAACCAAAAGGAAATCCGCATTCTTTTAATTATCACGAAGAAACGCTTGATCTTGTTTATCTGTTGATAACACCGATTACCAGAAACGCCAAAAGGAAGCCTATATGGTATGTATTTTGTGTTAATTCACTAATGGGTGCAATTAACAATCCAATTTAGGGATTTATGCTCTTAGTTTTCCAGGAACTACACCGTCAGAAACGGCATGCCTAATTTTTTTACTAAGAGGGGATATATTCTTGTTTCCAGATCTAAAGGACGGCAAATCACAGATCTTACGTTGTGACTACGTGCCCTCTGACTGTCCCTAGGAAAAGCGACAATGAATGGGATATTGTGTAAGTTATCCCACCGGTTGTATGAAGTAGTTTACTTTTATCTCACCAGACTGACAACTTGCAATGTTAGGTGTTGGTGATGCTCAGTGAAGGTGATGCTCTGGTGGAGGTGACGCTTTTTGCGTTTATTTATCGAGTTTAAATTTTGCAACAGCAAGAGACTATTGGAAGAGGCAAATCGCATACCTTTATGGATTGGATAACGATAAAGCCGCCCTGGACTGTCCAGTTTTAATTGAAGAAATAGAGGGGAAAAAAATTGGAGAGGTTGAATAAGCTGCTACGGAAATATGATGAAGCCCCTCCTGACCACAAACGCCAAAAAAAGAACGCCAGTGAGTTATAGTTGAAGAATTTGAAAATATTTACATCTTATATGTTTTTACTTTTATTAGACTTTTTTTAAAGATTTATTATATCTCGATGGGTTGAGAGACAGTGTAGGAACAGTCATCGTCACCAATGCTAAAAGACAATTAGTACTGATTCCAAAATCAAATATTTCTGGCGTATACCGATGAGCACCTTTCTTCACAGGTAAAATAATGAACGATTCGGATTGTTGTACTAGATATTAATACTTTAATTTAGATGCGTTCCAATCCTTCCTGCTTGCTGGAAATATTGGAAAATGTTCGAATCCCTGATGTCGGAAAGATCCACAATTTGTTGACTTGCAAAAGTTGTAACAAATTATGGAATAGATATACCAACGCGACTCGAAATATTCACTCTATTGCAAGTTTCATGCAAAAAAACAACAACTTACGTCCAAGTAGATTCTAAAGACCTGCAACAGACCCCCAATCATCCATATCGTAAACATATGTTGATAGTTCGGTAAGTCAATATTTTAAATTCAAAAAAAATTATAATATTTACGATTTATTGTCTCTCCCCCCCCCCCAGACATGCCCCCGTATCCCGATTTAAATCACCATATTTTGATTTATTTGATACATCGATTGAAAAGTCATAAATGTGTCATAAACTGTACTATCATAAACAGATATTTTCTTTTATTAACTTTGAATCCACTGGCTATATTTGCCAATGTATCACTAAGCACAAAAAAAGTACGTGTAACATGACACAATCTCTGTCTTCTTTTTTTTTTTTTCAGAATTGGAGTGTGTGGTTAAAGCTAGTTTATAGTAGTGCATCATAAAAAGCTTCACTATTCATCGTTGATGTATAATAATTGTAAACTGAATTTACATTCGGTCCATTGTCTCAAGTTTACTGAAGACGAAGTATAGAACATTTATGGTTTCTGAAATCGAAATGTCTCCCTCAGTAGGATTGCTCGAGTCCAAAAATGCCTCGCACTTAGCTTTGGTAGCATGAAGGCCTTTACTTTAAAACGAGTACAACATGTTTATATAAATTATACAGTGTATTTCATTAACAATTTCAATTTCTTTATTTTGAGACATCTTCCTGTTAATATTTTCGATGACAAATAACAGTTGGCAAGAAACTGCGATTAATTTAAATACTACGCACATTATAATCTTGATAGATATATTTTAATTTCGTTAATGTCAGGGTTCTACTCAGCCTGCATTATACATGGCACAATGATCCAAATCGAATGATTGGTAAGACGGCGCAGCATTTACGAATAATTGTGTGCCGATATTTATATGCAATAGAATTATTTAGTATCCTTGACTTGCCTATTCTTAATCAGAAAATTTGAAGTTTGATTCCTCCGCAATTTCTTTTTCTCCACTTTACATAAGCATTATTATATCTACTGAAGACTATACTTTATAATGTAGGAATACACAAGCTAATTTTTGTACTCACGGTATAACAACCACTGACTAGTGTAACTGGGGATACAGGTACAATTCTGTAATAGGCTTTTTTATGATAGGATAACAGTTTTTCTATAAATACAGCGGCTCATTCTTTTACTTTCAATGGATTTTAAATTATCTGCAATTTCCAATGTTTAAACATATCACATTAATAGTGCTCTTGGTTACAACTGCACTTGCTAAAACAGTACTGTATCCCACTGCTATAGGTGATGCTTCTTTCTGCTTCGATTGCCCTGTGGAAGGAAATCACTGTTTTCTCTTTAACTTGGAGGGAAAACAAGAATGCTTAATGGAGAGTAATGGAAATACTATCACGGATTCATGTACTTCGCAAGATACGTACTTCGACTACAAAGATAATAATTTTACTGCCAAGCCAGAGTTTGTTAGTGGAAAGTGCAAAGTAGATTTGGGAGTGATTATACCTGGATCATCCAAGGATGGACCAGTGTGCAAGTCAGAAGATTTCGCAAGCGCATGTATATACTTTTTGGATGATCATGATGCCCCTCCTACCACCAATAGCGGCTCCCTTTCCAGTGACAGTGCTTCCGTATCAGACGCTGGTAGCTTAAAAATCTTTTTGCCCTGCGTGTTTTTAACAGTATTAACAGCTATGATATTCATTTAATTGTAATTATAATAACTAATAATAAAACGCCTTATTGTGCGATTTTCTATAAACTAGACGGGTACACGTTTAAGATGTGTCCGTATTTTTCTGTATTACGATTCCATGAGAAAGTTTTAGTGGATTTAAGCTAAGCAATCAAACCAATCGATCAAAAGTAGATGACTTTAGCATAATACAGATGGAGGCCTTGAAAGAGTTTCTGAATTTTTAAAATATATGGCTGAGATTGTATTGGGTTTTATGTGACTCTTTTGGCGGGTTGTCCATGAACTTTTTGTTCTCTTTTTTTTACTTCATTGATCTCTTGTAAACAAAATGAATCCAGCAAATAAATTAGCAGGCCGTAATAACGTAAGTATATGTGTCCGAAAGTGAGCAATAAACGAAATACGAGCCAAAAAGAATACGAATTGATTATATTACGTGATTTAGGTACGATTACCACCAGAAGTAAACAGAGTTTTATTTGTTAGGTAAACTGCGGTATCCCCGAATGCATCAAACCACGTTAATCAATATTTGAATAGAAATTTACCTTTCAAGATTACAACAGAAGAAATTTATGAAGTGTTTGGAAAATACGGACCGATTAGACAAATCCGAGTGTAATGTTGAAATAAAGCATCTTTATGAGCTGCCATCTAACACTTTTTTTTCCCTTACGTACTCCAGTGGCAATGCAACTGACACCAGAGGTACAGCATTTGTAGTGTACGAGGACATTTTCGACGCCAAAAATGCCTGTGAACATTTACAAGGTTTCAATATTCTCGGTCGTTACTTGATCGTTCTTTATTACCAACAAAACAAGATTACCAAAAAGATGAATTTACAAAAGAAGGAAGAAGAAATTAAGGAAATGAAGGCGTAAGTATACGAACTCGGTTAAATTGCGCGAATCTAACGTTGATATTTTCCTTTAGTCGTTACGGTGTGGAGGACGAATAATGGCATTGGACTCAAATTTATACATACATAAACATTTTTTTTTTTTACATAAACCTCTTTTACGCAACATCGAAGCATCCACAACATCATTCAATGTTTTGTACACTATACACCAATATGTTTGTATCATTTGTAGTACGGGCCATTTTAAACGAGACCTGTCAATAGGATTTTTGTAGAAATTTTGAACAAAATATGCGAGAGTTGATATTATATAACAAACACCCTTCTTTTTATCATTGTTTTCAAAAACACACTACAAACTTCTAGTACTCTGACTGAACATTTTTTTTAAAAGAAAAAGTATGAAACTCTTAACGTATTTAATCACTTTGGCTCCCTTTGTCTTGATATCCACCTGCTCTCCCTCAAATAGGCAGTCGTTTAAAAAGCTGAAATTACAGAGACAAGGACATTCATTGCAAAAACGAGATAGCACAAAATTACAGCAAACGGGATACTATCATGGCAGTGGTAATAATAAAAAGAAAAAAAATCCCATTCATAATAAGCGCATCGACATTCAAACTTTCCTCAACATAGGATATTATAGCCAAATCTTTATTGGAGAACCAGCACAAGCATTTAATGTTGTACTAGATACAGGTAGTTCGGATTTTTGGATAGTTTCCAGCGATTGCTCAACAAAAGAATACTGTGATGCACACCATCAATTTCAACGTAACAATTCACAGACATATCAAAATCATGATCCTTTACAGTTTCTCCAAATCCGCTATGGAACAGGTTCTATCAATGCTCGTGTTGGATATGATACCCTTCAAATTGCGAATATGACCTTAAAAAACCAGTACATAGCTGATGCAATTGAGTTATCCAGCGAGTTTAAAGATTTACCAATTGACGGTATATTAGGGATGGGTTTTTCAAAATTAAGTAAAACGGACACACATAAGCGTACATTAATTGAGAGCATGGCTGGACAAAACCTGATTGAGAAGGCTGTCTTTGGCATATATACTCAACCTGCTGGGGGAGATATTGATTTTGGTGGTACCGATCCAAATCGTTATACTGGTCCGATTCAATATGCTCCTGTAACTAGTGATCGATATTGGCTAACAAAAATGTCCAGTTCATCATTTGGAACTTATAAAACAAAGTCCCGGTCTATTATTTTAGATACAGGTAATTTTTTTTTCAGCTCTGAAACGAATAAATAGAAAACGCATCATATGCTCATTATTAATACAGGTACTACTCTAATTATTGTCACCCCTGATGATGCTAAACATATCCATAGCGAGATAGAGGGTGCTGTCGTAAACAGTGATGGATCTTATTCAATCCCGTGTCATTTGAAGGGACATTTGCCTGCACTAAACATTAATGTGAACAATTTTACACTGTCAGTTTCTTCGGATGATTACATTCTTGTTCCTTCGCAAGACGACGAGAACCTGTGTTTATCAGGAATTTCGGGCCATAATATCCATAAGCCAAATCATTGGATACTCGGCGATGTATTCTTGAAGGGTTATTATACCGTAAGTCTTTTGTTTCTTAAACAATAATTTATCGTTGGGTTTCAGTGCTCATGCTCGTATTTTAGGTATTTGATACAGATAAAATGAGACTTGGGTTTGCAAAATCTGTAACTGATCCAACTCTTTCGATCGAGCAATATGATTTATAAAAATAAAACGGCCGATAGGATATTCGCAAACTTATTTTTTTAATCCAGCATGGTGCGTTAATACAAAGAGGAAGCAACAACCGGGGTACTATCTGTTTTTATGAATATAAATATTAGTCATATGTCTATAAGTCGAAATCTTATATATTTGACTAAGGTATTCAAATGACATGAAAGCCAAAAGAACAGTACTTATTGACATCGCTGTTGTTTTTTTTACCTTTATAAGATATTTAAATGCTTTTTTATGAGCGGCTCCATAGTTTCATACTCTTTTTAAGTCCAATCTGTAGTGTACCAGGAATTAAAAATTCAAGTTACAATTATTTATTCAATTCCAATAAATTAAGTCAGACAGTAGAATATTTTCCCTTTGTTAAAATGAAACTGGCATTAGGCTGGCTTAAACTTTTCATGGACTATCTTCATAATTATATCTCGCAATATAAGATTTGTTTGAACTAACTGTCAATTCAATAGTTACTAAATATACAACTCTTTTATATATCTATATTATTTCGCGTAGCATGCCGTTCGTACAAGTAGCAACAAACAAAGGAAATCAAGATTATAAAAGCACTTAATGCATCGAGTTATTGTGCGTGGGCCCACGGATTTCAATTCGAGGCGGTGATTAAAAAATAATAAATTTTTATTGGGCCAGTGGGGTTGGGCAGCCCCATCCCGCGAACAAGTAAATTGTGTAGGAAGCACAGCAATACGCTCCCCCTTTCTTAACCGATCGTTGTCAGTATACTAGGTAATTAGATTTTTTCAAAACGATGGATGGATTCATTCGTATAGAATGAATGGATGGATGGATGTGATAGCGAAAATACTAATCGATATACCATCAATTTTATTTTTATATATATTTTAAATTATCTCCATTTTCCAATTCAACATTATTCAAAAACTTCAATTTCAATTCCTTTCAACAGAATGGCTCAGAGACTTACCTACCGTCGTCGTTGTTCTTACAACACCCGTTCCAACCGTGTCAGAGCCGTAAAGACTCCTGGTAAATAGTGATCTCAAACCTTGTCGATTCAATGAAAACTTATTCCTTTTTTTTTATTTTAGGTGGAAAGCTCGTCTACCAATACGAGAAGAAGCCTGTCAAGGCTCCTCGTTGTGGTGATTGTGGTGAGGCTCTCGCTGGTGTAAGTTTTTTCTTTTTTTTTTTCAATGGAACGATAAATTGACGTTTTTTGAATTGTGTTTAGATCAAGGCTCTCCGTCCTCGTGAGTTCGCTACTGTCTCCAAGACTAACAAGCACGTCTCTCGTGCCTATGGTGGTTCTCGTTGTGCCCACTGTGTCAGAAACCGTATCGTCCGTGCTTTCTTGATTGAGGAACAAAAGATCGTCAAGAAGGTCCTCAAGGCCCAAAAATAAATCTAATATCTCTGTTAGTTTATCTTTTTATTAAAAATATTTTTTAAATATTGAGGAAAAAAAAAAACAAAATTCCATTTTGGCTGTGAATTGCTGTATTGTCTGGTATAATGAACTAAAAAACATGTATGGGTGGTTTTGGGATCGGAAATAGGCTGTATGTGGCACGTGTATTGCCTTGGTAACACTGTATACAAAGGCTCGTTTGATAGCTTGATTGGCTGACTCTCTCACTGTGTGTTGATCTACACTTTAATTTAAAAGCGACCAATGAAAAAATAAGAGCTCTTCATATAAAAATTGAAATAGTTTTTTATCTTCTTTTTTTACCTTTTTAATCGTATAACGACCGAAAAAAAAAATGATACCACGGCCTTCTCACAAAGTGCTTTTAGCCTTTTCCTTTATAGCAGCATTAATAGTTGCTAATGTATCAGGCCCACAATACATATACCCGACCTTTGGCACTTCGTTAAACGAAAGGTTCAAATGGACAGCTTTAGAAAATAGTCTAGTTAGTACTGCATGCTTCATAGGCGTGTCATTTTCAGGGCCATTATGTGCTTGGATGATTGAAAACTTGGGAATAACAAAGTAATTAGCCCCCTTTCTTTCTTACATGTACTTCACTATTGACCTTTTATTAAAAAAAAAGGACTCTGCGGGTCTCGGCTTTCATTATCTTTTGTGGGCCTTTTCTAGTGGCCCAAACATATGCAGGAAGACTACCCGATAGCTTTATTCTTTGTACCCTTTATCTCATGTGCACCGGTTTTGCTGGAGCTGCTGCTTATTTGTGCGCATTGGATTCTCAAGTAAAGAAAAGAAAAGATTTGTTTTTTTTAAAAAAAAGACTATCGAGACACTTACTCTATATTTAGTCCCACAATTTCAAGCAGCGTCGTGGGCTCAGTATGGGGCTAACAACAGCTTCTGTTGGCATGTGTGGTGTGGTGTATTCACAGATCAATGATTTATTATTTGGAAGTGATGACAAAATAGCCGTGGCATCTTTTGAAAATGACAGCACATACAACTTCTTGATATTTCTTGCATTATCGATGTCAGCTGGTATTCTTCTTGGTTCATTTTTTTTAGGCCCAATTAGAGACACTGCTTATCTACCAGTAGCCGATGAAGAACGATTTTTTACGATAGAAGAGAATACAAACGAGACACTGGAAAAAATTGCAGAAGTGTCGATATCCGGCATCGAATTTTTAAAGCATCCCATCGGATTTTCATTGTTTTGTACACTATTTGTGGTACTTGGCGTGGGATATGTGTATCTTGCCAACATTGGACAGATTTTGAATGCAGTTTCCTCGGATTCCAACCAACATACACGTAATGTTCATATCACTTTATTTAGCCTTGGAAACTGTGCTTCGCGTGCATTCTTTGGCGCTCTGAGTGATCTATTAAGAAACAAATTGGGAATTCATCGACTATGGATATTCGTGTTTGCTGTCATGGCCATGCTTGCCACTTTGACTTTCCTCGTCTCCGCTTCCGACATAACCGCAGAAACTCTTGTTCCTTGTACCATTGTCATTTCCACAGCTTATGGTATTGTGTTTGGCGTTGCTCCTGCTACAACCACCGAATTTGGAACAGAGGTAAAATCAGGTGATTACACACATGTATCATGGTCTAAATAGTATCTCTTTTTTTGTGGCTGGGTGTTTAGGTATTTGCCCGTAATTGGGGGTGGCTCCTGTTTGCACCAGCCTTTGGCAGTCAGATTTTCAATGTGTTGTTTGGAATCTTATTTGGACGTCAAGCAGAATTACAAAAATCTCATGCTTGTCATGGTTCTGTTTGCTTCAAAAGTACGTTCCGTATAGGTATAGTTCTTGGTATCGGTGCCCTATCTATACTATCCATGGCTATATATAAAGCCGGTCTTTATAAACGTCGCATACCTACCATTGACAAAATAAATTAAAATTATAGAATTGTAATAATAATAAAAAAATGTTTTTTCTTTTTTTATTTAGAGGTATCTTGTATTTAAATTTCCAGAGGGACCTAAACATTGGATGAGTGATAATTTTATAAATTTATAGTTAGTTTACTTACAGCGTCATCATACCACCATACTTTTGCCGTTTGGTCATCACTACAACTTGCAAGCATACCCTGCTTAGCGTTCCATGCAGAGTCATATACAACACCTTGGTGACCACGTAATTTTTGCAGAACTTCGCCTGTTTCTTGATCCCAGATATACACAATACCATCCTCACTTCCTCCCACAATCAAATTATTATCCGCAAATTTGGCTCTTACGAAATTCTTGGATGTGTTTTGATGACCCTTTAATTTACGAATGGGGCGAACCATACGAACATCCCAAAGACGGTTCGAGTTATCCTTTGAGCTACTTAACAATAGAGTTCCGCTAGAGTTCATCTCAACGGATGTCACTTCGCCAAGATGAGAAGAAATTGTACGAATACATAAACCTGACACGATATCCCAAAACTTAATGGTATTATCCTTGGACCTAAATTGAAGTAGGTTTAGCTTAGGGGATTTTTTTTCATTTTGAATGGACTTACCCACTAATTACCAAGTTACCAAGAGGATTAAAGATGGTTTTTGTAACAGCCAATTGATGGCCTGGAAATGTCTTTATGATAGCACCGGTATTGACATCAAATAATCGAACAGTCTTGTCATATCCACCCGTTACTAAATGGCTCTGCAACCATAAACATGAATATTTGAATACGTGTAAAAACCAACACAAAATTGCTAGTCGCTTACCTCGTTGGGATGATATTTAACTGAATAGACATCACCGGCATGGCCATTTAATGTCGCTGCACAAGTAGCTTTCGCGTTCTTCAGGTTCCAAATCTTGACAGTTGAATCACCACTAGCACTAGCAACGAAATCACCTTGATGAGTGGTGGAGAGATCCCAAATACGTGAACGATGGCCATGCAAAACATCCAGACACTTTGCAGATTCCGTATCCCAAATACGAAGTGTATTATCACTTGAACCTGACACAATCTTCTTTCCTTCCTCACCAATGAATTCTATACATTTGACATTACCTTGATGACCTGTCAAAGTAGCACCTACTGCATTGGGTATCACAAAACTAGTATAGTCATCCAACAACGAGTTTACGGTAGGAGCAATCTTTGGATGATAACGAGAAAATTCAATTTGATAGGCAACCGCTTGACGAAGCAAAGCCAATAGACGATCAGGTGGTATATGACGATTTCCAGTGCGATCGGCAGTTTCAAATTCCAACATGCTTTGAAGCTGATCTACCAAGCCTTCTCTTGAAGCCATAATACCTTCCCAATTTTTGAAACTGGGTGCTTCATGGATAGATTTGGCTGTCAATAAATAGCACATGTCCTTAAATTCATTAGGTTTTGTCTGAAAATGTTCAAGTGGCTTTAATCGCTTGTTTAAAAATGTGAATGCTTTTTGGATTTCACGTCTCTCCAAGTATTCCAAATATTGTTGTTTGTAGACAGAATAAAGAAATGATCGATGATTCTTGACCAAAGGTTTTGTGCATAATTTCTCGACTTCTTGCCAATCACCGTCTAATTTAATTTTATGAGTTTAATAAGCTAGAGCTATACACGCATGGGAGTTCGTCATCTTACCAAGAATCGCCTTCTTTAGACGTTTTACTTCTAATGTACGCTCTTCCCTTTCTTTCCATTTAACATTGGTTTCATCATATAGAACTGACTGGGAAGCATGGTAGCCTTCATCTTGTAAATATTGCATGATTATAGCGATGATATCCTTTTTTTAATTTGGTTAGCATCACTATCTCTGAAACTAACGTGAACACGTATTACCTCTTTAAGGCGTGGATCGTTCGAGTTAAAAATATCGTCGGTGGGTTGGATATGAGAATTTTGAATCCCAACATGTTGGTTATACGTTGCCAAACTACAGCGTACAGTCACTTAGAAAAGTAGAGATGTAGATTACGGTGATTGATTTACCTTCTTCTCTTTTTAGCATGGTCACTTTGAGAAACACTACTCTTATTTCTAATGAATGAGGTTGTGTCTATTTCTTCTTGTTGTTCGGTAGCAATTGCTTGGTCTAATTTCTCTTCCTCGACTGTAAGTTTTTCCAGTGCATTTTCAATATCTTTTTCTGAAAGCAGACCGTCCATTATTTTATTTTCCTTACTATGTACAAGATTAAAAAAAAAAAAAAAAAGAAAAAGAAAAAGGGAAATGTCAATAATGGAGTATTTTATTTTTCCCAAAGTTGTGTGTTATTTTTATTTGAAAGACTGCTTTTACATTTGATTGGATAAAATCATTACCTAAAAGGGTTTTTGCATCTTTCGACACTGACAGCATGAGTCACGGTGTAAATTCCCATCAGACACATCTCTACAGAACGCACTTCTCGCCAATACGTTAGAATCTCAGCTATTAACTAAGTGATCAGCACAATGTTATTGGTCGATCCAATGCTACAAAACATGTGTAAAAAACAAACAACTAGCTGTAAGGATGGGCACATTAGTGTACCTGATAAACAAAATAAAAAAAAAAAACCCTGCAAATTTGTAGCATGAAAATATACCCCACTTATAAAGTTTAAATTTGTTAAACTTCCCATCTTTATCTGAGCCTCGGCTCTTGTTTTCTGTGGTCTTTCTAGCCTTCAAAACTACTTGCACTGCTAAAAAAAAATACCATATAAGGAGGCATACCCCATTTGAATATAACTTAGTAAATTAGCCTTTGTTTAAGAATGTCCGTTTGTTTTTACGACTATTCTATATGTGTCTGCTAACTACTCCCTTCCAAGCTGCTACAAGAACTTATCTAATATATAAAATATAAATAAATAGAGGAGAGCAAGATAGCCACATCAGTTCCTCTCATTATCAGAATACGCCTATGACAGGTAAAACAATTTCAACTCAATTGTTGATCCTGCACAGCGAATATCGGCACTTTAAATACCGCCTTTGTTTTCTTCCAAGAGGTAGTGACAAAAGGCTGATTGAAATGAAGGTGGTGGCTTATTTTAAATAATAAATTATCGTTCTTTCTTTTCCTGCAGCAACTCATGGACGACCAACAATCAGCTAGAAGTGCATGGCCCGATCCACCTATTTACTTTAAAAGGTACACTGACGAGAATTTAGACTTATTAAAGCAGGCCACGAAGACTGGCACATTTCCAGAAAACACGATATCCTCCGGTCTAGTCCCTGAGTTCCCTCTTGAAGCACTTCAACCTCCACCACCTCCCACTGACGAGTATACTATTTTTGACCAAAAGTGGCAGGTAAATTAGAAGGACTTTCGAGCAGCATCTTTTCTCTTTCTGTGTTAACATTGTATACCTTTAGATTGACGACCATCTTCCCACTTTAGATGAACTTGGTGTTAAGCAGTTATTCCCTGACAGTGCCATTGGTATAGACATAATCTATGAATGAAATCACATAGCTCTAATTCAGACCTTCTTTTTTGTAGATCGAGTTCAAGAATTAAAGCGCTTAAATAGATCTTTAATTGTTCAATTTTTAGACTTGCTGGATGTACTTGTCAACAATCCAGAAAAGGTACATTTGGATACAAACGGTTCATAGCATGACATACGAAAATTTATCATTCTTTTTTTTTTTTTGGCATAGTTCGGAGAGAGCATCGAGAATATCAGTACTATATTTATCAACATGCATCATATTTTAAACGCATATCGACCTCATCAAGTAATTGACTTTTGCTTACACTCCAACTTTTGACTCACGTAATTTATTGTAATAGGCTAGAGAAACACTTCGATTGTTGATGGAAAACCAATTAGCAAGGAAACGTGAGCAAACAGCTGAATTAAGGGCGTATGTTGAAACTTATTTTCTGTAAATCACAAACCCACTTATACTTTTTTTTTTAATAGTAAATCAAAAGAGGCCAGAAGTTTCCTTGAAGGACTTTAATAAATTCTCTTTCTGTACATATATAAATTTTGGGACGCGAGTTGAAAAAAAGGCATAAAATTGAGTTTTTGACACCCTTTCATTCTTTTCAACTTTTTTTTTTTTTTTTTGACATGATCATAATACCTTCAAACAAAAGTAAGCCTGCAACAGCAAAAGTTTCATATTCTAAATTCAAAGAATTGGGCATCGTACCTGGCAAATGGGTAGAGATCTTTACATCGGCCTCAGAAGTACTACAATTCTAATAAAAGCAAAAGACGATCAAAATCACTAACTTGAATTAGTCATATTACTGTACATTATGGCCAGCAAATATTCCTCAAGACCAAGTTTTAGTAAACACTTTCATATCTTCTAAATCTCTTCATGACCAACAAGGTATTATCTTTGTGTTTGTTTGAGACGACCGATCCACTTATTTCCTTTCTCTGTAGTACCTAGCATTGTACCCATTGAGAAGCATTCAACTGCGATTCGAGTGATATTAAGCTATACCTTGAACAAAGAGATAACTGAAGAGTACCAGTTATCGAATTTTGGATTCGTATTTGACAGAGCTACCGAACAGCAAAAAAATATGGTACAAAGGAAGAGAAAATAACCCAACATGCTCGTAAGCTTACCTATCTATCTAGTACATTAGAAATTTAGTGAACGGTGTCGTTGTAAAAAAAAACGTCGTGATATCCAAGTCGCCTATGATCCATATTAAAGTGGTATCCACTTATCCCGATAGTAATGTCCTTATTGCACCTGGCAGTCAGATAACATTGGTTGACAGCAAAAGCGACCCATCTCAACAGATATCCGACCTTGAGAAGTCATTAGAGACCATGTCCATTGCTGGGCAAGATATCGGTCAAATTGGCACACAGACTTCCAGTTTACAAAAAGCCTATGAAGCCCTTTTTGAAGTGGTTTGTTTCCCATTTTTATATAAGGAGTGGATTGAGAAATTAAACATTGAGTGTCCCAAAGGTGTACTCTTATACGGCCCACCCGGTGTTGGCAAGACTTTTTTAGTGTCCTCTATCGCAAAACGTTGTAACGCCAAAATGTTTGTCATTCAAGGTCCTGAAGTCTTTGGTCCTTATATTGGTGAAAGCGAGGAAAAATTACGAGCGAAATTTACCCAAGCAAGAAATTATGCAGTAAAAGAAAATGTCCCCGTTATTTTATTCATTGACGAAATAGTAAGATATTGATAGTGCTTACACTTTAAGAAACTAGTAAAGATAAACCCCCTTCCCACCTTTTTTTTTTTCATAGGATGCTTTAACACCTAGACGTGATAATTCACAATCGCATGAAAATCGTATGGTGGCTCAGTTACTTACATTGATGGATGGTGTGGAATCAAGAGGAAGGCTAATTATCGTAGGAGCTACCAATCGTCCCAACTCCATTGATCCTGCGCTACGTCGTCCCGGAAGATTTGATCGTGAAATATCTATGGAGCCACCAAACTCAGAAGATAGATATGCTTTATTCCAAGCACAAATCAGTAAAATGCCTTTAGACGAATCAGTCGATATCGGTTAGTATATTATACTTCAACATGTATTTTTTATTTTTTTGCTGAGTATATGCATTGTAGAAATGCTGTCTACTATGACAAATGGGTATGTTGCTGCAGATATCAATTCAATGTGTCGAGAAGCAGCAATGACCGCAGTCCAAAGAGCAAGCAAAATTCAAGACACGTAAGTAATATCATTACCGGAAAAGGATCGTTGAAATTGACACTTTTTATTAGAAATGTGTTTGTAAATATGTCCGATTTTAAGTCTGCCTTTGCCACTGTCGGACCATCCATGCAAAGAGGTTTCCAAGTACAAGTTGAAAAGATGAATTGGGATGATGTGGGTGGACTTGAAGACGTCAAAAAGGTAAATCAGAAAGACTGTTTAAGTGTAATAATGACGGGAGATTTTTAATTTTTTTTTAAAAATTAGAGATTGAAACAAGCTGTTGAATGGCCATTACTATACAAGGATTCCTTTAAAAAATTGGGTTTAAAACCTCCTCGAGGTATTTTACTTTATGGTCCTCCAGGTTGCAGTAAAACTACTTTGGTCAAGGTGATTGCATCCTCAGCTAATGTGGCTTTCTTGTCCATTAATGGCGCACAATTATACTCACCCTTTGTGGGTGATTCAGAAAAAGTCGGTAAGATTTCATTGTCTTTTTTTTTATCTTGCATGAACTAAACATACCCATTTGTGTTAGTCCGTACGACCTTTCAGAAAGCCCGTGCGTCTGCACCAGCAATTATATTCCTAGATGAGACTGAAGCAATTGTAGGTAAAAGAAATATGGGAAATGGTGGATCTGGTGGCGATAGTGTACAAGAACGTGTCTTATCAACTCTATTGAACGAGATGGACGGTGTAGAAAGCGCAGAGTCTGTTCTAGTTGTGGTAAGCAATATCTTTTTTTGAAAAAGCGTCAATATGGAAATTCTAACTTTATAATTAAAAAAAGGGCGCTACAAACAGACCCGATATGTTGGATGCTGCGTTAATGAGACCGGGTAGATTTGACCAAGCTGTATATGTACCACCTCCAGATGAACATTCTCGTTTTGAAATCATGAAGATCCATACGAAACGCATGCCTCTATCATCTGATGTTGATTTACTGGATATCGCACGACGTGTATGATTTATATTCTTATATTTTCAACGCCCTTTTTACCTGACAGTTTTATAATAGACAAATTACTATACCGGTGCAGATTTACAGAATATCTGTCGTGAAGCCGCTATGGAGGCTTTGAGAGGTGCTAAGTTAGCATCAGATGTGGTAAAGAACATGTGCCTTTATGGCTTTTTTTTTTCTTGCTTCTTTTCGACTAATTTTTTTATGTTTAGACGATGGCAAATTTTAACAAGTCGCTGGCGACTATTCCTGCGTCGCTGAATGCGGAATCCGTCAAAGAGTATAGCAAGAAACCTCATTCTGCAGATTAAAATGTGATCTATGTATGTGCCTAATCTTTTTTGAATGAATGGGCAATTTCCAATAATTAAAGCCATTTTCATATATATATATAAAAAAGCATGGTTTTATTTTACAATAAATGTACATGTATGATATCACGATATAATCTAATCACGCTGTTGTTTAGTCCGCTGTCTTGTCACTCTACCCTCGAACTTGACTTCTGTGAGAATTTCATCCGTTTCCTTTTTGATTTCCAGCTCTACTTTGACGATTTCTTTTTTAGGCGTCACTACTCTCTTGCGAGATATCTTTTCTTTCGTTACGATACCTGAGTTGAGATCTTGGGGTTTGGCCTCTTCTGTCTTTCTTTTACGAGTTCTCTTTGGCTTTACGTCTTCCAAATCTTCCAATTTTAAATCCTCCTCTTCTTTTTTCTTTTTGGCGGATTTAACACTCTTACGACCTTTTGTTTCAGTAGTCTCAAGATTCTTGTCTGCGGGTATCCAGACCTCATCATTCACAGGTCCCAAACCGTATTTCTTATACAAGTGAAAGACTGCTTGCTCTGTTTTCTGTGCTCTTAGTTTTTTTTTGTACGTAGTGCGCACCAGTCATAAATTATCTTTTACCTTTATCCTTGGCCTCGATCATCAAATCAACATCATCGGTGGTAGGCGGTAGAAACTATATTCAAGTATGTGGTTGGGGGTTGTACGCTTGATATATATATATATATATAATATCCTACCTCTACTCTATCGCTATGGGCTCTTCTTTCTGAGGAGGAAACAGCACCTCGTCTTGATTCGGAGTAATGTTGCTTTTATAGCTTATTAACTTTTTGGTGAGGTATAATGTATATGCTTCACTTACTTTGGGTTTGATGCCTTTATCAGTCCAGGTTTTATTTATTTCAGGTAGGAGACTAACTAGATCTGTGATATTACCCGGGTTAATACTGGCAAGGGTGTGTTAGATCTTGTAATAAAACTAATGTTCGTACTACTTACTGATGATGATGCCTTTTTTTTAGTGGGAAAAATATGGTTAACATCTTTTCAAAAATAATCATTTATATAAGCTTTTACCAGTCTAAAACCAAAGGAATTCCCAGTTTTTTGCAAATGGGTAAAAGATCAGATACAGAGTAACCATATTCATCATTCTCCAACACCAATCTCCGTTTGATATTTTCGGGCAGTTTGATATATTCTTCCTCAAATCTCTATTAGAGAAGACAGGGGTTAACAATTAAACGTGTGTGTGTGTGTGTGTGTGTCAATTGCTTACGTACAGCTAAAGCGGCATCTCTATCACCTGCAAAAAGCAATGTAAGTCAGAGTTTATCATTAAAGTAAATGCAAATTAAATACCATAAACGCCTCCCATATGACTTTTTTTAAAGATATATGTTTAATGATCTGAAAGGGAATTCGTTTAACATGTTTGAAACTTACATAATCATGATTGAATCTTGATCCAGACCCATTAAATCCAGCATTTGAGCATGATCTGAAACACCGTCAAAAAATATTTTTATTATCAGATGAGGTCACTTACAGTCTAATTCACGAATGGTATTATCCACAACCTTGGGCGTTTTAGACACGAGTTGGTTATACTGTCCAGGATGCATTGTCTGATGTAGAGCCCAAAAAGATATTAAGACGGGATCAAAAAATTTAAATGAACAAAAGGACTTACCAATCTTTGATTGAACTTTTTGGCTAATTCACCAACTTCTGCCAATTCCTCTTTTGCAAAATCTATATTGTAACTACCAAAAAAAAAAGAACTATCAGATTTTTACTCATTACAACTGCAAAAGAGATTATTTTTACCCAGCTTTATCATGACTTGCAAACGGAAAAATGTCACTTGAAATGCGCATGAATTTAATGCCGTTCTCTACGTAAATCTTAATATTTTGACACCTGCCTGTAAAGTCATTTTTTTTTTACCTTCATTCCACTTTATCATTGTTTTCAAATCTGCAATATTCTATTTCCAATTTTAGCTGTCAAATTATTATCAAAGGAAATTAGTTTACCATAAATACGAGCTCTTTGACATAGTCCATTCCCTTTTTCTCCACGGTGTCTGCCCATAATAATGTGAGTTGAGTGTTTCTGTCAGCCCTACGCGAGTAACATACCTAAACGACATGTTCTAGCACTAAACACTGAAGGTTTCTGCTTTCGAAGATAAGAGTTTATGCATCTAACAAGAGTGTCAACTCACTTTTTAACTTATTTATTCATATTTCCGTCTATTTTTATTTACGCATAACCAAGACGCCCTTTAAATTCGCGTGGATTGTCATGAACATATCGTGGATTATCAGGTAGCACGGACACATCGTTTTCCTCTTGTTTAACCTCTTTCTCTGGTACATATTCATCCGAAAGTGGTGATTCCATGGTTTCTTTCTCAGACATATCTAGTTTAATAATGAAAAGAAGAAGAAAAAAGATATGAACGGAATTTTATTAAAATGTACAATAAAAGTCAAAATCGGCAATCGCCCAGTAAACTCGATTTGGAGAGAAAATTGTGTGACTATCTTAATGATAGGATGGCTCGTCTGGGAGATCCTGCTTTCTGTTGTATTCTAGCGCATGTTGTAAAATATCGTCTGCGCTAGTGATGGTTCTATTATGTGTGTTTCGTTAAGAACACCATTTAATCTGATATAAGGAAAACTTACTTAATTTTATCCAAGGGGTATTCTTTCTTTAATAAATTGGCCAACACTTTACCGGGCCCGAAACATAAGAAATCGTTAATATCTTGACTCTTACAATAATTTATACTACGCTCCCATTCAACAGTGGCTGTCACTTGTTCTACTAATCGTTTTGGAATTTCTTCAGCACACGTATACTATTCTATTTTAGTACAACTGAGGAAAAATGAGCATTCATTCTTTTTTGACTTACAGGCTTTGCAGTGACATTGGATATGACTTCCACACAGGGCATTTCAATCTTTACACTCTTTAACGCATCCTCCATTACTTCTGCAGCTTCCTTCATTAAGGAACAATGAAAGGGTGCTCTATAAATAATAATGAAAAATGTATTGAGTAACGGGATGTTGCCTGTAATTTCCTCATATCCTCCTTTCCCCTCAACTTACGATACAGGTAAATCGACAGCTCTGGCAGCAAAACGGCGTTCTTGTAAAATACGAGAAGCTTGATCAACACCTAAACTTGTCCCGCTAATTACCACTTGAAAAGACTACATTTTTAAAAAAAAAAATTAAGTCTCCCGTTGACTCCATTTCCGCTTTTTACTGTCCACTTTACACTGTTTATATTTGCTAATTGAACCAATTCGTTCTCAGGTAAATTTGCCTTAATTTCCTCCATGGCTTTTTCTAAATCGGCTAATTTGTCTTTTCGTACGACCAAGGCCGACATGGCAGTTTTACCTTTGCGGTCAGCCACAGCTCTGGTCATAGCCTCGCCACGTAATCGCACAAGACGTACCGCATCCGTTAATGACATTGATTGTGTAGCGACTAAGGCAGTGTATTCACCCAAAGAATGACCCAATGCATGGTTACAAGCTTTAAAGATATCAAATCCAAATTCGGTCTCCAGGACACGAAGCATGGCAATGGATGTGGTTAAAATAGCAGGTTGAGCATTTTGTGTCAATTTCAACTTGTCCTGTCAATTCTCAAGTTAATACCAGAGAGATCACTACGGTCCCCCCCCCTCTCTCTCTCTCTCTCTTTCTCTCTCTCTCTCTTTCTCTCTCTCTCTCGTTTTTTCTGTTTTTATACCTGGTGTCCTTCGAAAATAAGTGCACGTAAACCTGTACCAAGTGCTTCATCAGCTTCGTCAAAAACAAGTTTAGCTGATCTCGGGTAGAGATTGTATAAATCTTTTCCCATGCCTACATATTGAGAACCTTGACCTACAAGTCATGTCAATGACAAGAACAAATAGTAGTAAGTCTGGCTCCTTTTTGTTTACCTGGAAAAAGAATAGCGCGGTGAGAGCGTTCGATGCCGGCAGTACTCTATAAAAGAAAGTCATTAACAAGTGTCTTTGTTATTTTCCTTTTACTTTTTTTTTTCCATTTTACCATCCAGGTACGACGGCCAATGACCCTTGAGGATTGTTTCTTTAAAATATTCATACTAAATTGGGGTGCAATGAGATAAAAGAAGGGGTAGAAATAAAAATCTGGGGAAATATTAAAACTTGGTTTGAACTTTTTAAACCTCGAACAATTTTTCTGGCTTGTATGACAATTTGGGGTGACCCAGAGATCCTTGTGTAGATAATCTGGCTTGCATGAGATTATCAGACAAGTTGAACCTTGAACACATCATGTCAATAAAAAATATATTAAATCTTATAGTTTTGATAATTTACTTAATTGGACTACCACGACAAAAAGATGGAAGGGTAAGACCATTGCCTAAAACTAATGCTGAAAACTCTATCAGAGCACCTTTTTGATCTCGATTCGACTTAGAGAACTTGTTATGCACACATCTCGAACAATCTCTGTTGACACAAACTACTATGTCTTTTGTTCTCCTTGTGGAGTCTCCTCTTCTAACTACTTGCTTAGTGGTAGTTTCAAAGCATGAAGTGCAGGTAATAGCTGTTTCATATTTGTGTCGACAACCATAAACTTGTCCTTTTCAGAGCTCTGTAATTACTGGTTTCATGCTTCTCCTAGTATGGCTCTTCATAAACGTAGTAATACTGGACCAGCTTCTCAGAAACGACCATACGACATTACTATTTTCCCTTCCCAATGATAAAACGAGTCTCTTCGTATCACGGCTAAAATATACTTGTTAGATTTTTTTGTACATATTGTTCTAGTATGCGAAAATTGTTTATTATAAAATAGATGCACTGTACTTCCATCAATTTAACGATTTTAAGAAGTAGTTATCAGAAAAATTAAGCCTCCCGTCCTTTTAGATTTACAATGTGCTGAAATTCAGAAATAAATCTTTCGTTATCCCCAGATGTTATTTTAAAAGCAGGGCAGCTCGTATTTTTTTTTTAAAAAATGTCTAGACCTCCGTTTTTTTTTTTTTCTGATGATTTGCATATAAGTCTAAGATAAATGTTTACGTCGATAGACATGTCATATTGTCCAAACGCTTTAGGATGATCGATTTTTGTTTGGCATAAAATGTATTTCATTATCATTACATGCTACTACTGAAACGCTGATAGACAACTACCAAGTTCCAGCCTTTCTTGGCGTACAGCGGCTCCACCCCCAAAGTTCGTTTTCCAATTTCATAAATTCGCTTTTGTCGCAGCCCAAAGTTCGCTTCTTGATTGGTCAAAGTTCGTTTTTTGTAAATCACCCAAATTCGCTTTGGTGGCACCCAAAGTTCGTTTTCACGTCAGAAGAGTTCGCTTTTAAAAATTACAGGATTATGAGATAATGTTATGAGAGATAATGTTATGAGAGATAATGTTATGAGAGATAATGTTATGAGAAAAAAAAAATGTTATAAGAAAAAAAAAATGTTATGAGGAAAAAAAAATGTTATGAGAAAAAAAAAATGTTATGAAAAAATGTTATGAGAAAATGTTATGAGAAAATGTTATGAGAAAAAAAAATGTTATGAGAAAATGTTATGAGAAAATGTTATGAGAAAATGTTATGAGAAAATGTTATGAGAAAAAAAAAATGTTATGAAAAAAAAAGTCACAACATATTATCTCATAACATTATCTCATAACATTTTTTTTTTCTCATAACATTTTTTCTCTATGAATTTAGATGTTAATGCTTTGCGTTGCAAAGATTGCAATGTTGACTTTAAGACTCATTCAGAGTTAAACAATCATAATTACGGCACTCATGTGGATAAAACAAAAGTCTTTATTGGTAATGGTAAGAACTGGACATTTAAATAAAACATGACATTTTTTTTTAAAGAACAAATAGACACCATTATGGAAGTTAGCAAGGTTGATGGCAAATTTAATTGTCCTGAATGCTCAAGCAAGCTCAGTACTCCTACCACATTTAGCGCCCATCTTAAAAAAAAGCATAACGGCCACTGCGAAGCCATTTCAAACAAAACAAAGCGACGAAGCCTCGAAGATAATAACAACGATAATTCTACAACCATATCATTGAAACATCGAAAGTTACGAAGCCTGAATCTAAATTTAGATGAAATTGATTCAAATTCTGGTTCATCTGGTCCTTTATTTTCAACATCAGCTCGATGTGATAATGACATGGGAGTACTACTTGCGTCAAATGCCTTAGATCTTCCACAAACTGATCAAGAAAAAATAATAATGTTAAGCAAGATTGGAAATTGGAAATCAATAGCAGTATCGTTAGAAAATGGGAAAAAGTATTACATGCTCGCCTCTCCAGACCTCATTGAAGATATACTTGCAGAACAACCAACTGGTGTGTGGACATTACCAGGTCAAAATACCACAAAGCCATCAGATTTGGCTTAATCAAGCTCAAGCTTCATTCCATTATTCACTGGACAACAAATGCATTTCAAGAATAGTTTATTAAGGTCATGAAGCTACCACATTTGGTGAAGTATATTTAGTATTCATTAACAGGGTTTTTATTTCCTTGAACTGATAATATAATATTTACAACTTGTTTTTACAATTCAATTTTGTTCGTATCAATGCAAATCAAAGATATAAGATGAAATACATTAAAGAAACAACCCAATAAAATAATAGCGGTATACCGTAGTGATGATTTCTTATATAGGGTATTATTTACGCTGAAGTGTTGGCATTTTTAATAGATGTAGTCATCGAATCAGCTAAAATTGTGAGTAATTGGTTCAGTTTCATATTGTTGATGACTGCAAATGATTTCTCTTGTTGATCAATAAATTCACGGATGGTATATTTTATTGCTCCATTTTTCAATTTGCTACATAGATCATTTAGAACATCTAGTTTGATTTGGGCCAATATGCCATTGTTGATAACTGAAGTGGCGATTGTTTGAAACAGTTGAGATAGCAATTGAGATTGTGAGTCTGTTTGTTGGGAAGAATCATAGTCGCATAGGGTCCAAATCGTGTAAGGTCTGTAGGAAATATCATATGCAAATGTACTGGATGAACGACATAAAGTATATGTGGATAAACAATGAAATTTTGATCTGAGTTGTCTAAGTTGATAGAAGTAATTTCCTACATCAATACTGGTTGTTGAGTCATCCTTCGCTAACACTTTTCCTAATCTTAATGATTCCATATTGAGATAAATTTTTGTATCGTGTGTTGCAGTGAAATTACTGGTGGTTGGTCCTAGTTCCACAATATTCTTTGTTATTGAGTTTTTGTCTATGCGTATACTTGAGGTCACCAACAGATTACTGACCGTTGTGCCAATTTTTAGTTTGGTTGCTCCGTCTTCGTGAGTGGTAATAATATTAATCCATCCGTAATTTGGTTGTTTTTTGGGAAAAGAGGATGTATTCATTGCAGTTCCAATTCTGCGCTCATGGTGTGCATCAACGGTCTTCGATCTTCCATATGATTCTATGCAATTCAAGAGTAATGCTGATGTCTTATTCACTAGGATTGCCCCAGCAAAAATTTGCGAGGTGACATACCTAAGCTGAGGAAAGAAAGTCCAATCCTGGTTTATTAACTCTGTAACTTCCATTGTAAGCTCCACGTATTTTTGATCAAATAAGTGGTTATAGAGTGGACTTGTATTTATAATATGATCCAGAAGGCTGTCAACGCTTGAGGATGAAGAGTTTTGTATGACTGTTGTATCGGCTGCTGGAAGGGTCCAAGAACCAGAAGGTTGATCGGTTAGCACATCACTTATGCTGTCTGACGATTTTAGAAAATGATAAGTTTTACCACTTCCACCCACTATGGATATTGGTTCCAAATTTCCAATTCTTGCCAACATTATAGAATTCTCTTTTTCACGAGTTGACCCTAAAGATGTACCAGATGCCAACAATATAGCAGTGTTTTTATCAAGAGCTTTTGGAGATCGAGATGAATCAATTTCATCTAAATTTAGATTCAGGCTTTGTAACTTTCGATGTTTCAATGATATGGTTGTAGAATTATCGTTGTTATTATCTTCGAGGCTTCGTCGCTTTGTTTTGTTTGAAATGGCTTCGCAGTGGCCGTTATGCTTTTTTTTAAGATGGGCGCTAAATGTGGTAGGAGTACTGAGCTTGCTTGAGCATTCAGGACAATTAAATTTGCCATCAACCTTGCTAACTTCCATAATGGTGTCTATTTGTTCTTTAAAAAAAAATGTCATGTTTTATTTAAATGTCCAGTTCTTACCATTACCAATAAAGACTTTTGTTTTATCCACATGAGTGCCGTAATTATGATTGTTTAACTCTGAATGAGTCTTAAAGTCAACATTGCAATCTTTGCAACGCAAAGCATTAACATCTAAATTCATAGAGAAAAAATGTTATGAGAAAATGTTATGAGAAAAAAAAATGTTATGAGATAATGTTATGAGATAATATGTTGTGACTTTTTTTTTTCATAACATTTTTTTTTCTCATAACATTTTCTCATAACATTTTCTCATAACATTCTTTTTTCCTCATAACATTTTTTTTTTCTCATAACATTTTTTCATAACATTTTTTTTTCTCATAACATTTTCTCATAACATTTTTTTTTCTCATAACATTTTCTCATAACATTTTTTTTTCTCATAACATTTTCTCATTACATTTTCTCATAACATTTTTTTTTCCTCATAACATTTTTTTTTTCTCATAACATTATCTCTCATAACATTATCTCTCATAACATTATCTCTCATAACATTATCTCATAATCCTGTAATTTTTAAAAGCGAACTCTTCTGACGTGAAAACGAACTTTGGGTGCCACCAAAGCGAATTTGGGTGATTTACAAAAAACGAACTTTGACCAATCAAGAAGCGAACTTTGGGCTGCGACAAAAGCGAATTTATGAAATTGGAAAACGAACTTTGGGGGTGGAGCCGCTGTATTTGCAAATGTTTCTATATTAAGTAAAGACCCAAACAGTCGGAACGATCAAGTAAACAATGCAGTCATTCTGACATAAGCTTTTATTTATCACTTTTACATATAAATCTCGTTCACCCACCTTTTTTTTCCCTCCTTTTGTTTTTTAAATGAAGTTTAAAAGGTTCGTATATAATAACTCTGGATTTTTCAGAAATCACTAAATTATCAGTTATAAAAGATACATTGTAATTGTTGCGGTATTACGGCTACAGCTAGTCTTTACTATAGAATAGGAACCTCCTATTTTGAGCTCTTGTGTTTATAGAGACTCAGTTGAGTGACAGACTGTAAATGGCCGTGATCATACATGCTTGCTGGAAAAAAAAAATACGGAGGTTTAGAAATTTCGGTTTTTTTTTTTTTTTTTTTTTTTTTGGTAAAGAAATAAATCCAGAGAACGAAATAAAGTCTTTAAAACTGCTCGACGCGTTCCCAGAAGGGGAGCTTTTTTAACTGAACGATACGCCGACTGAACCTTTTGTGGTGGCGAAAGACAGAATCAAGTTTTTCCCATTCCGTTATAACAGATACCGGCATACTAACGACGTGAATGAAATCCAACAAATAAATAATATCAAAGAAGCAGAATTAACCACAAGCCATAAAAGCATACATTAGTACTCTTAAATTACCTATTTACTCCCTGACTATTTACATTTATTAACTGATATTGCAACTTTTAGACTACGATGTTGTGTTTTAAGGTAAGGTTTTAAATTATAAAAAGACTATGGGAGTAGTTTGAGACTGTTTATAAGATTGTCCTTTATTAATAAATGAAATATACGAGTATTTATATAAAAGACTGTCTGCTGTGTTCATATCTCTAGTGCTATCTTGAAGTTATCATTGATTAACCAAAAATGTATACGATTATTACATAGTCACTAATTTAGTCTTGTTCTAATAAATGTTAAGTCTTCTTAACTCTCTTTGCTTTAAACTAAATTTTAAGTATTTCTCAGACGTACTAAATTAGACTTGTGATGTAATATCCTTATAGTTCTTACTATGACATTTATTGTTAAGCTTATATCACAAATGGTATCAGCATGGATAAACCTTTGTTAGCTCTAATATGGCTATAGCCTTGCTAGGTCACCACATACGAATCCCAGCTTATTGATTTCGTCAATAACATTTTTCTGATAAGCGATCCATGTAACAAGGCGGTATATGAACGAAAAGAGGTATCTTTCAATTAGTGTTTGGAATAAAGATCAGAACTCTCGAGCGAGCTTCGAGTGATCATCAGAATCGAAGCTCGAGTACAAAAATTCAGTTCGAGCTTTGTCCAAACTAGTGCAAGCTCGAAAAGTTCAAACACTACTTCTGATGATATGTACAAGATCACAGCAGATTTCATCACAAGCGGTCAACGAACCAAACGAAGTCTGATCAACAATGTTTCTTGTTGTCGGCAAGTCACACGCAACCATTGTGAAAGCAGCTTTAACCGTTGGAATACCATTAAATGTCTGGTACACATCTCAACACCCGAAGCCAACAGCATTTAATCATCAACCAAAGGTGTCAAGTAATGGTGTATTTCGTGCTTCTTGGGTTCAGATAGCCCAGGAAGCAAACAACAAAGCATGCCATTATCACGCAAGTGCCTCTCAGCGCGTGGTAAGTTTTAAATTGTCGAATAACAATTTATCAGCTGTATAAGTAGATGAACCATTTATATTAAAAACTGTTCTATTCTCTAGATGGGTAGCGAATCCGTTGAGGTAACTATTAATATTTGATTTCTCTTTCATATAATTCTTGATTTAATTTAAGAAAAATCTCTTCTCGATCGGTAATATAGCATTCTGTTACCAACTGTCATTCGTATATCGTATCTAGGCCAATCACGACGTGGGGTGCATAAAGTATGATTTCTTCAATAAAAGCTTTGGATAGAAACATCTATTCAATTATATAAGTTGGGCTGAAAAAAATCCTAAAACTAGAGTGTATATAATGTGAATGATGTTACAGCTTGACTTTTACTACTTGTTTATTCATCTTATTAAAAGACGAACTCCAAACTGTCAGGACCGAAAAAAAAAAATCTATTAAACCAGTGTGTCGGGGCATAATCAAGTCGATGATGCCAGGTTTGTATCCCGGCATGAATCGCTTTGACAAAGCGTCGTTTTCAAATCCCCTTCAACTCAGATAAAAGGGATAAAAAGCAAAATAATCTCTACTTTGATTATAGCTTTCTTTGATTATTCACAAGCATCTCGCACCCGTTTATTGAAATGTAAATAGAAACAGGTTCAATTGATTTACTACGCAAGAACTTTTTTTTATTATTTCAAAATCAGTTTTTACTTGAAGAAAAAAAAAATCATTATTCCCGTCCTAGGTATAAACTACTTTCTCCAACAGGTAGCACTTGCTCTTCAATTGAGGACTCGAACTGACATAATCACAAAGTTGACCCTCTTTCACTTCCCCTACGATGGAACTTTCGCCGTAACGGAAAACCAGTGTTGTATTCTGGTTACAAATGATCGTAGCCATAAATTTTCTTTCCTGTCTCTCACATTGACCTCTGATATTTTTTGATTCTTCATACTCATCTTTGATCGACAGTATCTCGTAAAATCGATGATCGTCACTGTCAAATTCATAGTAACTTTCATTTCCACTATCGGCAAACTTTATACAAACGCGAGAGAAAAATCGACCCAGGTCCAGATAGAATCGAGTCAAATGTATGAACCCTGTTATATCGATGGGATGATTGAGCTCACTGACCCATGTGTGAGAGATATGATTGACAGAATACATTTCAATAAGTGGCGCATGAGAAGCTATTTCATCCATGACCGATTTAGATGGAACACCACTTCCGGTGACTAGCATGGTCATCCTACGTTTGACACTGATATTGTTCGAAGACATCGCTCGAGCATCCTGGTTGCTACGAAGTTGGATTCGAATACTTTCATTCGAGTAGATGAAATTATTATAATCATATTTTTCCAGTGCGGGACAATGCGTCATTGCATACTGTAAGAATTTGGCTACTAATGCTTCATCAGGCTCACATATCTCTACTCTCAAACTTTTAAAGATTTCGGGTCCAATGATGGACGTACTGATATCCGGTAACGCAATTTCAATCACATGTTCTCCATCCTCAGTTTCTCGATAGTAATCACATTTTTGTAGAGCATATTCGAAAAGGTGACGATCTTGTAAAGCACTTGTATTGCCAAAATTGGCGTCACACGTTGGGATCTGCACTCGAAATACGTTGAACAACTTGAAATAATTCGTCATATTCGACACATTTGTTTTGGATCGGTTACCACCATGACAGAAATCTTTTTTCTTGAACGTGATGGAAACATTGTCTATATGACTCGCGCGTTTTGCCAGCTTTACTGCATTGTCCATACCAACTGATTCTATCCATTCGTTTAAATCCGTATTAAAAAACATCACGATGTCTTGTAATTGATCGGATACACGGTCATTGATGTAAGTGATATCTGACCTTGATACTGAAGGCATCATCAAAAATAATTTTGTCAAGGTGGTGTTCTTGGGTTTGTTCTGCGCGAGGACATCATCGGAAGCGACATTATTTTCAACAGGGTATCCACTTTGAGCTAAATTTACATCGATGAAGAGATAGTTTAGATTCGGGGAAGCCTCCAAAAGACGCTCGATGGTCAGGGTATCATCCAAAGGATGACGCAGATGTAATTGCCGGAGTGCTGTAAAATGGCTTAAAAGCAACCACGTGTTTTCATAGTCAATTTTGGTGACACGCGTGTGTTTCATCCAGCCCACCATATGAAGAATGGTTAAAGTGGCACGAAACCTGTAACAAGCTTGAAAATGATGTTCGGATGGGTGTATTCTCGCATAAGAAAAGAACTCGGGAGGTGTAATATCTTGAATGTGCCTCAGATACACTGCCGGGTCTAAACTTGATACGACCTTCATGTATTTTTCGTAATGCTTTGTCCGCAATTCCAAGACTTGAAGTTTGGGTAGGTAACCTAAAAGTTTTGCAAACTGCAACGGAGCAATCACGCAATCGGGATTGTACATGTCATTATGGAGGGTGAGTTTCTTTATTAAAGAATAACGACTCAATTCTTTCAGGAGGTTGGTTGACCCTAAACTTAAAATTGTCTTCATTTCTGGAATATTTGTTATATCAAGTTCCACTTGTTGCAGTAGTGTGCTTTTGGATGCTGCATGTTTCCAGTTTTTACAAACTTTGTCACATTGTTCCAGCGTGCTTTTGTCCACATGAGAGAATATACAAAGTAATATTTCCAAATTTAAGCTAGCCGCTGACATGTCAAAAGGAAAAAATAAACCTGAGAAACGACCTGTCTGTCACACACCCTCCCTTACTTTTTTATTTTTTCATATGATTCTGATTGGATATGTGGCTTTTTTTTAAGGGGTTGAGGTTGTTTATACATATGAACCATCAGGATCTGGCACAATTTCAGTGTAATGGTTGTTGATTCATGCTCCTTCTCCCTTACAAATGACTCATTACATCAATTATCAGTTGATAAATGCTTGGAAGATATCATATCTGCTGTGACAGAAAAAGCTTGTTTAAGATGGATGAGAGAGTCAACATGCACAATTATCAATATTAGACCACCGTAATTTGTTACTGTACTAAACCCTTCCCCCCTCCCCCACAATCTTTCCTTGTTTAAAGCAATAATAATAAATCAAATGTCGTCATGAGAATTTCTTGTAGGTCTGACAGGTACAACCTATCATTGAATTTGTCCCTCCAGAAACCCGATTTGCCAATAAAGAATCATCATGCATCACTGCTTTTGACTATTTATGCACCACTCACAAGAAATGCCTTTTGATGTTTCATTTTGATGAATCAGTAGCATAGAATAAAAGCTAGATGATTCAATCTATGCGTTATTTTAATGCACAATGGAGTAGGTCAATGAATAGTCATACAATTGAAAGGACAAGAAAATAGCGGCTAATGTCAAGGGATGACACACACACACACACTCAGGCACTGCCCGCCCTCCTTTTTTTTTTCTTATTGTTTAAATGAAAATACTTAACATTCATTGTACTTCTAATACAAAAAGAAATGCCACGTTCCTTGATGTTTAGCCATAAGAAAGAAGAACGCGTTATCCTCCCCAATTATTCCCTTTGTCTTTTCCAGTATGCATAAAAGGGGGATGAGAAGAGGCATTTATTAAATAAAGGGGGGGGGGGGCGGAGGGAGGTGTAGTGTATGCATCGATTATATACCCTTATATATTGTCCAGTTACTCATCTGTGTGACTTTTTGAGGTTACTCAAAATGCAACCATTAAACTATTTAGCATGTGCTATCTAATTCTGCCCACACGTCATTTTACTTTTTTGATGTTTTTTTTAAAAAAAAAAGATGCTTTTAGGAAAGTTACAATTTCAAGCATTACAAAAAAAAGGATTGTTTTGAATGATTGGGTGTGGCCTGACTGTTTATACCTTCTATAATAAGTTAGATACACTCACATGGTTTAATGTCTCATAACGCGGTAAGTGAAGAAAAAGGGACGATCGTGTGTGATGATAAAAAGGCCCTAAATGAATGTTTGCCTCTTGAGTAAAACATGCAATCAAGATTTTTTTTCCAGAAATGGTTGCTCTCCCCCCCCCCCATCCCAACCACCAACGCACTTTTTAATAGTGCGACTCTACACAGGAAAAAAAAAGAAAAGAAAGGAAGACCTATTTGTACGAAGTAAGTGTAACAAACATACAGAATGAAATCATGGCTTCATTTGACAGTGAAAAGAGAAATGGTCATGATGACAAAAACAAAATAAAAATGAACCCAACAGAGTAAAAAATAAAGCTAGTTAGAAATATTCGAATCCAAACCATAAATATTACAACGTCTCCCATCTAATTAAAAAACCGTTTTTTTTTTCATTATAGAATTATAAAAATGGAGAAACAGAAATGATGGGACGTGGTACCAATACGGAATGACGTAAGTAATGAATCATGCCGAACACCTTTTTTTTATTTTTATTCTCATCTTTAAAGACAACTGGGAAAGGAACACACTATAAAGGGCTTTCTTTTTGAAATCACATATTTGAATAGCTCTTTTGCGTAAATACATATGTTTTTTATTTAATAATAAGAAAGCAAGAAATAAATTAAAAAAAAAAAAATAGTGGGCTTGTACCACATTAATGACGTTCTAAATAGAGGTGTTTACCCTATTCCAGGTTGTGTGTGTACTTCTTTTTTTTAGCTCGTCATGTTTCCCACCCATTTATAATAAGGGCTTATCTTTTCTTCTTCTTTTTTCCCCTCTTTTTCTTCTCCATAATTTCTTTTTCTTCCCTCTCAAAAAGTAAGCCTTTAGTCTTCTTTAACAATGATGACTTCTTTGCCTGCCAATACACTGACAGTTCCAGCAACAAACACAGAGTGCTCCAACAATAATACTAATGCTTCTCGACGATTATCACAAACTATCACAGATATCGTGACGGGTTCCACACCCACTGGACGCAATCGATCTTCCTCATCCCCTCCGTCACCCACTAAACTTGAACAAGGTCCCAACAAAATTTCGATCGAATTTGATGGAGGAGGACAAATCATTGTTCGACCTAATCGCATCGTGCGGGGTATGTATCTTTTAAACCCTTTTTTTTTTATAAATGTATATATCAATACAAGGCATCTCATTCTTTTATTTTATATATTAGGCGTGGTGATTCTAAATAACGTAAAACAAATTCAAGCCAGTCAAATTAGAATTCGATTTCGTGCTGAAGAAGTGGCTACAGCCAAAGTAAAAGAATATGGATTAGAAACTAAAATTGAACGCATTGATCAAGTGATAACCACCTATTTCGACACGACCACCAAAGTATGGGGAACTGAACCCAGTCGTAAGTTATTCTATCTTTATTAAAAAAAGACTTTTTCCACCCCCTTCATCCTACTCACATCCATTAATAATTATAGCTTATTTAATGAGTTCATGGGATGCAATTGAACCGGGAGAACACAAGTTCCCTTTCGCATTAAAGGTAAAAAAAAAAAAAAAAAAAAAAAAACAGGATAAACCATTTTATCGATTTACTCATGTGACCCAATAGTTCCCCAATGTGAATTTCCCTCCCTCCACAGATGATCCCGTTGGATTTTCCATTCACTATATATGGTCTGCTCATTTAGATGGTCCCTCTTATAACCCTGGTATGCAATCCAAAGAGTACATCATGCCTTACCGACCTATTGTTTGTGCTCCACCTACCAAGGAATGGACATTTAACCAGACCATCATCAATGACAAGCGGGTACCTATTGCTCATGTAGCTGCCATTATGCCACGTGGTGCCTTCTGTCCTGGTACGTTAGATTATGTATCCAATTATTCAGATCATTAACTATTTTTTATTATTATTAGATGAGGACGTGCAAATGCAGTTAGTGGTAGAGAGTATTCCTTCTGATTTGATTGTATCGAGTGTAGGTTACACATTGAATAAATGTAGTGTAGGACAATTACAGTTACAGAGGGGACTTGCACGAAAGACCCGTTGTCGTAAGATCTTGCAGGGTTCCTTGGGAGTGTCTGGTAATAATGGAGGGGTCACAGTGCCAGTGAATTTCCATGTACCCACTCGACTTGTGTCACCTTCATTTCAGTCCCGCCATTTATGTGTGTATTATGAAATTGTGTTTAATATCCAATTTACCAGCCATGGAGGTCTTTTGAAATCCAACCCAAGTGGAGAATGCACGGTGCCTATCGGAATTACGAATTTACCACATAATCATTTGTTGCATATTCCTAATCTCACATCGGTTCAGTCGTATCTACAAAGTAAAGAATCACCCATCTTTTTCGACCCATTTTTAGATGAACCACCCAATGCCTCCTCTATCCCCAGTGAACTATGGGGTCCCCTGACAGCTGCACTGAGTACGCCACCCATTACTTCTCCACCCAATTATTTCAGTCTATCGGAATTACCGTCGCAGTTTATTCAACGGGATCGAGAAGAAAAGACCGTGTTTACAAGTAGACTGATTAAAGCCGGTATGGCTCAAGAATTGGGTGACCCCATTACCCTTGTACAGGGATCACAATACCAATTTGCCTAATTTTTATATCTTTTTATGTTGCATTTGTAAATATCCATATTTATTATTATATTTTAGAGCTGAATAAACTCAATCTTTTTTTTTAAAAATATAAATAAATAGAAAGCTTTTTTTTTTTTTACTTATACGTATCGTTCTCTTGGGACGGTGAACAATAGTGCTACAACTAACCCCTTCTACAAAAAAAAAAGGAACTATGAAATCATTACATCCTCCACCAGACCAGAGGAACCGTAGCACTTTTTTTTTTTTTCAGCTGAAGGTAATACAGAAGCCAAGTTTTTTTTTATTATTATTACATGATCCTCCTACTTATTTTTAGATGTGGTGGTTATGATCTGTGGATAGTCCTTTTAGTTTAATCGATTCTATAGTGTGTGACCATTTATGTTGACAAGTGAAATAATGAACACTGTACTATTTTTATTTGATCAGAGATGAAAATTCTCTCTTTTTCGCAAGCCATAGTACATCAAAACCATCTGTCTCGGCTTGAGCCCTTTTTGTCTTTTTTTTTTAATTAAAAAAAGAAAGAGGCCCACCTAAAAAAAAAAAATGACGCAAATATTTTAAAATTACGAAAATTGGCACTTTTTTTTTTTTTTTGCCGAAGTGGGGGCCTAATTTGCCAAGAAGGGTCTTCAGCCCAATGTAATATACTTTTTTTTTATGCATTCATCGGACACCCCGCTTTTGACTTGGCTTCAACTCATGTTTTACTTTTTTTATATCCCCTTTTTTTTTTTTATGGTCTTGACAGCAAAATCCTCCTCATCTTTTTTAAAAACATTGGCACTTGCTTTTTCACCCCCTTTTGTACAAAAAAAGAGGGTGTTCGGCTTTAAATAGCCAAAAAAAAAAAACTGGTTGAGCCGCAAAATAAGCCAATGAACAGCCCCAACCCTTTTTGTTTATTTGTAAGCCCAAAAAAAAAACAATGATCTACTTTTTTATGGTTACACGGTGCCTTCTCAAAATTAACTAAATCAGAGAGAAAACTTTTTTGTGACAGGCCGGCTGAGAATATATATAGCAATAAAAAAAAAAAAGGGGAGAGGGATATTATGTTATTTTTTTTTTTTATTTAATTATTAAATATGTACAATAAATAGTATTAGAGGAAGGGGGGGGGGTCATCATTTACAAATAAAGAAGGGCAAAAAAAAAAAGGGGGGGGGGGAATAAAAAGAAAGTGTTTCCCTTTTTTTTTTTTTTTTTTGGTGTGTGTGGGTTAAAACATGATGGAACTGAGTGCAACAAAGATGACAAGTGCAAGTATAGGATCGGTTGAGATAGGTGTTGTGGAAGATGAATCGAGTACAAATCGTTGTTTTAATGAAGTCGTGGATTCGTCTGTAAAATCATGTTGTAGTGTCATATTGACAATATGTTGATCTATTTCTTCAAACTAAAAGAAAACAGGCTGTTAGTTTTTTTTTTGCAGATCACATTTTTTTTTTTTTTATATCTTTCTTCTTTTTTTTTTTTACCTTGGATGCGCAACAAAAAGTCATCAAACAAGCAACAATGAAAATTAAGGAGAAACGCATATTTCAGTTTAAAAAATATCAATAAAAAAAAAAGTTGAAAAAAGTAAGAAAAGAGAGAGAGAGGAAAAAAAAAAAAATGAAGAGCCCATATTTATACCAAAAAAGATAATTTGGTTACCATGACGTTATTGATGGGTTTTGATGATTTTTTAAATTTGGCAACGGCGTTTTAAACAAGAATAATAATAATAATAAAAAAAAAAAAAAAAAAGGGCTGCTTTTTTCCTCCTCCTCCTCCTCCCCCAATAAAATTTCCTCCCTCCTCCTCCTCCTCTCTCCCTTTGCCACTTAAACATAACCTTGATGTCGTTTTTAAACAAGTTCATAGACAAGGCAAAGTCTCGTCATCAGTCAGACAGTGCTAGTTCGAAAGAAGTCAAAAGCAGTGACGCAAGTACCGCCACAGCTGACATTCATAGTCATTCTAAAACCAGTTCATTACAAGATGAAGAAGTCCAAGGTACCAAAAAAAAAAAAAAAAATTAAACTTTGCGAAAAAAAAAAAAAAAGTGTTAATTCTTAACCGTATTGCTATAGATAAAAGAGACGGTAAAAAGATATCTGCTTTGTTTAAAAAAAAAAAGAGAGAGAGAGACACATGATAATTTAAACATATATATATATAAAAACAGGATATAGTGATGTAGCTACTACTTCGTATAATAGCAGTAGCAACGAACAACGGAATTTCGATGGATCTTCTGGACGTAGTCGAACCACATCGACGTACACCTCGGTCTACAATGATCAATCCATCATTAAGCAACGCCATGACCGTCCCAGACTTAAATTGGCGGACTTTAACATGTTACGTACACTTGGTACTGGCTCATTCGGTCGTGTCCATCTTGTCCAATCTCGTGTCAACGCACGTTATTATGCTGTCAAGGTCCTTAAAAAGGCTGAAGTCGTCCGATTGAAACAAGTCGAGCATACAAACAATGAAAAACATATTCTCGAATCAGTCGCTCATCCTTTTCTCGTCAATATGTGGGGTACCTTTCAAGATAATGTCAATCTCTACATGGTCATGGATTATGTGCCTGGTGGTGAATTATTTTCTGTTCTCCGCCGTTCCAAGGTCAGTGCTCTCTTCTTTTTTTTGGGAGGGGGTTTTAGCGCCTCCACACACACTCACACACTTTTTTCTTTTTCTCTCTCTTCAGCGTTTCCCTGATCACGTAGCAAAGTTTTATGCTGCTGAAGTTATTTTAGCCATTGAATACATGCACTCTAAAAATGTCATTTATCGTGACTTGAAGCCCGAGAATTTGTTACTGGATAGCCAAGGGCATATCAAAATCACAGACTTTGGTTTCGCAAAGCATGTTCCTGACATTACCTGGACATTATGTGGAACCCCTGATTACCTAGGTAAACCCTATTCTCTCTTTCTCTCTCTTTTTATATGTCATGTAATGCATATGTACCAACCCTTTTTCTTTTCCTTTTCTCTCTCTCTAAAATAGCTCCCGAGATCATCCAGTCAAAGGGGTACGGTAGAGCAGTAGATTGGTGGAGTTTAGGTGTCTTGGTCTTTGAAATGTTGGCAGGGTAAGTTGTTTTTAGAATGTTTTTTATGCTGCGAACAAAACTTTTTTTTAACCGAGTAATGAAAAAGAACAGATTTCCTCCATTTTATGACGATGATCATTTAAAGCTCTACGAAAAGATTTTGGCAGGCCGAGTCAAATACCCCAATTATTTTATTGTTCATTCCAAGGACCTGTTGAAACGTTTATTGACAGCTGATTTAACAAAACGTTATGGTAATTTAAAAGATGGAAGTGAGGACATTAAACGACATGCCTGGTTTCAAGGTGTGGATTTCAATCGCGTCTTGGCTCGTCAAATTAGACCCCCTTATGTTCCTAGTATTCGTGGTGAAGGGGACGCAAGTCATTTTGACAGATATCCTGAAACAGATGAACAATATGGCAATGAAACAGCTACAGATCCCTTTAGAAATCTCTTTCCTGACTTTTAAAAAATAACTATTATATAACTTTACACATTCCCTCTTCTTTTTTTTATTTCATAATACTATTATTTTTTTTTTTTACTCTTTATATATACATGTGTGCTTTTTTTTTAATTTTTTTTAATACTTTTTATTTTTTATTTTTTTAAAATTACAAGTGTGTGTGAAAAAAAAAGGGGGGGGGGGTTATTATTATTTATATATGTGTATATTTATAAGTGAGTATTTTTTTTTGGGGGGGTTTAAGCGACTTCACGCTTAGCATCATTGGCATTGATACGATTCTGTACTTCATTCATGATTTGAGCATCATGAACAGCAGATTGGCCACCAAAGATTTCATCCATTTCTTCCAAGGTTCTACCCTTGGTCTCTGGCACAAAATACCAAACAAAGCCAAACGAAAGGAAGAGGAAACAAGCGAAAAAGATATAGGTACCATAGGTGATATTCTCCAACATGACAGGTACGATTAAACCAATGATAAAGTTGTTCATCCAGTTAGAAGAGGTAGTGACACTCATACCCTTGGCACGACTTCTCAAGGGGAAGATTTCAGCACAGACAACCCAAGGAATAGGACCCCAAGCAACCGCAAAACCACAGATAAAGATGTAGATAAACGCAACAGAGACCCAACCTTCAGCAGAGTGACTAGGCCAGTCATGTTGACATAAGGCAGTAATGATAGCAACCACCAGCATACAGACACCCATCACAAGGGAGGCCACCATCAAGGCAGTCTTACGACCGAGCACATCCAATAAGATAACAGTAGGAATGGTACCCACAAAATTAATGATACCCACCACACCTGTGGCTAAAAGTGAGACAGAATCACCGGTCAAACCAATCGATTTGAAAATCTTGGGAGCATAGTAAACCAAAGCATTCATACCCGTGAATTGTTGAAAGAACATGAGCATACTACCGACAAAGACACGGTTGAAGGAACCCTTCTTGAAGAGATCACGATAGCCTAAAGCACCAATCATCATACGACCCTTGCTACCATTGTCGACGTGTTGAGGGTATTGTTGACGTTCAATATGACGGTCAAATTCAACAGTGACTTTGATATCTTTGTATTCAGCTTGGACAGTAGGATGGTCTTGAGGGAGACGACGTAATTTGGAGAGAACCTTGAGAGCTTCTTCTTCTCTTCCTTTACTCATGAGCCAACGAGGAGAATAAGGGAAGAAGATGATACCGATACCAAGCACAAGAGAGAATACAATTTGAAGGCAGAGAGGAATACGCCATGCTGCTTGACCACCGATATTGGTTAATCCGTAATCGATCCAGAAAGAAATCAAGATACCAAAGCAAATAGCCAATTGCTGCAAAGAAATGAGAGAACCACGAATCTCTGGGGGAGCAATTTCAGATTGATAGAGAGGGCTATTTTTTTTATAAGTACCAGTTAGTTAAAGTGTAAATATATATATATATATATATATATATATATAAACAAAACTTACACAAGCAAACTGAGGGCACCGACAGCCATACCAGTGACAAATCGACCACCTAATAACATGCCAATGTTTTGAGCACCACCTTGAATGGCACTGCCTAACAAGAAGATAACATTGGAGAGAACAATAGAGTTTTTACGACCGATACGATCAGCGAAGTAACCAATGATCCAAGCACCAGCCCAAGCACCCAACTCAAGAATAGACACCATAAAACCAGTTTGTGTCGAAGTCATTGGGAAACGTTCCTTGAAATCAGCCATTTCTTGGACACCCGAGATAACACCCTGATCATCTATAAAATAAAAAAAGGACAAAAAAAACTTAATTTCTAAGAAGAAAGGTGCAGATCTATCATGTATACGTACAACCAAAGAGGATACCACCAATGGAGGCAAAGACAGCGGTAAGAAAGACATAAGGATTTTTCACGAAACCCGATAAACCATTTCCGGGTGGGACAACCACTCTTTCTTCCTTTTCAATGTGATGATTTAAGCTCGAGTTATCAAACTCATCACGATGGTTTTCTGTTTTCTCCATGATCTTTTGTTGTTGTTATGTATATATAAAAAAAAAAGAAGAAATAAATAGAGAAAGATAATAAGTAAAAACGAAGTGATCCCCTAGCATCGGTATTTATACTTTTTTTTTTATTTTTTAACAATTTCTCACACATCCTATCAGATTACTCCGGAGAGACTTACCATAAATGTATAAAAAAAATCCCCTTGATTTTTTTACCAACAGTAATGAAATCTTGGAAATTACGGGTGCGTCTTTTTTAGAGTTTAGATTGTTTTTTTAAAAAAAGAGATTTCTGTAATCCTATTATGCATTAGAGTACATACAACACATGACCTCTTTTAAAAAGAGTGATTTTCATATCCATTCAATTCATACCCTTTTTGGCTTCTACTAGGGCCCATTAAAAACCCACATGCCAAAGTGAAAGAAGACTTACGGGGTAGGAGTTTTGAACGGAAACACAAAATGATGGTAATTTTTCTTTTTTTTTTTTTTTTTTTTTTATTTCCTCCCCGCATTTTTTTTTCTTTTTCTTCCCCCTCCCTTTTTCCCCGCGTTTTTCTTCTTTTAACTTTGTCTCACATTAATCGTGATGTTTGTCACTCAAATGATGTATTCCCTTTTTTTTTTTTTTTGACACGTTACATTTCCTATGTAATAGATACACAATCTCTCACAACAACAAAAGCACAATTATTATTTTAGGCAACATGAGTTTTTTTTTTTAATTCGTATTGAAAAAAGGAAAACCAGATCTGAGTGTAAATTAACTCTAAAGAAAAAAAAAAAAAGAGTGTCTGTTCCACCAATTCTTTTTTTTTATTATTTTTTTGAAATCATTATGTCACTGTCAATGACAAAATTGGATTTGGGAAAGAAACTGAAAAAAGTGGTATCATGACAATATCCCATACCCCAGATAGGATACAATCGATAGCGCAACGTAATTGCTCTTCCTTCCTTTTGTCAAATATGGATTGCATAAATATTATTAGGGGCAAACAATGCTAGTGCGTAGTCAACGGTCAACGGCGGGGTACCAGCCTCTCATTGGCTAATCCAGACACTGCCAAAAATCAAAGCGTTTCAGAGTGATCGGTCTCTTTCTTTTCTTTTTTTTATCCAAGTACTTTTTTATAAAAAGACTCGATATACAACTTATTTAAAAATGAGGCCATCCTTACGTGCCAATGTCCCCCCCTCTCCCAGCATGACATCATTTGTTGAACAACTTTTTTTTTTTAAAGGATTCAAAACCCAGCTTTATAAAATGTGGGGTTTTCTGGGATCTTTCAAAGTACGCAATAAAAAAAAAAAATGAAAAATATCCCCCTTAGCTCAAAACTATAAAATCTCCCATGGGAGCTAGTTAGCTTATCTAAACAATAACATGTGCTCATAAAAGTGTACGGGAAACATGACCCTGTCTGGGTGCGCGGGTGACCCCTTCTTTTTTTTTTTTTATGGGTGATGTAGGGCAGAGCTTAAAAATCTCTCTATTGTCATTTTATTAATTGCCCGAGAAACCCTGCCCTGGGGGTGGGGGGGGGGGAGAAGGGGGATATGGGAAACGTTTCCAATCATTCCCTTTTATTTATTTTTACCCGGTCGTTACGGCAAGCGGTATACCTATCACTTTTTTTTTTTTCATTTTGATGTACAAGTCATTGTTAAATGCTACTCGTTTGCAAGTAGGTTTGAATGCACTCACACTCAAAAGCGAAAATGGTCTTTTATTAAATAGCTACACACACATGCAACCGATTACACCTTAAGAGATCACATGAAGATGTTACTAAGAAGTCAAAGAAGTTGGCTGTCATACATGTCAAAATAAAATGTGCCTGACATATTGTAAATAGTGATTGAACTTGGGTCTTTGGGATACAATTCACAATTCTATTTACAATAAAAGATAGCTTATCTTTTTTTTAATTGATAGCATCATTATCTTTTTTCTAAATTGCCTCCAACCTCTTTCATGGTGATACATGACCAAAAAAAAAAGGTTATTTTTTTTTTTCATTGATGATAATGACGTTTAATTTGAGTCATCCGATTTGATTGTCATGTTTTGCTGTATTTAGTAAGGAAAGAAAAAAAGAGGACCAAAGTTTCATATTATCAAAGTTTGGGACCCCTTTTTATACCGAGTGTGCCCTCTCTTTTTTTGATTGATTGAGGGGGGGAAAAAATTGCCCGTCCCGTGCGGATGGGATGAAATAAAAAAAATTTATTTCCAAACGGAGAAAAATCAATTCTGTTTTGACGTTTTATCCCTAAAAAGATAAATTCTCCTTTACTTCCCAGCTCAGCGAAAAAAAAAAAGGGAAGGGGGAGGGGGGGGGGGGACCCGGATCTCTCTCTTTCTCATTATCCCAGCTACTGTACTAGATGCACTTCAACCGATAAAACCCCCCCGTATAAAAACTCCCAAGTCTGGATAAATTTTCTCTTTTTTTTTTTTTTTTCTTTACTTTCTGTTATTTATTTATGCACTTGACAATCTGACATGTTTCGCTAAAAACCAAATATTTAAAAGGAACGTGTTTTTAATAATAATAAGGAGTTGGTCAATCTATAAAAAAAAAAAAAAAAAAAAGAGAGAGAGAGAGAGAAAGGCTGTATTAAGGGCGTTATACTGTATTAAAAAAAGAGAGAAAGAGAGAGAGAGTAAAAAAAAAAAAAGGATAGAAATGGGTGTGCGTAATAATCAATGAGAGTAAAAGAAAGTCATAAAAAGATGGGTGAAAAAAAAAAAGGAGAAAGAGCTACGCTGTAGTGGTGGAACGATAAGGCCACCAATCACATCTTCCGTCCTGCGGCATTTCCTCAAACTCAAAAGGGGGGTAATTGGTCTGCTCTTCTTGTTCAAAACCCGTCTGTTGATATGAGAAATGGTCATTCATGGTAGTTGTGGAGGTTGAGGCGATCTCTGTTCTGCCCGAAGGGGAAACAACGTCAGGATAATCATCTGTCGTACTTCTCGACTCATAGTCAGAATAGACAAGGTTAGGTGTATTGTTGCCATTGTAGGGTTGCCTTGCATAAACTAAATCACGGTCAATTTCTTCATTCGATGCCCCTCCTACAAACGATCGTAGATTCGTGTGTTAAGGAACAATATATATATAATAGTCTCCCCGGGTGCATGTTAATATTTAGTAGCAGTAATAAAAAAAAAAGGATATCAATTGCATAGAGTCTCTCTGGTGGTACCCAGTCTTCATAATCACATTCTTGTTGTTCTGCTTGAGCTATATACACACTATTATTAAAATTATATATATGAGGTTGGATTCTGTCTCAGTTTTACATTGTTTATTCAGTGCGATCAATTCCCCTTTAAGTCTGTTTATTTTATGCTGTACTTCTTGTACTAGGTCTGAGCGAACTTTTCGTTTGGCAAACTAAAAAAAAAAAAAAAAAAAAAAGGGTGAGGAAAATAAGAATAAAAAAGTACTACGTAACACACTTACATAGAAGTCATCCCAAGCTTGTTTCTTTTGAGCTGCGAACCAATCATGAATGGATTTACGTTCGTATCTTCTCCAATTCTCTACCTTTTGTAAACGTTCGTTTTTTGATTGATCAAGTTGAGACATTAAACGGATATATTCTGGATGTTCAGATGCATCTATTTTAGTGGTCAATGATTCATTATTCTTTTCCATTTGCGGCCTAAAAAAAACATATAATATATTAAAAATAATAGGATGTGGGAAGTAGGGGGGGGGGAGGACCACCCAAATAAGAAAAAATAAAAAAAAGAGACATACTGTTGTTGATTTATAGGATCTACATCCTTTAAACTACGTTGTTTCTTTTTTATTGTGCCTGCTGAGGTTTTCACCTTGTTTAAATCCATTGTAGGTACAACTGTCTTCTTTACAGAAGAACGGCTACTGCGTGTAATTGATAAAGTCATTTTAATAATAATAATAATAATAAAAAAGAGAGAGAGAGAGAGAAAAAAGAAAAAAAAGAAAAAAAAAGAAAAAAAGAAAAAAGAAAAAAGAAAAAAAAAAGATTTTGTACCAAGACAAGAGAAAAAAAAGAGAGAGAGAGAGAGAGGGGGGACGAGTTAGCCACACACACACATAAACACACACACACACACACACACACACACAACAACATTCTAACTTAAAATGTCGGAACACAATTTTTTTTTTTTTGTCACAGGCCCTTTTCTTAAAACAGACCCCTTTTTCAAAAAAAAAAAAAACCAAAAAGTGTAATTAAAAAAAAAAAAAAAAGTTTTAAAACACCGATAAGGTCTTCTTAATGGATGGATGAATCCCCATTGATATTCAAACATAGAAAGGCATTTCATCTTTGGCTCCAGAAAAAAAAACTATTTTTTTTTATTTGCATTGACAATGATCTGCAATAATAATAATAATAATAAAAAAGACGGGGGGGGGGTTATTTTGCCCCGCAGCAGCAGCAGCAACAGCAGTAGTAAGTTTTGGGTGTGTCATCCTCTCTCAAATGATGTCTTTCTTTTTATAACTACATTATCGGATGAAGACTTATCCCATGACTAATTCATCACCCTTCTTTTTTTTCCTTCAGTAGTATCGGAAAATGGATCACATTTTGATAATTCCATCACATCAGCTGTCCCTCTTCCTCCTCCTTCCTCCCCCCCCCCGTCAAAATTTAATCAGGAAGTGAGTCTCAGCCGAAATTGTATTACTTGATACACACACACACACACACAATCTCATTTGTTTCATGCAATTGCCTATAAATTCTGTCATTGTTATCTTTTTTGTTTTCCTAAGAGGAGGGGAGGGGGACCTTTAAAAAAAAGACTCCGTTACAAAAAAAAAAAAAGTGCCTTTGCTTGTGCAACACTTTTAAACCCACAATGAAAATCCATGACAGGGTCCTTCTTTGGTTCATCTTGAGGTTAGATATAAAAAAAAAGGAGTACCCTCTCTCTCTTTTTTTTTTGTCTCTTGATTATTCCCATGTTGAACTGCTTTTAAAATAAAAAATGACACTATTCATCATCATGCTGGTGATGAAACCCTCGCTTCTTTTTTTGGTAGCATTTGATTACATTATAGACTCCTTCAAGGTAAATCAAAGCAAAACAGTAAACATGTGTACACTAAACAATGACGTGATCTGTAAATATACATGCGTTCATAATCTATATATTAAGTAGTGACTCTCAAAGATAAACCCCCACGGCTGTCTGAACTATCTATTACAATCCAACCGCCTTCTAGCAACTTCCTTTCTTCTCTACAAACAAAAAAAAAAGGGAGGTTTTTTGGGGTCAACTGTTTCTTTTCATTTATAAAAAAAAGAAGGAGGGTAGATACCCCTTCTTACATTTATCATTTGATTATTTATTTTATAGAATACTTGAGACTTATTAACTTTCAATCCTTTTAAAACATATAAAGACAGATAAAGTTCATCGACATTGCTATTACGTGGTGCCGCGCGGTGTGTGATTTTCGGTAAAAGATAAATATATATATACTAATGGGGGGCGCAATAAGCCACTAATGAGCTTTTTTTGCTTTAACCGCTAAAAAAAACCCTTCCTCCACCACCACCTTCACCAAAAATACACTGGCTTAACAGTTGAACGGAATTTATCACTCTCAACACATGAGTGTAATCCACCATAGAATAATCACTATGAATTCAGTATTCCACAAAAAAAAAAGGCCGCCCTCTTGTGTGACATAAAGCCCTTACCATGAACTTGAACGCAAAAAAAAAAAAACGTGTCAAGTGTTCAACTTTATATCATGGATAGGTGCTCCCAGCAACCATATTCTAATTTTTTTTTTTTTTTTTTTTTTTTTTTTTGGTAGTACTTGACAATCAGAATCACCATCCCCTTTGCTCTTCTTGTAAGTCTCTTTCTGATCCATCAACTTTTAAACAGGTATTTGAAATTGAAGAACGGCCAGAGCGTATGGAATTTGGTGTTTTTTTTTTCATGAGTTTTGTCACTTTGATTTGAAAACAGTTGTCGGAGAACTAGCTAACTAAAATTGGCAAAAAGATTACGCATATCTTCGTCCCTCTCTCTAATATAACATAATGATTAAATATTTAGGTTTAATTGGAGATAAAAGGCTCATCCAAAAGACCTAAAAATTAGATGACGTTTAATCTAACACGAGAATAAATGTAATCATTAGCCTCAAAAACCGGTTCAGAAGTTCCATGGTTGCTTTGGCTATCAAAAATCTGCAGCCTGTTCACTTCTTGATTTTCTTTTTTGAAGTGTCTTATTTTTATGAATTTATACCGCAGCATTCTAACTACAAACACCAATAAATCAAAAAAGAGATATTCTATATTGATAAAAAAAAAAGGAATCCCGATATCTTAAGCCGAAGCAAATGCTCTTTAAAATATAATAATGGACACTGTATGGCATCGATAATTCAACTTGGTACGAAGTAAGCCCTTGATGTTATTTACTTTTAAAACCAAAGTTTTGATTGACAACATAATGGATATTTGAAAGTTATATTTTTTTATTGCATGATTTAAAACTCAATAAAAGAATTTATCTTGTTTCCTGCAAGTCTAACTGGTTTCTCCTTTTTCAACTTATCATTCCTATTATTTGTATAAAAGGTCAATGAAATTCCAACCTTATTGTCCTATCCCTCTATTACTGTAATAATTACTATCGAGACCTACAAAACTGTGATTCATAAATCTGTTTCCAAACATGGTGTGAAATAATGGAATTTCAAGAAACATGAAGTCCCTTCTGGAAACTTAAATGGTAGACAAAGACAGCCAATCTCTATGTCTTTAGAGAATACTATGTATGCGATCGTTCAAGCTCCAAAAGAGAACATGCTGGTGTTGTCCGAGGTGGTGATTCTGACTGGGAACGCGGTTTGCATAAGAGAAGCAAGAAGATCAAATACCCAGTCACTCTGAAGGTAGTCCCCCAATGATTACTGCAAGCTCGTAGTGTATGTATTGGCGCTACTCATATTACTACCAGTTTTTCCCTCATGGAATCCTGTACACATTTGTCACGCGCCATATCTTAACCTGCACTGGTTGTCCGGTTGCTTTCCTTTTCCCAATCGATCGATCAATGGGTCCATTGGCCAACTTCTTAGGGCTCTTGAGGAATACTGTTGGGATCTTGAACATCGAAAAGATCACCCTTGTTGTCAGTAGTACCGAGTTGGGTACGATCCAATAAGTATATCCTTTGGCAAGTGTATAATGGTGTTTGTTTCATGTGGCAAGAGCTTGGACAGGGAAAATCCGACAATTAGTCAAGCCCGGCGATACCCACAACGACAACACCGTCCAGAACAAGTGTCATCGCGTATTATGTTCTGAACAGGCCGTAGTTTTAGTTACAGGTGAATCCTGTAAAAAACTGGGGCTTTATTTCAGCTTTTTATTTTTCTACAAAATTTACTGGACATAGATAGAAGGTATACAAAGCCTAAAAAAGGACTAGTACTTTCCGGAGGAAGTGCCAAAATCCATAAAAGACGATTTTGCAAGCAAGGAGGTTAAGAACAACTGACTAAATGTTTTTTTTTTTTAAAAAAAAAACGGCTTTTATTGTATAGATTTTAGTGTTCAAGTAAAAGAAAAGTTGTAGGCAATGAATTTGGTGAAAATAATAGTTCAAATTCTGGAACTGATATGAATGCTAGCGTAGTTGAGACAGACAAATACTAAAGTTAGTTAATTTTTTTCAAAAGATTGCAAATTCATTGTTCTAATATTTTTTAAGAAAAGGAGAACCACTTTTCTCGAAACGGTTTGATCAAAAATGGCATTTTATAATTTTCCTGTCAAACTAAACTACCTGGATAGTGGAAAAGTTTGTGGCTTTATTTCAGCTTTTTATTTTTCTACAAAATTTACTGGACATAGACGGTAAAAGAGGACTAGTACTTTCCGGAGGAAATACCAAAATCCATAAAAGACGATTTTGCAAGCAAGGAGGTTAAGAAAAATTTACTAAATGTTAATAATAAAAACTTTAATAATAAACGCGTGTCCCTATAAATCAAAAGCAAAGAGGTCTTAAAAATTCGGGTATATAATTAAATCGAAAGCGTCCGAAAGCATCTCCTTATAAACCCGAATAAAAAAAGAATGACGTCAGAGTTTTCCTTTGGCTTTTACATGCGAAATGACCTTACTTGGTAAAGATACAAAAGACCGAACAGTGTTGAAACCGCGGCTATAGAAACATTTCTAAGTTTCCTTGTAATTTGCATCGTCTTGAGCTAGCTGTAATACAAATTTCGCGTTAGTATGAACATAAACAGATGTGATAGAGAAAAAAGTTATATCACTTACCAATTAATCAGATAACACCCACTGGACACTGGGGGAACAGCTCCAATAGGCTATACATCATGAAGTAATGCTTTAAAATGATAAAATAAATTGTAAGACTGACTTTTTGCATAGAAAATATATAAAAATTATCATACCTGTGGCAGTGTAAGACACTGTTTGTAACGGAAACCAAATTCTAGACTGCCTTCTTCCTCCGATAGATAAATCTTGTATTGGTACCAACCCCGGCATCAGTAAAAACCTTTTGCCTCCATTAAAAAAAACCTTTCATGAGGAAAAAATTGGGCAGTACAAAAGGAAAAGATAACCAAAGGTCAGCACGATCAGCTTAAAAGTAAACAACCACATTTTGATATTTGAATAGATCCTTTGTCTACAAAATTAAATAAAATAGATTAAGTATCATTTATACTTGCTTATTTTTACGATACTTCCGTCTTTTTTTTTCCTTTCTTTTGGTGAACAAAGGAATAAAGAAAGAAAAAGTCGAAAAAGCCCTTTTATAAGTTAAAAAATAATAATACTGTTGTCATTTTCTTTATCTTCTTTACGAAACTTTTTCTATTCTGGTCAAATGTCAGGTATGCAACTTGTTATGACAATTCTACCATCACTCCTTCCCCTTTAAACTCTTTTCAACAAAAGTCGAAAAAACCCCTTTATAACTTGAAAAATAATAATACTGTTGTCAGTTTCTTTATCTTCTTTACGAAACTTTTTCTATTCTGGTCAAATGTCAGGTATGCAACTTCATAAAATACACAATCTACTTTTATTGACTTAAGTCTAAATCATATTCTCGATTGAATTATTCTTGAAGGCTCCCGATTTAAAAAGCAGAAACGTACTAATACCATGTCTACTGACACTTTGGATCCTCCTCCGCCTCCTCCACCTGGTGGTGAGACTGTCCCTACAAACGGAAATCCTCAACATGGTTATTTTAGTAGAAAATGTAAAATTTCTACATTATTGAGGAATAACTTTAGAAGTTACAAGGTATATATTGAGCTTGGGATTAATAGAAATTGTGTCTGGTTCTTATTTAATTAATCATATATGTGTAGCAACTCTTTCGTGAAATTGCTGAAAAGCATTCTCAAATCCGTAAGGACTCCTTTGATTTTGCGTTATTTTTGTGCTTGAATTATCTCACAAATGAGCAATTACGTATGCAAGAATCTACCATGAACAGCTCTGTAAGATTGAGAGAAATATCAACTGCTATGATTGTGTACAACTTACATCTGGGTAATCTTTCTAATGGACTTCGCGATCTTCTTGCCGTTTTTCCTACTGAAAATACTCAACAAATGGATGAAATTGCAAGACAAATCTTTATGAGAGAGGCTGCGTCACTTCAAAATCAAACTCTTCAGCTGGACAACATAAATTCCATTGTTAATGAAGTACTGGAAATTGATATCACCATTGACACAGCGAATACAAATCTTTTACAGATTATACTCATATTAAAGCAAGAATTAAATCGTATTGATGACGCTGTTGTACGCACCAGTACAACTGTAGGCACATTTGAGGGTGTCTACGAAATGTATCTCCCAAATCTGACGCAAAGATTAAATCTTTTGCTTCCACAATTTGAGCATGTTGCAAGACTTACCATCGATACAATAGTCGAACACAGAAATACAAGTCAATCGTTACACTCTTTGGAACGAAGATCAAATGAAGCGTTAACATTTGAACCCAACAACCAAGAGCTTTTACAGTCACGTACATTGCTTGAGCGCACAATAGGAGCGACGAATCGAATACACGAAGCCTACATCGCAGAAAATGCTGCAGTTATTCAAGAAGATAATGTCCAGGCTTGGCTAATAATGGATATGATGTCGCGTATGATTCAAACCTGTGCGGATATTACTAGATCATTTGATCGTCAATTCAAAAACGTACGCGAGCTTCTCAACAGAAGTCTTCAATTACTAACTTTCAGCACAAATGCTCCTCAGATTACATCGGAAACTTTTTGGTCTCATTTGTTCATAAGAGTTTGTCGAGATCCTCAAAACTTAAGCGCAAGGGTGGTAAGTACAACTCTTTGTAAAAATTGATAAGACTACATAGTTCAAGAAAATTCAAATTTTTTTTCATAGAACTACGAACAGTGCATTCTAGATAACGTCGAAAGATTTAACCAAATCCAACAGAGACAAGATGATGCAAATGAGAATCTAAACGAGCTTCCAGAACTAGATAATGTTCAATATGGCCTTTCAAGAACATTTACAGAAACCACTGTCCTAAGTAAGTATGTGTACCTAAACTTTGGAAAGCTAAGACTCATTACTTTCGAAAATGTAGATGTTGGGATGCATTTGCTGAATTTTAAATTGTGGATAATTCGTGTTTTTGCGGCCTTTCTAAATCATCATCAAGCTCGCGTTAACCAAAGAGTTGCAGTGAAGACGATAGGTAAGTAGTTTCTAATATTTATATAAAAAGTTTTATGTATTCTTGTTATTCATTAATGAACCTATACGTTATAGCTAAAATAGCCGCTACGGGAGTTGTCCAGCATCGGTCTTTTGATAATGTGAACATTACTACTATCATACCTGGATTTGAAGAACTGTACAATGCAATTTTGATAATTTACGAGGATGAATTCGCAGGGCAAAATTACGACGATATTAATGACTACAAAAAAGTCATACAGACGCCTTATTCATATTTAAGATTTAGCTTCCGTCTCTTGCAGAAGTGTCTCAGTGATGAGAATTGGATGCCCAAAACGTGGAGTCTTCTTCCTGCCGCGTCCGATTCTATCGTGCATACACGCTACACCGGCCCCCAGGTTATGTACGGACTATTTGAAGTCGCATTTGATAAAAATCAACAAAATGAAGACGAAGATGGAACAAATTATTTTATACCTCCTGCGTTGATTTTCAACGATCATCTTATTTTCAAGCATCAATTTATTGAATATTATCGTGATTTTCATTTCCGTGAAGGACTGTGGGAAAATATGTTCGATTTAAGTAAAGTTCAAAGACAAAGAGTCTTGGGGCATAGTGATTCTACTACACTTGAGGTGGACAATCCTGCCCAAACGAGGTTTGCTTTCAGTATAAATACGGATGGACATATGGTTTCCGTGCTTTTCGAAAAAATCAAAACAGACTGGGTTCCAACGGACAAACAAAGTGTCAATTTCCAAAAAAGAAACATGAACCTAGCAGGAAAAGACAAAGGCCTGTACCCGTTATCCAAAAATCCCACAGGTATCACAATGGAAGATCGCATCATTGGAATTGATCCAGGTATATCTGCAATGTAAAATGTCTATCCCGATATGGTAATATTTTAACGAATTTATATACGTGATTATTTTTATAGGTGTTCGTGATATCATATGTGCGGTTGATTGCGAAGAAGAGCTTTTACAAAATAAGCAGCTCATTAAACAACATTCATTCAAAATAAGCAACCTATCTTACAAGTAAGTATAGAGCATGAACTAAAGCATATGATTCATCCAGTGATGTTTTATTTTAATGACAACAGGGACCGCTCCGGCATGGAATGGCAAAGAAGATACGAACTTCGAAGCCGCGCAACCACAAACATTCAAGATAGTTATACAAGGCTTCAAACAAGAGATGTGTGCACCGTTGGAGGATTTGAAACGTATTTTAATTCTCGGTCTCTTGAAAACCAAAGGTAAAACAAATACAGTCATAAATCAATACCTTGATCACTGATTGTGTAACTGCAAAAATAGAATTCATGAATTCATGAAGTCGTACAGGCATCGAGAAATAAAGGGGTATATGTTTTCAAACCGTCAAATGGCTAACAGTCATGCTGCTTCAGTGGTTCTGGGGTACACAAACGTGAATGAACCATACAAGCTTTCCATGGATTCTAGTTCTCGCTCTAGAAAGAAGAAGAGAAGAATATTTAAAGGAACAAATGAACAACATTTGCGGGACCGAAATAACCCATACGATCAGCACCGAACCGTTGTAGCGTATGGTGACGCTTCCCTAAGTGGGACCTTTAAGAATCATACCCCTATACCAGTAAAGGTGTGTATAATGATGTCTATTTTGATATAATTGGGGGGAGAGGAGGGGTCTGTATACTCATTAAATATTAATACTTTCATAGAAAATTCAAAGAGCAATCGCGCAAAGAGCTCTTGTTATACCAGTTGATGAGTACAATACATCCCAGAAATGCTGTCACTGTCTTCAACAAACAAGAAATATAAATTATTCTGAAATTTCGTACATGCAACAACCAAGACTTGAATGCAAACATAGGTACCTGTAACATCATGCAAGGCAATAATATATAATAACTAAACATGCGTGATGCTCTCACGTTATTTAGAAAAATCAATTACAAGTACCGTGATGAAAGAAGAAAGCATCTCAAATGTGTTGACGATGAAGACAACATTTTATGGAACACCACGGATTGTTATGAACGAGAAGAAAGTAGGAAATCTTGCGCTTATTGCATGGTGACTGATACTGAAAATTTGTTTATATTTATTATAGGAGCCTTCCAAAATGTTTACCCTCTGAAATTGTGTCAAAATTGCCAACGAGAAGGGTCGCCCTGTGTAAGTCTTTTTGTTCAAATTTTTATCCGCAACGACATTCGATTAATACGTTTCCTACAGATATGGAACAGAGACATAAATGCTTCCTGCAATATCAGAACGGTATTGACGAGATACATAAGATCAGATTTTGATTTAAATTCCAGGCAGCCACAGTTGACAAGAACAAGACAAGATGACCAATAAATTATAATTACGTAGGCACTATTCCTTGTACATACACATATACTTATATACTCGAATCAAATATATTTCTGAATAAATACGTACTATATAGCATTTATTATCCAATAATAATGCAACCGTTGTATCGACATAAGGTATAGCATCTGGTGACGGTAGAAGAAGATCATTAGTATGTATAAATCTGACATGTGCTCCAATAAGAAAATCTTGTTTACAATACGTATAAATACTTTTATCCATCTATAATATGTACATATCAATGAACTACATATGGATTATATTAATAAAAAAAAGACAACATTTCAACATGTTTGTGGTATTTAGCCATATTTACCGTAGTCGAATTAGGTTACACGGTCATAATCCACAATAAGTCCTCATTATTTAGGGACTAAGGCTCAACCAAAAGACCTAAAAATTAGATGGCGTTTGTTCTAACGCGAGAATAAATGTAGTCATCAGCTTCAAAAATCGGTTTAGAAGCTCCATGGTTGCTTTCCCCATCAAAAATCTGTAGCCTGTTCCCCTCTTGTTTTTTTATTTTTGAAGTGTCTTATTTTCATGGATATATAAAGAGATATTCTATATTGAAAAAAAAAGGAACCCGATATCTTAAGCCAAAGTAAATACTCTTGAAATGTAGTAAAGAACACTGTATTGCATCGAAACTGCGAGAACTGATTCTGCTGGTAGAAGTGGTTATGTTATTTATTCTTTCTCAACTTCTTGTGTAAGTTATGATGTTGTGGTGGACGATCTACAAATGATCACTTGCAGCTGCCCTGACTTCCGCCTTAACAATATCGCATGCAAACACATGTATTTGTTGAAGTGTGATATGTCTTGGTTGTCTGTATTTGAAGGTAAAGATAAATATTATTGAATTCTTTACGGCTTCATTTCTTTACCAACCTTAAATTAAATAGTTTCTTTCAATCTCACTTTCTCAACCATTCCCCAAAGCTCGCCTGATAGCTCAGCTCTTCTTACTCCAACTGAACAAGCTCCTCTCACCGCTCCAAGCAATTCTTCAATAGATTTTGACACTCTACTTTCTAACATTCATAAACTTAAACGCCAGCAATATACTTTGACCGAAACTGAGCTCGAAGAATTAACGGCTTTAATCACTGGTTTCTCTCTCGTATAAATTCTACAAACATTCCTTCCAATTCTAATTTTACTATACAAAGATAACAAAAAAAAAAGTTAATAATAAACGCTCTGTCTAAAAATCAAAAGTAAAGCAGTCCTATACTTTTAAAAACCGCTCAAAAATTCGGGTATATAAGTAAATCGGAATCGAAAGTGTACGTCACCAATTAGATTTTAGAATGTGTTTTTGGAGCGTGCGCAAAATTTACGTCATAAATACCTGGTGAAAAATTCGTTTTTTCTCACCACTCTTCATCGCCATGGACCAAACACAATTACACGGAGAGTAACATCTTCGCGACCGGCCGGCCTTACGGGTTTGGGAATTGGTATATCGTATGTGCTTGTCTTTTTTGTGTAAAGATCTCCGTGGGCTTGGGGGAATCCTAATTCTCGACGCAACTACAAGTCCAAAGGATATAGAGTTGACTCCTGTTAAAAAGCTGGCCTCTGGCTAAGCCGCTTAACATTAGAGGTGTTCATCGAGATCTACATGGCGATGCGGAAGAAGGGCAAACAATGAAGACATTACCACGCGGGGACTAACCTTCTCGTGACCGATAGGCTTAATGGGTTTAGGACTTAGGATATCATTTTGACTTATCTTGGTGATGAACGTCTCCGTGGGCTTGGGGGAGTCCCAATTCTCGACGCAACTTGCATGGAAATAAAAGAGTTGACTTTTCTGAAGCAGCTTAGTTTTGGCTGTGCTGCCTCATTAAAGGCGTTCGCGGAGCTCGGGTTGCTTTACTGTTCTGCTTCTTATTATATAAGTATTATTAACTCAATTCAGTGTAAGGGCTTTATATGTAATCAAATTAATAGGCCATCGTACTAACTTTTTCAAATAAAATCATTCGTGAGTATGCTCTCACAGAGCGGCTACCCATTTTAGTCAGTACCATAGATCTGTCGCAGTTACGCACGAACTTACTATAGAAGCTGTTCGCAGGGTCCCGAGCTGCTTCACTGTTCTTTTGATGTCAACCCCTACCAAGAGTGAAATTCTACATACAACGTAAATGAGTAAATGTTATATTGACGTTTTGGAAATTCTTGTATGAAGTTTGAAAAATATAGCATAATTTAACTCGCTTATGCTTAGTTATCCGAAGAACGTACGGGTCACCCAAGTGCACTATCTTTTTGTGGTTGAAATGCGTTTTTGGCTTGTCATCTTGAGCGATGCCTCTATAGTGGCGCCTTTGGGATTACAAAAATTGCGTTTTGGTTTTTTTACAAGGTACCTTGAACTTGTTAGCGGCATAACCAATTTTGGGAAGCTCTACCACAGGCGAAGAGGCAAGTTCTGTCATCCGACCTTTTATTTTAACTTTTTTTGGAGCAAGAGATTCGGTAGGCCTAATTCCAATTGAGTTGCCGAATGTTCTGGGTATTGATCTGTTCAAAATTCAAGTAACTCCCATAACCTGTGGCTCATAATACAGCTGGTACCTCCTACACAAAGTCCAGCGATAAAAGTGCTTTTAGCCGCTTAACTGAATCTGTTGAGCACAAGCTGGATTACCCCTCAAATGCAATCACTATTAACGCAACTAAAAGTCCAGAATCATCGTCGCAGCTGCCACCACAGTTAGAAAAACCAGAGTCATCAACAAATAAGGATGTCGAGATGAACTATTAATAAACAATAATGGTTCTCATTTTGTCGATAATCAAAAAAAAAATAAAAAAAAAATCTATTTATCAGTGTATGTAATTGAAGTTAACCGATAAACATTTAAGTCCTTCCACCTTCTAAAGTAGCCTGATAATCGATTGTCTTTTTTTTTATTTTTTTATTTGTTCGTTAGTTTGTTAATCACAAAAGCCTTTTTCTGTCTACGAGAGTGTTGTTATCCTTAATAACATCAGCTTGTTTGTTAAATATTCAGGCTATTACCGAATGTGATAAGGAACACTACGACCAAGAAAAATGCAACAAATTTAATAGGCTGTAAATTTAGTGCAATGGGTTGATGTAAATGCTATTTAAAAAAAACGTAGAGGAGAGAAATAAATTTAATTTATTTAAAAAAAAGTTCAATGAAACAATAGTAGATATATTAAAAAAACTACCAGGAAGAGAAAAACAGTCGTCTAATTGAATGACGAAGTCCTGGTGTCCTTCTGGCAAAGGCGTTTTCGTTGTCTATAAACTGGGTCCATAATTTGCAGCATTTAAATTTTTTTTGCATACAGTAAGCTTCATCGTCCGGTAGGGGTATTGTTGTTGCCTCTTTGTAAGCCTGGCTGTGTTGCAAAAGGTCTAAAAGATCTTGATGAGACCAAGTGTGATAACAACCTGTACACATCAAACTTTTAATACAATACATGTAAAAAAAAATCATTACTTGTCTAGGCTTAATAGACTGCTCTAATTTGAAATAGAAACTTGACTTATCCACACGTAGCTTGTTTTCATACACACAGTTCCATTTACTAACGCCCCGGTTTAAGTCGTCAAAATTGAGTGTCTTTTCGGTTACATAAAAGTCGCCAGAACAGTCAGTGTCGAAATTGTCGAGGCATGCGAAAAACACAAATGTTTTTCTGGTGAATTTTTTGAGGTATTTTTCATAGATGCTTTCCTTTTTGCTGTTATGTAAAGTGTCGATAATATTACAAAAATCCGATACTGATCCTTTAACGTCTTTTTCTTGTTCAGGTCTGTCCAATTTATAGACGCGATAGATAACTCTGGGTGTGTTATCACCTTTAATAACGTACTCTGAGTTTACTGCGCTTTCCTCGTAGTTAATGTGTTCTTTTCGAAATTTCCATCCCACCCTTAGGAACTCTTTTACATTTAAGAATGCGCCAATGTTTACTTCATCAACAACCCTGCCTTCGTGTTTTTTGACTCCTGAATATACTACGGTATGATCGGGATGGAGATCAACGTCTTTGCAAAATTGGTAGATAATCAAAAAAATTATGATCTCTCAAGGGGTTGATTTTCTGGCTTATGCATCATTGGTTGAACTTAAAGATTGCTGCTGTATCAATGATTTCAAAGCTAAATGGGCCGAAACAATCGGGCTATGATGCCTACATAACATATGAGTGATCAGTTTAGACCGAGGCTATTGTATTTTTATGCCATGATTTGTTCTTAATTTTCTTCAAATTGGGCAAAGTGCTTGATTATTTGGTTTGAACTGTAATTTTTTCTCTTTGACACTTCGAGTTAAAAATACTTTTAACTTCGCTTGAAACTACCTCTCTTATGATACACTTTTACCAGCTCATGGGAGTGATGGTGAAGTTTTAAATTTCATATACATAGAAAATTGGCTTGTTTCTGTTTTTTGAAACACAAGAATTGGAAATTAATAGTTCTTACAAAATTAATATGTTCACAATATCTAATTTATCAAATTGTACTACAATAAGGAATAGAATATCTTCATTCAACCCATATATGGCAAACGATACTCTGTTCTTTATTGGAAGACATACGACGTTATAGCTTAAAACATAGATACACGGATAAAAAAGAGCAGGAATTAATGAAAGAGGTTCGAAAAGGTATTTTTTTCAAAACCTTTAAACAAAAATAGACGTAGAAAATAAAAGTAGGTACAAAAGTACGTAGGTGACAAGAATATACTTTTTTTTTACTTTCAACATAATGGCTAAAGATAAGGTTATCAAGAAGTCTGGTAAGTGTTTAATCAATTTAAATGAGGGGAAGAAGGCTGACGTGTGATTTTGTTTAAAAAATCATGTGATTTAAAAAAGTACGTAATAAAAAATAAAAAAGACGTAGGCGTAGACATTGCTTTTTATCAGCTATGTACACGTTTTAAATGACAATACCAACGCACTTGCAAGATTATAAAATTCCGCACGTCGCTAATGGATCCAGAAAGTTTTTTAATGAGTATCCTATCAAGGACTGGAGTTTTGACAATTATTATCGATCAACGCACCAAAGCTTGAATAAGGATAAAAAGTTTGCCACAATAAAATGTAGTTTTAAGAACGATCTCGATTGGATTATGCAATCAAAGAATATACCAAGTGAGGTAGTCAATCACGCGAAATCTTTATCACTTGAACCCACTGTAAGTATTGGTATTTAAGCACAAGGTAGTAAAAAGTGGTCTCTCACTTCTTATATATCACAGCCAAGTAGTTCAGAAATGAAGGTGAAGTTGTCGAAGGAGGCAAATAAAAGAAGGAAAGCTTCATATACCCAAAAGATTATAATTAAAGGCAGTGGTAGCATCAGCGTAGGAAACATAACTAATGGGGAGCTCAATAATGTGGAGGTTAGTTATAATATATACTTCAGATAAAAAAAAAAAACTGAATGATAGAGGCTTTTATTATATGGATTTTAGTGCCCAAGTAAAAGAAAAGGTGTAAGCAATGAACTTGATGAAAATGATAGTATCAATTCGGGAACTGCTATGAATGCTGGTATGAATACTGGTGTAGTTGAGCCAGACAATGTTGAACAAAATCCAAAAGTAAGTGAATTTTTTCAAAAGTATGCAAATTCATGCTCTAATATTTTTCAAAAAGGATAATTCAAGTTTATGGAAAAAATGGATGAAGTTTTTGGAAAAAGAAAAACATAACTTTCATCCATACAGGTAATATCTAATATATTTCTATCTAAAAAGTATCCTGTGACAAATGTCCTTATCAACTCTTAGTCCCGCTGCACATAATATCATTCGTTGTGGTAAAGGCATTTCATCTCGTCCTTTTCTTGATGAAAGTCTATATAATGATCACCTTAACACCCATCTGATTAATGAATTTCCCATTCCGTCCAAATGCACTGACTACATTGATCAAGTGATTGATAGCGTAAAATCAAAAATTTTAAACATACTAGATTAAAATACAATCTGACACTAATAGTATTTACAGGTTGATATAAATTTATTTAAGAAATCATTGAACACCTTGCCGGAGAGCAGCGAAGATTGTGAATTTTTGCAAGAAATGTTTCGTGGATGGTAAGAATAACAATATATACTGATAAATTTTTTAGTCTGGTTAAATTAATTTACAATTTCATTTTTTCAGTTTAAGGTTTTATACAGCAGTTCAAGATATTTACGATGGAGAAGCTACATTCAAATCTCTTTTTATATACCCATTTCTTGAAGCAGTCGCTAATGGAGTAACAGTGAATCACTGCGGTGCGGAGCTTAAAGTAGGTGAACCTGTCTTGAAATCGATGAGCAAGCAGTTGAAGGAGTTGGACTTACTAGTGGATGATAAGAGCCAATATAAGGCAGATGGGATTATCAAGCTCTTTAAAATGAAAGAGATCGAAGTATTGTTTTTAGAAGTATCTGGCTCCTTTGGAAATAAAGAGAAAGTCAAAATCAACTTTGACCATCACAAGGGAACGTTTGGCTCGTTGGCCATCTTAAAGACCATTGCCGATGAATTTCGTTTTGCTTCAGTTGATACTTTCAAGACGTTGAAAATATTTTTTTTACATGCTGCAGGTATTTATACAAGCTTATCTTGAATATATATTAGTAGATAATACTTATACTGCGAATTCTAACATTCACATCCCGTAGGTACAAAGTTGCATTTGTGGAGTGTTTCCTTTTGCGAGGAAGGGTTCTTCGAATTATGGCGAGAAGAGTTCCTGGACATTAGTCCATTGTTTGAGGATCGTCTTGAGTTTCTTCCCCGCAGTATCCAGTTTTTTTGGAATATGAGGGTAATTATAGTCATAGAAATGTCAAATACGATAAAAAAACTAATCATTATGTCATTATAATATAGGCGTTGTTAAAGGAGACTGTAAGTACAATTGCAGTTCTTAAAGAAGAGCACCTGCAGGAGATGCCAAAATGGCGCTACACTTATTGCCCCTTCCCCACACTGAGTAAGCTTGTGAATCCTTTGATTCTAAAACTGGTACATGAGGAGGACAGTACTGGCATGGCAGAAATGGGACCATTCTATACCCCCTCCCCAAGTTAGTGTAACACCATGATTTTTTTTTTATATGTACAAATAAAAAAATAACAAATACGTCGAGAATTACTTTTGTGAAAGTATAGTGATGAACTAATTTATCATGGATAATATTACAAATCAGATTGTGAAGTTAATTGTTAGCAGTGGGAATGGATTCGCATATATCTTCCAGTATACTCTCCTCAGCTTACTTCAATTGAACAGTGTTCTCTCTGTGACCAGAAGTAAGATCAAAAAAGAATAAAGCTATTCCAACTACAAGGACAACTGATGTTTTAAACTAAATGGCGACAGAACCATTAAATGTCTTCCAAATAGACATTATTACAAAGATGAAAACATGCTCAAACCAAGAGCCTTTATGAAAGATTGTAGAGCTGTGCAATAAGATATCCATGTTTTATGCAATCTTTATTTTTTTTAAAAAAAAAAAATTGGCAAAGTTTGTCATAGACATTTGTCGTTTAAAAATTAAAAGAAATACCTGCATATTAGAACGGTTCTTTATTATAGCACTTAATGATTTGGCGTATAGAGTAACTACAACAGCTATAAAGATCACCGATGAGAACATCATTACAGGCATAGCCAATCTTGCTAGATAAAGTTTCGTCAGCCAATCATGTGTACTTTTCAGCATGCATTGACTGACAGTTGCCACTGGTGACCAAAGCTTAGTTTTTTTCTATAGGTCTCTTAGCATGTAAGTGTGCCTCTTTAAATATTCCCACTTATTTGTAGATCATGTCGGTTGTAACTGATTTTAAGAATTTTAAGAAATAAATAGGTCATCAGGGACTTCAAATTAACATTCACTATTTTTGGTAAATGAAATCCACCTAATAGGTGTATCGTCATGGGATTATCTACCTCGTGTGGAATTGCGAAATATATTCCATCTTGAGAATTGACTGCAGTTCTATAACACAGCTGAGTGACAGTATCATCCATCCCCCAAAGCTCCAGTCGGCAATGACAAAGTTTTAACTCTTGGACGAAAACGAGTTGTTTTTTTTAGGAAAACAAAAAAGGCGCAATGACGCATCAATGCGTAATACATGTAGATATTTTTATTCAAATAATCTTTTGGAGGGGGAAGGGGGGGGGGGGGGTTAGATGCGCATCTTTCTGTCTGCACAGATTGTTATTAAAACAAAAAGTGCAATGATTAATAAATTATTATGGTATATTTTTGAGGAAGAGCGCACAAAAAAAAAAAGAGCTCTTCCCTATTAAGTTTTTTTTTTTTTTTTTTTTTTTTTTATGCGGCAGAAGTCCCTTTTTCAGCAGTACGTCCATCAACAATTTCATCCGCGTCTTTGTTGACAATAATTTCTTCGTCGATCTTTGTCGATTTCTCTCTATCTCCGGGTCTAACAATAAACCTTCCTTTGGGCCCTGTGTAGATATAAACATATGGACAACATGCGAGCAAAAAGCAACCAACAATAACACACATTTTGAAAAACCCAACAGCGGAAAACAGATAACCGCCGGCAAGCGGACCTACAAGACCTCCAAGTGCAAATGCTAACGAGAAAAAAAAAAAAGGGTTTAAAATGAGATTTTCGTTCTGTTACGTGCATAAGTTGGGTAGGACCTTACCGATGTTAAATAACGAGTAGCTCATACCTTGACCGGAGTCACCACCATCCGGATTTTGCTCTTGTACCACATATGCCATCTCGGAGAGAACGGGTACGACAAACGAAAAAGCGGTGAAGCCTTGGATAGCAAAAATGACAATCAAAGGAACAATTCCTCCCGCTGTATCACGGCCTGGAATACCAATCAAAAACATGGTGATGGCACATCCTAACAGATTGGTAAAACAAACAACCTTGGGCCCAAACTTGTCTGAAAGAATACCCGAGACAGGTGTGGCCACAAAGGTGGGGATCACTTGAGCCAGAAAAACAAGACCGATTTGACTAGCATTGTAACCCCACTCTGTTGATAACCTGACAGTCAGCGTGGGTTCAAAAACATTGTAAACACATCCATTCGAGAAAGATAAAAGCATGCCTGAAATCAATCGAGGTTGGCGTAATAATTGTAGGTACGTCACTTCATGTTTTGGCTTTTCCTCGACAAAGGCGTCGTCAACAAGCGTAGAAGGGGCTGCGGTAGGGGTTGCATCATCTAAAAACCATTCTGCGGGTTTGTTTCTACGCTCTACCAAAAATATTCTAAGTATCAAATCGATGCCTGCTAAGACGATGCACAATATAAATGGTGCCTTATAGCCAGCATGCTGGTATAGAGCTACATGTAAAAAAAAAAAAAATTAATTATACTTCTTTTGATTTGAGTCCATCAATATAAAGACGTTACCACCTACAAATATAGAATAAAAATGTGAGTAATTTGTGACATTTTCTTTTAAGTTGGGTTGAACGTACCACCAACTGGACTTCCGATCACAAGTCCGACTGAATGAAAAACTAAGACTCTTCCCATCTATTATAAAATATTAATGATTTGTGTATCTTTTTTTTTTATATGGAAAAAGTTTTTCAGAAAGTACGACATGCCTGTGTTCCTAATTCTTCTATCGGAAAAGAATCTGCTACTAAACACATCCCAAGCGTCCAAACACAAGCATCTGAGAATCCCTGTAAAAACCGCGCCAACAGCAGTTCCCAATATTTTGTTGCAAATAAAAATAATAAAGTAGCACCCAATAAACCAGCAATGCCTGCTACCATCGGTAATTGTCTGTTATTCATTCTATCGGCTTTAAATGATTCGTTAATATATATTTTAAAAAAAAAACCTTGATCGAATTTTCTTTTTCAGAAATATAAAAATTACCGGCATATCCAAGCAATGGCGATCCTACCAGTAGACCAGCAGCAAAAAGTGCAAGCAACACACCCGTATCTTGTGAAACGGCTTCACTATTTGAAATCTCATTATGATAAGGGTCCGCAACAGTATCGGGTGATCGACCATTATGAATCGCATCAATTGCAAAAGGCACTACCAAAAGAAGAAGAAAAAATAATTAAGATCGTCACATAAATCGAGTATAAAATATAAACAAAACAATTACTGATTGGGACAATAATGCTATATACAAGCATCTATAAAAAAAAAAAGTCAGATCTAATAGTACAATGCCATAGTGGTCCATTTATAATTACATCGGTGAATAGTGATGTGCATACTGTCAGTAAAACGTAAAGATTGCAAGATCGAAATTTAAGCAAAAAAGGTTTTTTCTGCACCATCCTTTTTTTATTATTGTTTTTGAAAGCGCACACAAACAATAAACAAATTTGAGAGTAAACACATTTTATAGTTCAGAAAAAAAAAAAAAAAAAGTGACTTCGAATGGCAATTTGTAATCATCCAATCATCTCGCTAATGAGTAAGCGGAGCTCTTTTACAATGCTCTCCATCATTACATTGCCATGAAAGGTAGAGGCAAAACGGAGAGCACACAACGTTATCCAGATTCAGTCCAAACTAGACCATCATACATACATCGTGTTTTCAAAGATCAGAAAGCAACTTGACTGAAAAGAGTTGTCGTAAACACGGTAGTATTTGTTTTAAAATAGTCATGAAAACCTATATCTGTCAAATTCATATCAGGTACGCATTCGTCATGTTACTTAATAGCTAAGCTTTCATTTAACATAATAGCCGCGGTATATACTAGCATATTTTTGAAACAGTACGCTAGCAATTGTAATGACGGTTATTCCCCTTCTCTACCATGCGTTTGTATCAATCAATTTTTGCATAACTTCGATAACGCGTGTTGATACGCGAGAATGTAACTATTATGTTTTAGTTATTCTTTTCAACAACTATACTTTTTTGAGCTGACTATGCTTTTAAAACATTTAATGTCGCTCTCATTGTTCATTGGAATATTGCGTGCCTTTTACTATCTATCGATAAATGTCACGTAGACCGGACTTAGATGTCTCCAAGTATGAACAAATTATTCATATATGTACGATTGTCAGTTAGATAATTTTATCTATTATTAGCAATATTCTAAAAAATTTCCCCGGAATAGACAAAGTTTATTACTATTTGGGCAATTATTACTTTTAATTTTGTTCACTGAATCTGATAACATACTTAGGCTAGCAGTTTGCATCCAAAAGATTTATATAGACCGCCTTTTGAATCGAGTTTAAAAAAATTAATTTATTTAGTTAGTTTCCGAAGTTAATGTCAATATGTGTCATATTTGTCGATATACGTTTCCGTTTCGCGTTGTGCAAGTTCCGTCGAAGGATCAATAAAAATTTATGACCATTATCATATGAAGATTACTATTGATTATGTTTATTTTTAATTGAACAAGAAATGCTTGAAACCATTTCCAAGTTACACAATAACTTATATCTACGTGATTTCTATGTCGCCATGGGGGGTGTTCAGGTCCTTTAACTATTGTACACATCAAACGTTTTGTGGTTACTAGGTGGGCTAAAGCCCATTCATATATATTCGTCTTTCATTCGCCGTAAGGGCTATTAATTTTTTATGGGGGTATCGTTCATCCTACTACAACCGACTTTCTCTTACTTTGGCATTCGGAACCGGCATCACTGTTGTATTTGAGGACATATCCGAACTTGTTATGTTTAATCCTCCGTTATAATGCGAGAGAGAGCTTAAAGCTTAGTAAAATTATAACTGGACTGACGACATCCATCTTGATACATTTCAATGGTCTCATATTAAGGAAATACCGAAAAGATGTTTTACACAAGCTACTTCTTCAAAGAGAGGGCATGTATTTAAGCTCGAAAATGGTTGAGTGTTGTCTAATGGAGATGATTCCTACCTCTTCTCAATCAATTTAACATCTGATTTTATACACTACCAAATTTTATTAGATATAAATATACCGACTCAAATAGCATCCTGAAAAACATACATGACTAAAGGAAAAAGTTATCGGCATTGTTCTTTGTACACCAAAAGGGGGGGGGGAAAGTGACAGCTTGTGAGGAGAAAAAATCAATTCGAGTTCCGACGCCACCAATTGCCAGAGAGTTTCAAGCAGTACACCCAGGTTTGTTGTCCCTGGCTTCTCTACATTAAAAAAAAAAAGAAATGTCATCCTTCAAATTGTTAGTGCGCCCTGTTTCCAAGTGGATCGTACCTCGCCGATCTATTCATTCCAGTGCCATTGTTCGTGCCACTGCCGAACCAGAAACCGAAGCTGCTACTGCACGTAAATATCCCCAGTATGATTCTACACTTCAACCAGAAAACATTAACCTTTTTTAATAGGTGCCGAACGTACCATGACTCGTTTCTGGAAACGTGCTGGTGTCAGAGAGGAAAAAGGTACGTTGTAGAAAATTTAGAGACGAACGTTTTTAAAACAGTAACTGATCTTTCCATGTCATTATAGACAGCATTACCGTTGTTCTTGACAAACGTAATTTGCGTACACCCAGTAAGAATGTTGTACAATTCCCTGTCAAACAAAGAGAATTAGCATTGTTGACAGCTGCTGAATGGGATGCCCAAACCAAGAACTTGAAGGCACACACTTTACCTTTGGTAAGCATAAAAAACAAACAGCATATATATATATATATAAAGAAAGAACAGTTTTCCATTAACAAAGGATAAGAACAGACGTCCATTGTTGCTCGTGCCATTGATGCCTTTGATCCTGCCCATGCTGAAGATTTAACAGTACGTGGAGCGGTTATTGACAAATTGATGGTGTACTTTGACACCGATGCCATTTGTTACCATGAGGAATTTCCCGAGATCTTGACAGAACTTCAAGACAAATATTGGAAACCCATTCTCGATTGGACACGCAACGAATTTGACGTTCAAATCAATACCACGACCGATATTTTCGCCATCACCCAACCTGACGAGACTAAGGCCAAGTTCAGAGCCATCATCGATCAAATGGGTCCCTTGGAATTATCCGCTTTTGAAAAAGCTGTCTTGAGTTCCAAGAGTTTCTTGATTGGTTTTGCTCTTGTGCATCAAGGTATCTCCGTTGAACATGCTGCTTGTGCTGCTCAAGTCGAAATGAATGCTCAAATGGATCGTTGGGGAGAAGTTGAAGACAGTAAGTTTTATATTTATTGATTTTATTTCGGTAATACTTATATAAACCTTTTACTCAGGTCATGATGTTGAACGTGAATATATCAGACAAACACTTGGCTCTGTGGCCATTGCTTTGATGGATAAACATCAAGGTTAAAAAAAACAGTTGTATCATAATAATAAAAAAAAAAGAATATTTAAAAGAGTGAAGGTGGACTATTTGCACATAAAAGTCCCATGATATCAGACATGGTCACAACACCAATGACTTTCTTAGCATCCGCCGACTGTAAGATCCAAACACGATGGGTATCTTCCTTCATCATGACATCAATGATTTGCTTTAAAGTCGTGTCAGGAGTAGCAGTAGCAGGGATGATATGGTTGGTGGTGATCTACTCCCCCGTAATTTGTTTTAGTTTTTATTTCCCTTTAAAAAAAAATAGATGCTTTTTATTTACCTTTATGTAGTCTTTGCATGGTAAAGTCAGTTGACCGATATTTTCTAAATTGGCACTAGGTAAATCCTCAACGCTAAGATCACCTTCATAGTTACCAGCACTGAATGAAAAAAGAAATTAAAATCACATGCCATCCCCTATAATTTATTTACTTAACTCGTTGATGACGGGTACACCACTCAAGTTCTTTTCGGCCATGAGACGATATACTTGAAGGGCACTCTCTGTATCAGGTACTGTGACTAACTTTTGTTTGGAAATCAGGTCCAAGTCTTGTAAGGGCTTATCCAAATCAAGTAAGCCGGACACAGAATCGGGGTGGTTTACGATATGTCGAATGATATCTGTCTGAGACAAAAGCCAAGGATTCTTGGTTTGGTTGCTATAGTTAACTACAAGCGAACGATGCTTACCCGACGCAAACGCACGTAGTGTCTTTTCTTTCATTCTTTTAGCATATTATGTAAAACAATGACGCGTACATATCACACACTATACCTCCAGTAACTTGTCTTTGCGGTCCATTTTATGCATACGATAACTTTCTCGCTCGCTATCCAGTCCCAAGACGCGCTCAACAGGATCTTGTAATTTCAATTTCTCCTTCTCAATAAAATGACCATCGATTTCCCCTACCAGGTACAACAAGATATCAAACAAGTTGACAATACTTACCACTTCCGTGCTATTGTGAGAGAACACGGGAAGTGACGTGATCTTGTGTGTCAACATCGTATTTAAGGCAGTCTGGATAGAAACAGTAGGGCTGACCGCGATTAATGCAGGCTTCGTCTCCGCAAGACTAAGGTCAATAGGTCGTAATTCGGTAATAAGAGTCATATTTGTTTTTTATGAGTTATGAAAAGAAAGTGTGTGAAAAAAAAAAAAAAAAAAGAAAAACTAAAAATAGTGTGCCTTTTAAAATAAAGAAGCAGTCCTGTTTTATGCAAAAAGAGCTCCCCAGACAAAAATGGCCTGATGTTTATACCAAAAGGAGATGAAACTGCATTCGAAATTATAAGGCGTGTTTGAAGGAGAAAAAACTCTAGAGTACAAAAAATAAAAGGATGATTCCTATTTGTTTAAAGAGGATGTCCCAAGAAATGAAAAATGTGTCGCACTACATATCATGAAAGGGTGTGTCACACGACTCCCGGAAATAAATACATGGCATGTCATATTCATGCATTGCTTCGTTTTTAATTTCATACGATACCTTGAGTCTCATCCAAAATAGATGGTCCCCGTTCCAAAAGGAGATCACTCAGCAATGCTGGATTATGAGCAAGAACAAAGTTGTATTTCCTTGTGCCTCTGTATCTCGTGGCAGTTTTCTGTTCAAAACCCGTATAACATAAGCAAACGTTTTAAGCAATACCAAGGAAAGAAATCAAAATATATTTCTATTCAAGTGCTTAATGTTTTATGATTATACATGTATTACGCTGTGTGTTCCCATCAAAAGTTTGTAGCATCTTCACAAGTGACTCATCCACATTCACGTCTTTTTGATTGCAAATGACAGGTCAACATGTGACATAGGCTAAGTGTAGATCATTGTCTTTTTTACTGTGAGACTCCAACACAATCTTTTATTTAGACACCTATCATCTCACAAATCTAATCGTTCTGAGAGGGGGGGGGTTTGTCAAAAACAGATTATCTGATCGTTTGAAGCTTTCCTGAAAGAAAAGTTCAGATGGTCTTGGCTCTTTCATACATTCTCTACCAAACATAGTTTTCTCGGATGCTGATCTTTTAGTCCTCGTTGACATATCAATGGCATTTAAATCGATTTTTGCATTGATTCGGATCGTTACTAGCAAAATCGGTTCGAAAGAATACCTTTTTTTCGTAACCGATCCACCAAAGTTGATTTGTTTCCAAAGCCTAGTCATGCTATATTTGCTATTTGCATCATATAAAAGAAACAAAGATAATGTTTCCTGTAGTAGTGTTTAGTGTTTCCCGTGTCAGAATTCCGGTCGAGCCTCGACTGCTGTAACCTAGTATGAAGGTCTCATCACTTCCTTAATAGGATCGACCCCGTACTTTGCATTATTGCAAGCTCGACTCGGTCGGTCTTGTACAAAAGGTAATCTTGAACCTTACTTGTTTTAAAAAAAAATTAGTTGAATATGTGGCGCATCGTGAACGAATTATTATACCTTTTATTTAAATTAGTGATAAACAAGATTTACGTCAAAATGCAGTCATTGATTGCTTATTCCAATTTCAATTTTTTTAATTGATTAGCAGTGATGCAGACGATAGCTGCTCAAAATTTTTCACGTATATAAAATTAGATTTATCATGCGCAACATAAACTTTCAATTGCACTACATAGTGGCATATTCTACTCGATGTTTTCTTTAAAAAAAATTCATCAGTTGATCGTTCAATTTGCTTATGAGTGTTTAAATTCATGTGAAAATGCGCTAGTTCATACATAATGAATAAACATGCTCAATTTAGTGTCCACTTTTAAAATACATACTCAAGCTAGCTATAAACAACCTAATCCAATGGATTAAAAAAAAAAGCAGTTTCTTCGCTCCTTTGATTGAGGAGTGTGATACAAGCTGATTAAAGCTCGGGCCAGGATCAAATCACTAATCTACGGTAGCCTTGTTTAGGAAACAAGGTTAGGGTACAAGCTTAAATAAGAACTTTTGATTGGCTGATGATAAATCATGGATGTCACCTCGCTATTCACCTTTCGTAAGAGATTGCAGCAAAAAAAAAGAAGGAAAGAACCTTGTGACAATTGACATGGTGGTAACTAAGGGTTGTAAATGATTTATGGGAGCTATGTACATTTGTGTGACACTAGGTTGCGACACTGAAATCGTGCGAAAGAAAGAAATGACACTATAATTTTGATTTAAAAGCGCGACACTAAGTTTGGCTTGTTCAACATGAAAAAGGTGCACAATGCAGAAATGGGGGTTTTTTCCCCCTTTTTGTGGTTGATGGAGGGACAATAACCTTGTGAAAAAAAGTCAAACACTAGCCATTGATTGGCTGGCGCATTAGGTGCCGCACAGAAATGACTGGTTGAACTTGTTATCAATTCCCCCATATTTTGGCCTTTCTTTTTTTTTTTTTTTTTTTTTTTTTTTTTGCAACATTAGTTCATTTCACTATAAAAATGTGTAGTATTATCCGTGTAATGATAATAAAAAAATAGTGTATCAGGTATTTGATTGTTTGATCGGATAAAGCCGTAATGACGAACTGGAGTGTTTAATCTAAAACCGGTGGTTTTTTTATTTTTTTTTTTCTATTGTGGTACTGCTTACTAAAAGTATAAAAAAGAAAAAAACGCTTAAACTAAATAAAGGCCTCTTTTCTTCTCCCTTTCTAAACTTTTTTTTAATTTTAAAAAAGAAAAAATAGAGTCGTTTCGTCGTTGTGTTGTCATATTTTAGATATATAAAAACTTTTAGACAATGGAAAACCTATTGACGATTCAACCACAGACGACACTTCATCATCATGATGAATCGCTCGACCTCGAGGATTTCTTTAAAGATAGCCTCGAACCCCTGATGAAGAAATTTAAGCATCGACTCTCGCAACATACACTTGTCAACAGCGAAAGAATTCAAAATTACACATTACAGAAAGTCAACAAGGCTTGCTTCTTATTAGAAAGTCTTGTGCAAGAATGGGACGAACGTAAAGAAAAAGCATTGGAAGTGAGACGTCAAATTCTTTCTGAATTGGATACCAAAATATTAGACAATGTCAACTATGCCTTAATGGCACCTCCAGACCTCGTTAGCGCCATGATGGAATTATCCAAGAAATATCATGAATTAGAAATGGATAGCAATGGTGAAATGTTGGATAATTCAATCGATGTATTCATGGTCAAGATGGAAGAATTAGACGGCAAAATATCTGATGCACTGAGTACAGCTGACAAGATGCTTGAAAAGGTTGAAGAACAATTTATTAAAGTAGCAGGCGTTGCCAATGACCATATTGATAAACTCAAGTACGCCATGTCCTTTGGTACAAATCGTTTGTTGATGTATGACGAACTTCCTGGCCCTTGGCAAAGTAACGAGGTAAGGGCTCTCCGTACCACGACCCCTCCCAATTTAATAATCTAAACTTTTTTTATTATTCTCGGTGATATTAGTATATCCGAACGGGTTACCGCTTTTTAGATTCAGCCGCCGATTGCTGGTATTCTCTATTCTACTTTCACAATGAAACTGGTAACATTTGGACTCATTTACTAGGTTTCATTGTATTGTTTGCGTTAGGAATTTATGAACTGTTCTTTTCCGAATTAATGGTCAGTATACCCGTGAGTGATCGTGTGGTCTTTTTAGTGTTTTTCCTGGCTGCCTGTAAATGTTTAATGTGTTCCACTGTTTGGCATACTTTATCCGGTATCAATAATCTCAAGGTTTACCGTCAAGTCGCATGCTTAGACTATGTTGGTATCTCCGTATTGATTTGTGCAAGTATCATTTTGTGTGAATACTATGGTTTCTATTGCGATTCTGCTGTTCGTAACACATATATCACTGCCACTTCCACTTTGGCAGTCATTGGTGTCAGCATGCCATTTCAAGCATGGTTTGATAGACACGAGCGTAGATGGCTTCGCATTGCCTTTTTTGTTGCATTAGCCTCATCAGGTGCTATTGTGATTGGTCATCTTGCCCTTGTACGTGGTGCATTTACAACTATCAGTTGGTTAGCTCCTGTCTTCAAATCCATTGCTTGTTATCTTGCCGGTGTTATCATCTATGGCAATCAATTCCCTGAAAAGTTTTGGCCTGGCAAGTTTGACCATCTTGCCCATTCTCATCAATTTTGGCATCTATTTGTATGCGGAGGTATTTGGTTTCATTACCAAGCTGCTCTTCAATTCGCTGCAAGTCGTGAAGAATTTGGTCAATGCACTGCCTAAAATATATGTGCACCCTTATTTATTATATTATTCCCCCCTACCTTCCCCTTCCCAACCCACATCGATTATTTTAACCCTCCTATTACTACCAATTCCTTTTTTTACCACTTATTTATTAGAGAAACTATCCTTGCATATACATATAAAAAAAAATAAACGTTTCCCTTTTAGATTAAGGATATCCTGGTACGCACTAGACCGCCACGAAAGTTCTTCATTGGCTGAGGCAATTGTTGTAATCTTCTAAAAGCCTCATAAATATGCTCAGGTAATAAAGGCGTTTGTTCCGTACTTGGTAACGAGAATAAGCCATTACTGTCCGAATCGGGCGAGCCGGGTATCTCATTAGGTTCTTCCTCATCTGATCCTGACCCATCCTCCTGCTGCTGTTGCTGTTGCTGCTGCTGAGATACTACATCACCCTCTGCAGTTGTCGTGACAATCACAGGCAAAGGGGTGGTTGCCTCTTCCTCATCTTCTCTTTTTCGCTTGTGACCCAAACCCGAAGGTTCATCCTCTTTCTTACCAGCTGCCTCCATTAAATCACGCTTGATTTTAATAGCCGTCATTGTTAATTTTGAAACCATTTCATAGGTTAGAAATCCCAAACTATCCACAATATCGTCATTCGGTTTCACTTCTACAAATGAACTCATGTTGGCCCATTCCCTGAACCTTTTTGATTTACGATATGTGAAGGACGCTTGTCGGCATTCTGAATAGTGCACGTATTCCTCGCGTGTCATGGCTCGTGTTACATCATCCGCGTCTTTTAAGCGTTGGATCGAATCGTTGTAAGCTTCTAATTCGTCTTCATCCTCAGACTCATCATCGCCGTTCATTGATTTAACAATAACGTCCGAAAATTGGTTGGCTAATTCCCATGGTAATTTAATGATACTTCGATGCAATTTGCCTACTTTTTTTTTTATGGAGTTTGTTAAAGCGCTGGGAAGGAAAATTGATTGCCCCTTTATTTTATTTTTTTTACCAGTGTTTGTTTCTTCGACTACATCTTCTACTTGATCACCGGAGGCATCTTTGGCATTCTTACGCACATCTTTCCAACTTAAAAAGGATCGCAATCGATTGACCTTGGCACGATCGTGACGCATCAAGAAAATTAAGTCTTCGGCGCTGAGATACCTTGAACTTCGTCGACTCGCTTGTGCTGTAGCTTGTATAATCTGTGCAGAACATGTTAGCATTTGTTGTCTTGTTTGTATGTGAGTTTGTGTGAGAGAGAAGAGGCCTTACAATTTCAATGACTTGTGAACGGACAATGTCTTCTACAAGCAAAGTTGATTCTTGTAAAGGATCAGCTACTTCACCAAATACAAACATCATTTGTTGAATTTCACTTTGAAAACGATACTTGGACTAATTCGAAAATAAAAAAAAGATTAAGAGTTAACATGAAAGCGACAATGGTAACATAAAAAGAGATCAAATTACTCTTTTTGCTTCTACAGCCATTGTTATAAGTTTTTTTTTTTAAAAAAAAGAAGGATATTTTATTTGTTTTTTTAAAACCCAGGGTTGCTTTTTGATATTTTTTAAGATGTTGGAATGGAATCAGATTTATCAGTGTCGTTCATTCGTTTTGATTCAATCTTATCCACAATAGCAGCAGCATTTACGGGACCAAATTCTGTTTGAACCACATCATAATGCCTCATTTGCCCAGTCTTATTATCATTCTTTCGTTCCACCACTTGCTGAACCACTTTCCATGCACCACGGGTTAAATAGTTGGATTTCTCTTCAATTTTAGCTACCATGGTTTCATCATCGTCCTTGTCTAAAAAGTCCCATAAGCTCTTCATATAGGCTTCCCCTCGATCATCTCCGTACAACGGATAAATATACGAAGCATCCTGAGCTGTATAGAAAGCCCCTGGTGGTTGACCACCTAATGTCGTGAAGGGTCCATAATCACAGAAATGGGCAGAATGCACCAGATGCTTGTTATGAAAGAAATCGTCAGCTGAATTTCGATTTAAAAAGAAGGCAGAAGGAAGTGCAGCAGGGTTAGAGGTGGTAAGCTGAGGTGGTTGAGCAAATGAATGATCGGTCGGTAAAAGTGAAGCAAGATCATTGACACCTCCAACGATATGAAGTGAGCCATCGGGTGCATATAACACACCTGTATCCGCAACCTTCTTCTTCTTCTTTTTATAAGGTGTATTTGTGATGGAACGAATAGGTGTGATGGCACGCCCATTGCCCAACATATCCACACTGGTTTCTCTCGCATTTAATTCAGAACCCTGTCTACTCTGTTTACGTAATGAAGGTATATTATTATCGATCCCCATGATATCCACATCTTCTTCCTTGATACCAAATGAATCCTTTCTGCCTGAAAATGAGATGGATAACTTCCTAGCCGAAAAGCTATCTTGTCTCTTTTCTACCACTTTGGGAGCAGGTGCAGTTAATTTCTCTTCCTCAATCTGTTTCTCTGCACGGTCAATAAGTTTAGATCCTGCCTCTCGAATTCTCTCAGCACATTTCCAGTAGATGGTTTCGACCGAATTATAAATCTTTGCGTTCGTGGTGATCAGGTTGAAATCGTGTCTGAATAAATCGACTGTTGTGTACGCTCCTTCTTCTACCTTTCTTCGCATCGTAGAGAAATCCATAGGATGCTTGATAATCTTGAGGTAATCAGGTACAAGCTGTGGATTGACAGGTTCAAGGAAAAATCCATATGCGTCCTTCCTGTTCTTTAAGAATTAGCTTTGTTATACACTACCCATACAAATCCTTACTTTTGCACCGTATCTAATAATTTTAAAAAGATGGATTTCATATCTTTCTTGGGCACCTCTGGTACTTTTGGTGGTAATTGGGCAATAATGGCTGCAGCTTTGGCCTTGTTGGTAGGTCTGCCTCTTTTTTTTGGTTTTTCTCCGTTCAGCGTGGAATTCGATTTCATGGAAGATGTACGTCGTTCTTGCTTGATGGGTGGTGGATGATCTATTGGTTGTTGATCATAGTGATAAGATGTATCCTCTCGTCTTGCTCTCTTTGTATCGGTTGGATGATAGGATTCTGACTCTGACTCCTCTTCATGATGATACACATGTTGCTGCTGTTGCTGTTGTTGCTGCTGCTGTTGCTGTTGTTGTTGTTGTTGTTGCTGTTGCTGCTGTTGCTGTAACATGGCAAAAGGTCTTTTACCACCGACATGAGCATGGGGTCTATTAAATGCTACTTCTTCTTCTTCGTCTTCATCGTCCTCCTCCTCTTCTCGTTCATGTCTGGCTTTCTTATGCTTCTTCTTGTGCTTTTTTTTATGCTTGCGCTTTTTTTTATCTTCGGAGGTGGTTGTGGTTGGATAAGGATTTAGCTTTAATTTCAATTTGATGGTAGGTGGTGCAACAGGTGATGTAATGACTTGTTTTTCATCGTCAGAATAATCAATGGGTGAAAGTTCTGGTGAATACGACATTTTTATTTTTATTTTTATTATTTATATTTTTATTTTTTTGTTCCTTCTCTTTTCGCGCAAAAAAAAAAAAAAAATATGTTGGTGCTGTGGCGAAAAAAAATAAAAAAATTTGTTTTTTCTTTCTTGGCACAGCTCGGCTAAATAAAACGATGACATCATTTATTTCTGGGCCAATCCTATTCTTCCCTCGGTTTTGTTATGCAACTCATTTGAGATTCATTAAAAGAAGATAATGTTATTGTCACTGGTAGAGTTTAATAATTTATTTATTTTTTTGCACTAATTAAAGAAGGTGATGTGCCACAGTGTCAGTTTCATGGACTTTTACAATCCCTAGATGTTCGCGCTCTAATTGCTTGAATATCTCTTTTTGATTATTGATGTCATCCTAAAACCAAAACCATGAATGTTTGATTACAAATATGGGTGTAGCACTTACATATAAAAAAGCAAAAAGCTCGAACAACCTTATATAACTTAATATACCCAAAAAGCATGTTGGAATAGACGCAGATCGGCATTCAACTACTTTCCACGTTGCTTGTGGTTTGATGGAATACTTTACCAAGGTAAGTTTCGTTTGAATGATTTGGCACGAGAATAAATGAACTTTTTTGATAGTCTCAAAAGAAGAGTTCCGGTAGTTGGAGATGAAGCTTTTCAAATTATCGTGACCACTTTTGATATTCTTGAGTGTGTCATTAATCGAGTGAGATAGGATATTTCCATTTTTGAACCTGTAGCAGTTAAAATATCATGTAAGTAAACAAATGCTATCAAAATAGGGGAAATGTCTAGACCTCCGTATTTTTTTCAAACGTATTTTTTTTAAACTACTTACAGAAATTCTGGCCAAAAGACCAGCAGGCCAGTATGTTTGCACTTAATTAAAATGCATCCCTGCTATTCACAGTTCGTGAGTTCTAAAAACTCAAGAACTCTGCCTAGGAGGTCGCCCTCCTATAGCAAAGACTAGCCGCAGCTGCAATATCACAATATATCTTTTTCAATTTAGCTTCTTTTCAAAGAAACAAGAGTCGCTACTAAACAAACCTTTTTACGTGATCGGCTACTTTCATACGATAAAAGAAGTATGTTAAGGGAAAAGAAAAGGAGAAGAATAAAGTGTGTGAACCAGCTTTATTTATAGATAAACAAGCTTATGTCAGGATGATTTCATTTGTCTATTTTATCATCCATAATGTTTGAGCCTTTACTTAAAATAAAAGCAGACCATCGCGTGATTCTAAAAAATACGTTTGGAAAAAATACGGAGTTCTAGACATTGCCCAAAATAGGATTTAAATTTCTACTTGCCCAGATGACTCCATCAACAAGTAGTTCATGATATGGCTAATTATCATTCGTCCCACACCGTCAAGAAGTTTCATTGAATCTTTTCTTTCACGGGTGAAATTATTAGATACTAACCAAACATAATCCGAATCTGTTGCCTTTTTCTCACACCTAATTTGTGGTTAATTTTTAGCTATCCCTTTATAGAAAGTCAAAACCGTGTTACGCTTACCAAGCATACGTTAAGCTACTAGTACAATTTCCAAATGCTTTAAAAATGGGTATCATGACTTCACAGTAAAAACTTCTTTCATCATTATCCTTGTATGGTCCAGGTCTTTTGCAATTTAAAATGAAATCGAGCATCGCAAATTGAATGAATTCTAAAAATGGATTGCCATCGACAGGTAGGAAGGAAAGGTCTTCAGCTGAATTATTGGTTTGTGAGGTGAAAGTACTTGGTTTGAGGGAGCTTGGAATTTACATAAATTCCTTTCTTTCATGATTTTGAGGGAAGGATACTAATATAAGTTTTTCTTTGTAAGAAGATGTTCATCTTATGAATAGACTCAATCATTTAAAGTACCTCTTCAATTTCAGTGAATAGTTCGTCTTCTTCGGAGCTACGTGGCGCAGGATTTTCATCATGGACGTTACTTTTTCCTTCAGCAAGGTTGTCAAGTTGTTCAGGGTCATCCTAAAACAGTATTAATGAAATATTACAACATTTTATATCTCTGTAATTAAACTTGCCTCTCCATCTTCACTGCTTTCTTCAAACAGTCTGTCCAGCTTCCTTTTTAACTCATTTTTATGACTTGTTGTTTCAATGGTTGTTAAGACACGACTAGCAATCTTGGCTTCAGTCGAAGCTTCCTCTTCCATATCCTTGATTACCATTGCTTGCATGTTCTTGTGAAAGTATTTTTTAAAGTGGGCTTTACTGACATCAGAGGCAAGCTGAGTGACGAGGGCTGAACAGTAGTTCCTTAAAGCCGGCCTACTCTCTGGGTCTTTTTGAAGAGCATTAAAGACGCGAATTATCACATCCAAGACCTTTTTCGAAGTGTCACCAGGTCTTAGCTCTCCCTCAAAAAAACTGTCAACTATCGTCTCTTCGCGTTTCCAATGCTTGGCCTCCATGTTTGCTATAAAGCAAGGAATGCATAGTCTTTTTATTGCTTCAGGAGGTAATTTATAACTCCCGGTAAGAGCACCGCGACACGCTCTTTTGATGCACCCATCTTGTTTCAGACGCCAGCAAAGCAATCTTCAATATCTGACCATACCGAAGACGTCAAAGGCAAAAACTTAAGACCAAAGAGAACTGAAAGGCCTTGGGTAATCCTGTTTTAGAGCTTATCGGTGAAGAGGATTGGTATGTACTTGGCCCTACTGAAAGAAGAATAGTAATTTTCCCATCTAACGCAGGGCTGCGAAACAACCCAAGGAAAGGCACCCAATTTTAAATTAGGGAATAACAAAACTGTTCAAGTGAATAAAAGCCATTAGTCAAACAAAGATAACTAATAATATCAATCTATATTTACCTGTGTGTTTCACAGCTTCAATCGATTGTGAATATCATGTACTCCAACACAGGCTCGAAGGATATTGATTGATTGAACTATATTTGAGTCTTACAAGCAGGACAAGGAGCAGTAGGACGAGCAGACTTCTTTATGGTAGCGGGGAAGAACTAAGACAGTTTATATCTTGTTCCCATTCGTTGTTTTTCATATCTTGTTTTCCTGTAGGAAACAGCCGTTTTCACACAAGCATTTACTTGAGAGCTCAGACTTTCTTTTTCTGTCTTTTGTTTTCTCATCAAGTCAAACTGGCTCATGCTATCACTAGTAGAGTAATGGAGCTCATAGTTATATAATATATTTACGAGTCTTTTTGTTAAAAATATCAAGTTGAGAAAGAAAAAAAGAAGATGTGGGAAAGTGTTAGAAAGTTCTGGCATTTTATCTGTGATAAACAAGTGAACAGATTTACGTCAGGATGATGAGTTGGAGTTTGCTAGTCGGGATTTTTAATTTGTAACGCAATGTCGTTATTAGACAATTAACATTAGGTAACTGCTGCATGCATATTTTTGTTTATGTAAACAAAGTTGTGTGTATGTTAAGGTAATTTTCAAGCCGTCCCCTTAAGATCGATTACTAATAACCCAATGTACAAAGCTTCATTTATTCTTTATAATATACCTAGACTTTGCTAAACAACAAGATTTTTTTTTGTATGAACACACAGCAAAACTTATATATATATAAAAAAAAAAAATGGATTGCAACTATGCCTGAATTAAAATAGTCCGAAATAATTTTTCATTTTGGATGGTTTATATGAAGCAACCCCAATGCAGCTGTATAGATTGCTACACATGAGAACTGCTTATCAGTAACTTAATAATGAGTGGCAAGTGGTTAAGCATCTTGAATACAAAAAAAATACATGTAGACATGGATTGAATATCAAAAGAGATGTAAAACAACATATTATACATGTCTCTGAGTGCGTATTTAGACCTAAAATTTAAGCATATGTGTCTATCGAATCTACTATTTATTAAGTAGACAGTCCGTTATATATTGACATAATAAAGAACGTGTTACATGTTAATTCGGTTGTCCATGAGTATGAATTCCCTGTTACTATAGTCGTTATTCATGCTAATAAAGTCGTGTAGCTACCCATTTAAAACCTCTCCAGTATTATTAAAGAATACAATTCTTGTTTCCGTGTAACAATCAATACTACTCGTTCATTCTCCAGCAGTTCTCCGGGTGTTTTCTTGTTCGACCAATATGTATGGAATTAAGCCAGGCGATTCAGATTCGTTTTCAAGTCGGTAAGAATAAGTCTTGGATGCATCCTTATTATGAATTTTAAAATGCTTATGCAGGTTTTTAATATCGATATAGAACCGGTTCAGTTTTTCAAACGGTAAAATTTTAATGTAGTTATCATGTCAATTTTCGGGTTGATAATCGTATCCGGTCAAAACATAATACTCAATATTCGGTAAAAGAAAAGCGACATACTTGAGCTCTTTTAACGTCAAAGGGTGCATTTTACAGAATGCAACTTTCAATCGCTCTGGTAAAGCCTACTGCGCGGCAAAATCATAAAAGTCCATTTGATATGAAATCCGGGAAGCACTTAATATATTACTGATGCTGTCATTGTATATAGCGCTACAAAAACTTTCTCTGTTTCGTCTTAAAGCTTTAGCTAGTGTGAAAAAGAGTGCCATGATCGATCTATTGTTATGTAGTTTTCTTATGAACAGATCAGCTATGAAAAGAGAAAGGTGCGTGAAAGATTAGAGTTAAAAAAGAAAGGAAGGCACGGCTTTAATAAACCTGTCTGTAGTAAAAGTAAAGCGAGTGAATTAGCGGATATGTTTTAGACATTCATAAATCAAGAAAGTATGCTTAATTACTTTCTTACCAACTAAAAGTAACAATTTTAAAATCAACGTGCTCGATACATGCAGACTATCTCTCCAATAAACCAAGCTTTCTCTCTCTCTCTCTCTCTCTCTTTCTATACGTTCGATGCTTATTGATAACGCAAATCGAGGATGGAACTTGGGCATTACTCTCAAAACATTGATTAGGATATCCCAAAGATGCAGCAGTTTTGAAAAGGCGCTATTTGAGCCTGCACTGTATGGTGGTAATTAGATATATTTTAGGGCATAGAATAGAAACATTTATTCGTTTTGGGTAGATTTATATTTGTATGCCTCCAATTCAGCGTTCGATTCTAATTTCTCAATCTATGTAAAAGAGAGTTAGGTGACGAAAGTCAACGTAAAAGTTTTTTTTTAATACCTCTAATTCCTCCAACCTCGATTTCAATTCACTCAAGGTATTTTGCAGCCTTTCTGTTTCAACAGACCCTCTTTCATTATTAAAAGTTTTATTAAAACTTTCGATTTTTTGTTGGTAATTAATCGATTCGACTTTTAGTTTCTCCAAGCTTTCTTGTTTTTGAATTTGTTCCTCCTGAAGACGTCTATTTTCAGTCTGAAGACTAGCCACAAGTTCTTCCATACTCCACCACTGCGACAATAATCCCTTGATATATCTCTTTTGTTCCTCCATATGACTCGTATCCTCTTCCCACAGTAACATTTGCTGTGTCAATTGCTTCACACGGTGTTCATTCTCCGTCATCTTACTCAACGTAGGTTCCAATGTCTTGAGTTCGTTTTCCAGCTCAAAAATCTTTTGACGAGCTCCATCCAATTGTACCTTTTGCTCATTCAATTGCTTTTCATAGTCTTTGACTTGATGCGCCGTGTTTGCCATCTGGTTTTGCCATTCACGTCTGGCTTCACGATAGTTGCGTAACTTGCCTGATTGTTCGTCTTCCCACTTGATATGCTTTTGTTTCGTGAGTGCTGATTCGGCCTTAAGTTTCTCTAAAGCCGACGTGGTTTGGTTTAATTGTGCCTTGAGCATACGAGTTGTATTATACTATTATTTTAAAAACATGTCAGTCATCCTTAAGCTTTGGATTTCCATTGAAGTGTGCGTTACCAATTGTTGTCTTTCAGCCTCTACAGAACTATCTAAAACATGTTCACGATGAAGCCTTCCAATATGTTGTAAATGTTGCTGTTTCAAGAACAATTCGAAATTCAACTCGTTTCTCAACAATAACACTTCTCTTTTTAAAGCAGCCAACAATAACTTTGTCTCGGATGACATGTCACTTAATTTCAAGTTTTGCGTTGTATCTGCTCCATCTGAGTTTGTATTGGTGGGTTCTAATCCTGCATCCCATACATCATCGCCTACCAATACTTCAGCACCACTCTTTAGGGCTTTATGCAATGCCACAATATTTGTAATCATGACTGGCTTTGATTCTTCCCCTTCATCCTCCCCTTCCTGCTGTTGTTGTTGCGATGGTGGTGGTCGAGATTTGATAGAAACGGGTTTGGCGGGTGACGTATCATTGTTTTTGTCCCATAGACTTTCATCCAACAGATCCAGCTGTTCTTCATCTTCATCGTCTGGTATGGTATAGGCCACACGAGAAGCGGCGTTTGTAAGATCCAGTCCCATGATTTGGGCAATGACATCAGGTGGTTCCATTTTCATCCAGCGCGTCTTATCTGTAAGTTCAGATTGAGCGTCCATGGCCACCAAATTTGGATGCAACATGTGTCGCGTCACTTGAGGCTACAATTTATATCGTTTTAGCTTTGATAAAATTCCTTTCTTTTTATACATGTCCCTTACAATGGTTCTGCCTTTAAATGTTTCTTCGTCAAATTCTTCGGGTATCATAAACTCATTTTCCTTGAAATAAGCGTATGGTTTATGCAAAAACTTGAGAAAGTTACAGGGATATAGACCGTACAGGGAAGTGAAAAACGGGCCTGTTTGTGGGTTAGAAGGAGGTGCTGATAGTTTTGAAAAGGTATAATCTACGCTTACACGGAAATGGTATTAGTACAATCATCGTGTTTTTTTTAAAAAAAAGTATATATTTGAATGTTTTTACCAACACAGTCCCATCCATCGGCCACAGTCCTGTTGGGAGAAGCATAGGCAAAGGCTTCTGAGCTCTGCTTTTTTCGTAAATCTCGCAACTGGTCCCAACAGATCGCTCTTGCAAAGATGTAGAATAATTGCGGTAAGAATTTAGGAAGCGATGTACAGATACGGGGTAATAGCATGATTAAATTCGTAACTGAAATCGCAATGAGTGTTGTCGAATTATCATACTAATTAATAATGATATGCTTAACAAAAAAAATCATGTATTTTGTAACCCATTCTCTTACTATACCATCAATGATTTTAACATGGATTCAAATAAAGGTGTTTCAAGTATTTCATGCAAATGAGTTCTCTGTATACACAATGATTAATTTTTTGTGGCCTGATTATCTTCTTTAAAACTTACTCTTCTTCTCATAAACTCACTCAACAAGTAAACAATCTGTAAACGATGCTTGCTTGATAAAAAGTAGATGTCTAACAAATGAAAGAATTGCTACCACTGATTTTAATTTTTTTTTTTTTTTATTTTTTTTTTTTTTTTGCATATATTTCAGTTACCTTTGTTTCTGAAGCACCAACGGATAATAAAATAGTAGTCAAGTTCCTTGACCATTCATCCTGTTCCAAATCTAGCAATGCCTGATGCTGTTGACTTGTTTCGTCACGTTCTGCTTCTTGACGTTTATAGCTACTCTCGGCCCATTCCAAATACATTTTGACCATGGTATGAAAATGAACACATGCATCTTTATGATCCCGTACCAATTGCTGTTCCATAATCAATGCGTCCGAAACAATCAGACGAGCCTCCTTCTTGATCTTGTTTGTATATGAAGCTGTTGCCAGGATCGGTTTCAAGAGTGGCCACCAATCCTCGAATATGCGTTGGGGTCTCAATAGTCGTAATAACTCTCGAAGACTGCGAAGCAAGATATAGTGTTGAGCATGGATACGCAAGACGGGAGCTTTACAGGACACAACGGTGGCTGCAGTGGCAGGTTCGCTAGAGATAGTTGTTTCGTATAAACTCACAAGTTCTTGTGAGAATTTGTCTACAGTCGAGGTATCTACTTGGGCTAAGGTGTTAGAACTATCGCCAATGTTGGCACTGGTTTGTTCATCCAAGTATAACTCAATCACATCAATGGTGGCCTGCCCTTCCGAGTCGGCATTGGCTTGACGTACGGAGGTAGTGATGGATTTAATGATATCTCGAAGTGTTACCATTCAAGACTTTTTTTAATACAAAAGAAAAAAAAGAAAGAGTAAATAAGGGCATTGTTAAAAATACAAAAAGGCTTTACACCCGTCCTTAAATCCTCTGCTCAGAAAAAAAAAAAAAAAAAAAAAAAAAAAACGTGACTTTATTCACAGTATAAAAAGTTACACGAGTTATTTAAAAGAGTGATTTTATTGTTATCATTTGGGAGGGAAAATAAAATTACATGTGGGAGAATAAAATACACGAGAAGGGGGGGTATGAGAGGTTATTTAAAAAAAAGATATTAATAGTTAATACGGGCAAAACCAGGTCTTTCAAGTCGAACTTCAGGCATGGGATAACGTGCTTCATCTGAAATGACCAATGTCTTGAGTGTGGTTTTAATCTCTTTAATTTGAATACCACGGTATAATAATTCATCACGTCCATCATCAGGTCCAGAAGCAGACGATGAAGTACGGGGTGAGCCTTGTGAAGAATTATCATCATCCATGACTGTGATACTCGATGTACTATCAAAAGGTGAAGAAGGTTCAAGTCCCGGTGTAGCAGGTAAACTATGGGTAGGACTGGTAGGTGTGTTCTTTTTCCATGGGTTAGAAAAGAATCGTGATCTACCCTTTGTATTCTCTGCTGTTGGTGTCGCTGGTGAAGGCTTTAAAATAGAAGCATTGCCCAGCGAAAGAGAGGAAGGTGAACCTCCCTTGGAAGAAGACATCAATACTGCTGCTGCAATCACTGCTGACATGGATTCAATCGTCAAATCCTGTTGTGTTGGTGCTTGTAAATCGATGACTTCGTCTTTATGGTAAGAAACAGGTTCATTGGTATAGAAAGGTTCGGTTACTACAACGGGTGGTGTGGTTGGTCTTTGAATAGATGCATTTCCAGAGGAAAGGGAAGAGGTTTGAACAATTTCGTTCTTTAAGGATTTGCGAGAGCGGAACATTTGATTTATATAAGGAAAGGAAGGGGAAAAAAGTTTTAAAAGAGAAAAAAAGAATGAAAGAAAAAGAAATAAATACACTCTAGTTATTTATACTATGTTGCTTCACAAAACTAATTTGATAGACCACGTTGGTGTTACGTTGTGCAATTTTATTACTTTTTTTTATTTTTTTATTTTTTGATCATTGAATATAAGGTCTCTTTGAGCTTGGACAGGTTATTTCTAATGTTTCGATACTGAATTCCTTCTTCTTTTCCTCTGGATCAGAAAACATGTTCTATGTAGAAAGTAAGTTAGACAACATACGGAGATCTCCTCCTTATAACATAGTGTATACTCACATTCCACAATAGGATAGACATCACCTGATTGGCGCACTTATTAGGATGAAAGCTTGAACAAAAAAGTCAATGGACAATGTGCATTTGTAACCTTTATAATCTTACCAGTCTACTCCACTAAAATAAGATTGCTTGTATTTTCCTACCGGAAATTGCTTGAATCCAGGCTGATAGCTCACACCAAACTCCATGATGTCCTTTGTCTTGTATTCTTTTTCCAATTTTTCCAATCTTGTATTATACTCGTTCACAACCCGATCGGCCGCTAGTTAACTAAAAGATTAAATGAAAGTATATAAAAAGAGTAACTCATTTTTACCTCTTCGTTGTTTCTCATCACCTTGGATACAAGAACATATGACCATGTGAGAAGGATCCAATACGAATTCACAATATGGGTCACCTCTTGAAGCTTCATACACACTCGATACCTAATAAAATGTAAAAATAAATATGCGCGCGGTTTAATTTTATTTGTATATCCGTCTTACATTAAATAAAGCCACGAGATTCACAAAGGATTTTCCGACATCAGTTCTTATTCTTTCCAGCACCTGTCGCACATTCTCTTCAAATATATCGGCATCTGCTAAACCTGGCAATGTCGTCACGGGAGGCTCACACAATACACATACATTGTTAGCCCCAATAAAAACCGTAATCAATTTCCATTCGTCTTTATAAGCTTTGTATTTCTCTGAGTTTAGCATTCGAATTAACCGTGAGACTTCGGCATTTAGCTCTTGTGTTTTAGCTCCACTCACTGCATTATTCAATTGCTTGCCTCTCGAAAGTGGTAATGTAATCCCTGTTGGTGCTCCCTTACTGATGTCTTGTCCATATCGTGCCAAGAAATTCGGTATCGTATACTCGCCTTCATCTCCTCCCACAGAAAACACTTTTCCTCGATATTCTAATATAGTGGAAAATGGTGGTCTACCTTTTTCATTTTATAAAAATAAATCAGATGAGTTTATTGTCGTATTTTCAAAAAAAAAAAAAAAAAAAAGTACAATAGATATGTTACCTGAAATCATGCCAAATCCTGCACTGATACTGTCTCCAATAGCAATGACCGATTTAATATCCTGCACATAAAATGATTTAATAAGCCTCATCGTTACTGCTATTATTAGAAACTAACGTTGGGTCGTAGGTGGTAAGCATCGCGATCTACAATGGCATCATTCCATATAAACGGCTCACATTCGAAGGCAGGTACTGGGTATAGACAAGCTGAATCGTCTTTGGAAGTATTCTTGCTTCCCAGTGTATTATGAAACTGCTCGAGCAATTGTGTCCATTCATAAGTAAATGGTGGTATCATTCCATTTACGTCGGGCTGTTGAAACACAAACTGATCCTGTATCACTTGTGCAAACAAGCTACCGAGTAATGTACTTAGAAGTAATAGTATTTGCATGTTGGTGAAGTTAAAAGAAGTAAGAAAAAAAAAAAAGGGAAAACACACAACGCAGCAATAAATAATAATAATGACACTGTCAGTTGATGACGTTGTGTGTGATGCGCCTTCTGATCATGGCATGACTTATACTGACAACTTAAAAAAGTATGTCGATTTGCTCTATATATGATGGTTCTCTAAAGGTATAGGTACTCATAAAATAAATTGTGTGCATTTAGATACCTTTGAAAGGGCGTAGAAGGTATGATCTATCACGATATCATTTGGAAACTAATGAGACTATTTCTATATCATCCGAGGTGTATATTATGCCGCTTCTTTATCAACCCTGAAATAAATCAGCATTTTACTTTATTGTCTTACTATATCATATCGTATGACTCTATTCTTGTTTGCAATATGCTTAGACTGTCTGTCCAAATGATTGAATCCATCATATTTTATCAATTGAAGCGATTTGTACGTTGGACTTGATAATGCCTTATTTTCTTTAATTTCTCGAGGATAAAGTGGACATTGCCTTTCTATGTTCAATATGATGTGAAGTTACCGAAACAACCTCATGAACAACTAGGGACTTACAGATATTTATTGATTTTACAGGAACAATAGTTCTTTTTTTGTGCGTATTTTTAATTATGTAAATGAAAAATGGTGGAAATGATAATTAGATTTATGAAATTTACAAGAGAGAAAAGAAAAAAAAAGTTTGTCTATGTATATGGGAAAGATGCGAAATAAGCCTTTTCTTCTCCTTCAAAGATCATCATAACTTGTCAGAACTCTACCGGCAGGGATAGCGGTTGTGATAGGAGGATAAGCATGATCATCCAATTTCATTAACGTGGATGAACGTCTGCGGCTATAACTGTACGACTCTTTTGCCATCAATCCGTCCTCATCCTGCCAAGGGACATTACCAAAGCCAACCTTATTTCTCTCGGGTATCTTTGCGCGATTCACTGCCATTAAAAGATTTGTTTAGATCCACACATCCTGACTATTTGTTTATCGTTGGGGAGGGGGGGGGGGACTTACCTTTGATATGTCTTGATCCTAATAATGCACCATGCATACTCTGGATAGCAGCCAATGCAGCTTCTTTTTTCTCGAACGTAATAAATCCATAGCTAATTAGGTCCAATGTTAGTTAGACTCCCTTCATGTCAGTAACGAAAATACTTACTCTTTTCCTTCCACAAGTTTGACATCCTCAAGAGGTCCAAAACGGGCAAATATTGTCTCAATCTGTTCTACTGTGACACCTTCAAGATCTCCAATATACACTTTTGTAGGATAGAATTCTGTATCAATGTATTGTGCTGCCTCCGTATACAGCTACGAGATGTTTTAATTTGATGTGTTTTTAAAATGAATGAGTAAGTTACTTACGTCAGCACCGTTGCCTCTATGCTGTTGACGACTGTGATGATGACGAGAACGACGATGTCTATGTCGACTAGTACTACGTTGACGTTCATAATCGCTATCCGAGTCTGAATGATGACGACGATAGCGTCTTGGTGAGCTGGAAGATCGTCTTCGTCGACTGCTGTGGTATCTCTCTTCCCGGCGACCGCGATCATTACTGTCAGATCGATGACGGTGTTGGTTATGGTCATCGTCATACTCTCCATCTTCAGATCGTTCTGTCTTGAACTTTTCTCTGCGACGTTTTACTCTGCCAAACTCGTCTAATTCCTCTTCTTCATTTTCTGGGCTTGCAGATCTATAAAAAGTCCCACGTCCTATTTTCAATACAAGTGTATTAAAGACGAAACAGAGTTTGCATTTTTACCTTCTTCTCTCTTCTTTTGCAGGAGAGACTTTTCTTTCCAAAGACTACAATGACGTTAATACAATATATCTCTCAATTACTTATTATGTCCTGTTACCTTGCTATCATTAGACACTACTGACATTTTTATTTTTGTATGCAGTCGTATACAACAGAAAGAAAAAAAAGTTTTCGTTGCAAAAAAAAAAAAAAAAAAAAAAAAAAAAAAAGGCAAAATAGAAGTGACTGTCTTTTTTATTTGCTGTTTAATGCAAAAAGTAACTTTCGAAGACTCTGCCCAATTTTTAGCGCTTTCGTCATACCTGGACTGGCCATGACCGTAAACATGTAATACTCCTATCAGTCATAGCAAAATAAAAAAAATAGTTGCATAAACATACATGAGATTTCATCACGGTTCCAATTTTGAAACCCAAAAGTTGATTTGTAAAAATTTTCAAACCGCCGCTGTGGACCAAAGTTCTATCTTCGGTTCCGCTGTGGAAGCCCTCAGGGCAATGGTGGTACACTAATTTCACAAATTATAATTCACAAAAAAAAAAAAAAAAAATTGCTTCAATTAACATCACTATCATGCTTCATTATTGATACATGCTGTTACTGAAATGCTGGTAGACAATTAACAAATTTCGAATTGCTTGTATTTAAGCTTGGGTGGGATATAGCCCCTTCTATCATATGTAAAGGCCCGAACATCAGATGATTAAATAGATCCTGACATAAGCCAGCTCTTGTTTATCAGTTTATAAATAAAACAAGGTCACACGGTTTTCTGATTAAATAAGCAATTGAATCATCCGGACGTAAACCAGCCCTTTTTTATCAGTTTAGTAATAGAACCCATTCAAACACCTTTTCCTTCCCTTCTTTAAAGATAAATTATAAGTCTTGTGAAAAGGTTAGTTAATAATAACTTTTGTTTTTAAAAAAGAATGCTAAAATATTACTACGCTTAAGCTTACGGAAGCAGTGCGTGTAGGTTGTGTCCTCAGCTTAATACGTAGTGTAGTATGGTCAAAAATGGGAGAACTTGCGGTTGTTTTTGTACCAAAAACAAGAACAAAAGCAACGACTATCTTTTGGGATATCTCACCTTACGGTGTAGCTAATGTTAGCATCCGACGCAAGAGTTGCTGATTCATTCTTGTAATGGATTGACACGAGGAGTTTAAGGACTGCTACCTTGTCATGGACAAGGTGCCTTTCCACAATTGTGGCAGGGACACCTACAATAGTTTCCCAACTATGAACGGAAAATCTGTCGCGTCTGAATTCGAAGAAGAGGATAAGATACCATCGGACTTTACCATTGACCACCATCCCCACAGAACTTGCGCATACGCTCTCACCTTTGTTGATTCAGACCAAGAACAACAACCAAGTAGTGAAGTTGACGAGGATGATATGAAATGGGTAATTGGTGATACATGCATATCAAGCTTATGTTTTGAACTCAAGACCTCAACCACCCAAATAATCAGGCACCTGGATCCTGCTCAAGTTTCTGACATCCGGATTTTAATTTTAAACGACATCTTCATTTTTGATAAAAATCCAGCACATTCAGTCTCCCAGTATTTCAATAATGATGTACACAAAATTATCAAGCCTACATTATTATTTGATACCGCCGATCTCACGAGAGGTATGAATTGCTACAACTGGTGCCAAGAAATTGAGACATGCCCCCCCCCCCCGATGACTGGTCTTCGGCCCTATCCTTATGCGCCCAATTGCTCACCACTGCATGCAAATCTGGGAATATTCTCGATATGCATACTGCCCAGGTACTGACCCAGATATTGCCGATCTTCATAAATGGACCACCGGATGACGAAATTGAGGACAGTTATGTCCACAATTATTTGTCGCCTTTGCTATCATCTGTATTCGCGTCAGATCCCAGATAAAAATTGAAATGGGCAAATGGCCAGCTTGAGCGAGATTCTAACGATGGATACAAGCCTGATTTCTCTGTCTACAATCTTTCTGGTTCAACGAAGTGTATTTTACTCATTGCGGAATTCAAGCCGAAGGAACAAAATTCGTATGTCGAATCCGATCTGGTTAAGCTTGCGAAGCAAATGAAGTCCACGCTCAATTCATTGATTACTGACGGTGTCAAGAATACCAAGGTTAGTGGCATTCAATGCGAAGGAGAAAATGTTGCTGCTTATAGCATGGATTTACCATGTCCAAAGCTGTATCCATGTGGTCCCCCAGCATAGTACTGACTAGTCCAGGTATTGCTTAAATGCGGAGATCGGACAGGACCCGAATGGCCAACATATCAAGGATCAAACTTTTCAAGAATTCGGACCAGCTTTCCCTCCTCCTCAATCTCATCTCACATTTGCTGAATTTGAAGTGTGATGCTTTTCAAACAGGTTCGAGGGTTGCAAATGTTTCTATTTTAAGTAAAGGCCCAAACATTATGGCTAATTAAATCATTCTGACATAAGCTCTTGTTTATCATTTTTACAAATAAATTTTGTTTGCACATTATTTTGATTAGATCATCTTATAAGACTCGTTCTCACACTTTTTTTACCCTTTTTCTTTTCCTTTAACATACTTCTCTGCTTTTATGAATGGTAGTTAAAAGGTTAGTGTATAATGACATTTTGTTTTTTCAAGAAACACTAAATTATTAGCTCTTTTTTTAAAGATGTATTGCCATTCTCGCGATATCATGGCTACCGCTAGTCTTTGCCATAGGATGGCGACCTCCTAGACTAGGTTCTTGGGTTTTGGAACCCACTGAAAGTACAGACTGCAAATAGCTGGGGCTGCACTTTATATTGTCTTTATTATATTTACTTGCTGCTCCTCGATCCAGCACAAATTTCGGATATTCGGATTTTAATTCTGAACGATATCGATAAAAATCCCGCATATTCATCCTCTCCGTATTTCACCAATGATGTACACAGGGCTATCAAGCCTTCATTATTATTTGGAATTGCCGATCTCACAAGAGGCCTGAATTGCCATAACTGGTGTCAAGACATTGAGACATGTCCCCCCCCCCCAATGACTGGTCTTCGGCCTTATCCTTGTGCGCCCAATCGCTCACCATTGCATGCAAATCTGGGAATATTCTCGACATGCATACTGCCCAGGTACTGACCCAGATATTGCCGGTCTTCATGAATGAACCACCGGATGACGAAATTGAGGACAGTTATGTGTTCGGTGATAATGCAAGTACGGTGGCGGAGCTCGGAGGTGGTTGATGTCGCCGGTAGCTGGTGATGGCCAGGTAAGAGTGCCTGGTGATGCAAGTTTTGTCCTTTTTACCAAGTTTGATATAACCTTGGGTGTATGGCACTGTGTGATTGCTGTGACTTAAGATACGGCCCTCTGTCTTTGCCAGATTCATGGATCGTTGGCGGGGAGGTTATACCATGGTTTTATCCTCCCCAAGCAAATAGAGTTTTTGCTAAATTCATGGATCGTTGGTGAGGAGGTTATACCATGGATTTACCATGCCCCAAGCTGTACAGGATGGCCAACGTATCAAGAATTAAACTCTTCAAAAATTTGGACCAGCTTTCCCTCCTCCCGAATCTGATTTCCCATTTCTTGAACCTTAAGACCATTGCCTCCCAAGCTGCCTACAAGGCTGAAACCGCTGTTCTTGAAAAATTAAAAACGTTGAAACGCTCCACACCAAGTCCTCCACTGGAATGGCTGTCAAGTGGCAGTGTTACCGTTTCTCGTGTTGCCAAGAAGAATAAAAAATAATACCTTTGGCATATTAAAAAATCAAATAAAATATTTTTCGTATATATATCACTTTAAAATAACATATTCAAAATGTTGGCGCAGCATTTGGCATAAATAATGAGAGAATGGGAGAGCGGAGAAATGCAAATAAAAAAAATAGCTGTAAACGCCAAAAACCAAAAAGCACCTAAAGATGTGGTATGCACTGTACTAAAAGAGATTGATTGAATAAGGAAGGTTTCTAATTGTTCTGGTTTTTAAATTATGTGGCTGTTGAGAAATGATTCTTCTTGCGTATATCAGCAATCACGATGAAAGAGGGAAATGGTGTGGATTGGAAAAAAAAAAGTCATATATAGAAAAAAGACGTGCTCAATGGTTATGCGTCTGAGTGAACATGTATAAATGTGTGCTTGATCATAACAAGTCCCCGGAAAGCATTAAATGACTTGTTTTAAAACTTGACCGAAATTCTAGGCCAATTATTTGATGAAGTTAATCCCACTATTCAACACACATGTTCCGAAAATTGAGCAGTGAGTCTTCAAAAAATTAGTGCAAGTACTGTGCATGTTTTTATATTAAGACTTGAGACTTTCTCTCTCTCTATCAGTATACCTTTGTTGATATTGTGTAACAAACACATACAGGTAATTTCTTCTTCCTCTATTGACAACTTTTTAATTATCTATTCAGGATGCAAAGTTGACAGGAAAACCCAGTTTTCGTCACTTTAATACTAGTCGTATTATAGCTGTTTCTATGACAATTCCGACTGGAAAGTTTTTGTTTATCAATCTATAAATACAAAAATGACGATTGTTGTAGGGAAAGCAATTTGATTTTGGTAAAGACGGGGTGATACAAAATGGAGTCATCGTTTTTTACCAATCTCCCCTTTGCAATCAAAATGGCTCTCCTGTATTTCTTATGGTTAAGACCAAAGGCACTTTTATATATCTAATAATGCGATTAAATGAGATTGTTTTTTTTTAATTCTACATGACACTATACCAATTGCAACTTGTCATGTAAAATAGGCTTTGAACGAAAGGAGGCTTTGAGACAACAACAAGTATGAGGAGTTTTTTTGTTTTCGTTTTGACAAGCACCAATTAAGCGGGGATCCATTTGTTATTTTATTGAGAAAAAACTCTATTCACTTTATCCTTTTGGCTAGTAAAACCCCTACCCTTTTCTCCCTCTCTCTCTCCTCTTTGAATTCATTGTCAAAAATTAAACGTTTTATGCAATATACATATATATATATAAAAAAGAGGCCTGAGTATTATTAAAACTACAATGGAGGATCCAATCAAAAAGAAGGAGGAAATGATACTAATATAAAAATAAAAAATGTGCTTTTGTGCAACTCCAAATATTAAACAAAGCAAGAGAAAGTAGGCCCAAAAAAAATAAAACGTTTTTTTTTTTTTTTTTTTTACTTTTTGTTCATCTTTTTTTTTGACATTATAAGAAACGACATTTCAGTTGAATAATAACAATTAGTTTTATACGATGGCTGATCGTAAAAATGGCATGGTTCAAGCGTATGGTTACCCTGCTACTTCAGGTACCATAGTTTCAAGAGCTGTTGCAGCAGCAGCAGCCAATAGTCATCATTCAGGAAGAGGTAAAACAGGTCGAAATTCAAAACGGTATTCCGTCTCTGCCTTTTACTCCATGGCTGCAGAGCAAGACAATGAAGTGGAAGATGAACTGGCTCAAGCACAAAGAAGCCTTAGAGACTTGAAATCAAAAATTTCGGGTCAGTCCAAAAAGAATTTTGTACTGGAGAGAGACGTGCGTTATCTGGATTCTCGTATTGCTCTGTTGATTCAAAATAGAATTGCACTGGATGAAGTGAGATATACAATTCATTTTTCGTGTTCAATATATATATATATATTAACCTGTTGATTATAGCAACATGAAATGGCTTCACATTTAGAAGAACATGGGTTAGGCGATAGTGATTCTTTCCCTGATGACCGTAAAATGCAACAATACGGAAACTTTTTCTTTATTCTTCAGAGTGAACCTCGACATATCGCTAGTTTATGTCGATTAGTGAGTTTAGCAGAGATTGATACTCTCCTTCAGACTGTCATGTTTACCTTGTACGGAAATCAATACGAGAGTCGAGAAGAACATTTACTACTCACCATGTTTCAAGTAAGCTCTCTATCTTAAAAGAACATTAGACTGATAATTATACTAATACTTTGACAATCACTAGAATGTTCTGGCAGCACAGTTTGAAACATCGACTGAATTTGGCTCATTGTTACGTGCTAATACACCTGTATCTCGTATGATGACCACTTATACCAGAAGAGGACCTGGACAATCCTATCTTAAATCCATCCTCTCCAACAAGATTAAAGAGCTTGTCACTGACGCCAATCTCAATCTCGAAATCAATCCACTCAAAGTATATGAGCAGATGGTCGTACAAATTGAGACCGAAAAAGGCTATTTACCCACAGATTTACCCAGAAGTGTCACACCAGAAGTCGCCGCTAGTAATCCCAATGTTCAGAGTATTATCCAGCCCAGACTTGAAAAACTCATAGAGATTGCTGAAGCCTTCTTGACAACCATTATTTCATCTACTGCTTCTGTGCCATATGGTATTCGTTGGATATGTAAACAAATTCGCTCACTTACAAAACGAAAGAGTCCGGATGCTTCAGAGTATTCGGTCTGTTCCATGATTGGTGGTTTCTTCTTTTTACGGTTCATTAATCCTGCTATTGTAACTCCCAGAGCTTACATGTTGCTAGAAACTGCTCCTGGTAATGCACCTAGAAGAACTCTTACTCTGGTATAGATAAAATCTCTTCCATCTCCCTATTCTTTTATAACTAACATAACCCCCTTTTTTCTCCTGTAAATAATAGATTGCGAAAATGCTGCAGAATCTAGCCAACAGACCCTCTTACGCTAAAGAGTCTTACATGTTACCCACTAACCCATTCGTCGAAAAAAACAAGACACGTATCAACAAATTTCTCAACGAACTATGTGAAGTTAGTGATTTTTATGAGACGTTGGAAATGGATCAATACATGGCCTTATCGAAAAAGGACATTGATATCAATATCACCTTGAATGAAATGTATAATACCCATACCTTGGTGCATCGTCATCTGGATACCATCGCACCCAAAGAAAAGGACCATTTACGTATCCTTGTTAATGATTTAGCTCCTACACCTACACAAGTCTCCAGAAAAGAAAACAAAACCATAGACCTACCCCTTTTCAGCCGATGGGAAATACCTATTCAAGGTAATTATTTGATATACTTATATATATGTATATTCTTTACTAAAGTCACACCTGCTTAGATCTCACAACGGCATTAATGTCAGAAAATAACATTACACAAAACGACATTTTGTATATGGAAACCAAGGCAATTTACGTACAACTGATTCGATCATTACCTCATCTTTCGACTGTGCCACTGGATTTGGATTATATTGCGGAGACAGCTGCTACGACTAAAGATGCGCAATTGGTACGAAAAGGAATTAAAGTAAAGGACATGTTGAGAGAATTGGAAGACGCAGGCGTCATTGATCATCGTGACCATTACAAATTACTGGTAGAAGAAATCACGCAAGAGTTGGCACATTTGGGTAACCTGAAAGAAAAAGTTGTACAGGAATCAGATTCATTAGAAGGCGTGTATGAAACTATCTTGGATCATAATAACTACTTGCGAAGTCAGTTGGAAAGTTATAAGGCCTACTTACAAAATGTACGTATTCAGAGTGGTGGCGAAAAGACCACCAAGAATTCGGTCGGCATTGGAGTAGAAATTGAAGGTGGAAAGCCACGTAAACCTGCCAAGGGTCCACCTAAGGGCCCCTTTAAATTCTCTCATAATCATCTCGAAAAGGACGGTGTCATTACGGAAAGTACTGTACCTGAAAACAGAAGACCTAATATCTTTTTTTCAATTACTTCACCACTTCCCGGAACATTTATCATTGCCATGCATTTCAAGGGTAGAGAAAAACCCATTTTGGAAATGGATTTGAAGCTTGATGATTTACTAGAAAAGGTACCTTTTCATTTTATCTACGTCCCCTAAAGTATATACACTAACTGTTCTAATAGCAACAAGATAATGTGGAATTGCTCGATCTTGAATACGTCCGTCTTAATGTCACCAAAACACTTAGTCTTTTAAACAAAACTTTTGTCACCAGAAACAAGTAGTTCTCTTTTTTACCCACTCCTTTCTTTCTTTAGCCCTATTTATATATCTATCATTTATTACTGCTATTATTTTAATTTCCTTCATAAAACAAGGGTCTCCCTTTCTCTCTTTTTGTCCTGCTCTAAAAAAGAAACGATGCATAGGGATCGACACCCCTCAAACACGTGTCCGGATCATTAAGCTTGATGTATTATGTAGCTTCTTTAAAGAAGATCATCTAGCAAGCCGTGTGGTGCATAAACATGCCCATTTTGGTGAATCTTCCCAGCATATCATCATTCTTATTTAAACATCAGCGCTTTTTGGAGGTGTCACAGAAAAATTTGGGCTGGGCTCAAAGGAAAATCGATGAAATCATTTCCACTGCAGTTTAAATAAAACACTCCAATTAAAATGGTAAACGACTGAAAAAAAAAACATGTAGACTCCCTGATTCTCACATGTCTTTTAAAGAGTACATCTACCTGTGAAATCGATGCTGAATTAGTACAAAAGATCAAGGACTTTCGATTTGCTAAATACTCTAGCGGAAACGCTGCTTTCGTCTGTAAGTTCTTTTGTATTGTTAAACCTTCTTTTATTTTTTTCTCATTGTTATTCGTCAAGTGCAAATTGATCGCAAGACATTAAAGATTGTGGAGGATGAAGTATACGATGATATTTCCTTAGAAGACTTAGTTGAAGGTACTACTTGGGGCGCGTGGAAAAGAGCAAAAGAAAGGAGGGAGGTATTAATCCAAAATTTTAGAATTACCCGAGAATACACCACGTTTTATTATCCTGAGTTATGAGGTAAAATAAGGGAAAACCCAAATAGAGAGTGCAAATTATTAAAAAACGTGTCATAGTTAAAACATGATGATGGAAGAGTAAATTTCCCCTTGATCTTTATCTACTGGTCTCCCTCTACTGCCAAAGCCGAAGTTAACATGCTGGTAACAACGTCATATTTTTATTGTGATATTTAGAGATTAAAATCATTATTTAGTACGCTTCCGCAAAGACATACCTCCAAGAGAAAATCAGTGTGATGAGAGTAAGTTGTATTCCCTTGTTCAATATGTATTTATATATTTCTTTTATTTATATTCAATAATGTTTATAGGATTTTGATATTCGTGATCCTGAATCCTTCACTGATGAATACCTTGCAAAGCAACTCTAATTATCCACGACAGCCGCAGGAGGCTTTCTCTCCCATATCTAAATAGTAATATAAGTAAAATTTTTGATGCCTATTTTTCCTTTTTTATATTTTTACCTGGATGTAACTCTCAGACATGAAAATCATTTGAGGTAAAATCTCTTCCACAATCAAATCTTGAATTTGATACCATTGCTCTGTACCACGATGACGCACATGAACCTTGTATGTACCTTTACCCGCATCAGGTTTACCATCATGACAAATATTGGCCAATAAATCATAATGGTCTCCCACCTTTTCAGCATCAGGATCACTTGTAACTAATCAATCGTATAAGTAAAACCGCTATATACACATACCCAAAATACTCACATTTGGACATATCCACATTTTTAATAGGGAAATTCACAATGGTAGGATTCTTTTCATGTGTCCAACTATTCTTGTGAAATCGCTTGATATGAAAGATCAAGAACTGAGGTAAACGCGTGATACTATAACGCTTCATCTGGTTGTTCACTTCTTGTACTTTGTGTCCATCGAACTTAGCAAGGATCGTCGTTAAAGGTACTTGAGGTACAATTTCTTTATCCTTTTCATCTTGATATAATGGTGCTAATGGTAAATCCAAAGCCAAGAATAAAAAGGGTGAGATCGTTGTCTTGATTTCCTTTTGTTCATCAAACATCAATAGCGCTTCCTTTTCCGTCGTCTGATGAGAAGGTCCAAAATCCTGAGATTCTACCTTGACTTCACCTTGAAGCTGTCTATAAATGATGCCTATTTTCATATTTCATCAGTCTCGCTCTCATCGTCTATGTCTTATAACAAACTTACTGCTATTCTTCTTTCGGGTACCACCTAAATCCTTATGCAACGTATTTAGAAACCATGACAAGAAATCAATAGCGTTACTTTGTTCTGTCAATTTAAACCGTTTTCCACTTGCATTTGAAATTTCCTGCAAGAGTTCATGAGGACTGACTTGTCCTTTAAACGCCTTAGGGTTCCACATCTTTCGAATCAAGGCACTTAGTCGACACACCAGTTGCGACGAGCCCTTTTTTTCAAAATCGGTCAGGATGAAGTAATCACGAATGGGTGGAATATGAGCCATGGCTTGAATAATCACATTGACATAATCATTAGCCTTCACATTGTTTAATCCTACAAATCCAGGCAAATATTTCTTATTGTTTAAATCGTACGACGTTTTGAAATTCGTGTCTAATTCAGCTACTTGCGCTTTCGTCAATGTTGGGTTCAAGACGTACTGTATGTTTCTTTATTTTAGTCTTTATATAGGACTTGTTTCTTATTACTATTTGTTACCTTGATATCGTTAAGTGAAGGATTATCGACTTCATAACCGTCAGGAAGCACGTACACCTATACATGGCGCCCTTGATGAGTTATTGTGTGGGGATCTTTATTAATAAAAAAAATACCTTTAAAGTGGACAAATTAATAAAGACGTGATGATCTTTATCCATACTGTGAAAATAGGCATGCGATGATTTACCGCGTCCTTGATAGTACTTTCCACAGGTCAAACAAGCATACACATTGATTTGTGAAAGTGAAACCGAACACACTTTTTCAAAATCAAAGTCAAGCATGTGGCGATTGATCGTGTCTAAATAAAGATCGGTCGAATCTGTTTGTTCCACTTGTTCGTCATGTTGGTCTCCAGGTGGAGGTGTAGAGTCTAAACGAGCTCGCTTTGACTGCGGCTCGTCTTCAATAGTTGTACGTCTATCCATGGTGCAAAAAAATTAAAAAATTGAAAAACAGAAAAAAGCTGAAACTTTTTTCATTTTTTTTTTCATGTAGTGTTGCACTGAAAAAATCTCTAAACTTTGTATTCATTACGAACAAAAAAGCGCGTCTGATTTCAACATCTGACAGCCAGACTGCCTTAATGATGCAATAGATAATGTTTACTAGCTAACGGTCTTTTGTGCGGCTTGTTTTAAACTTTCGAGCTAAATGTATATCCTGTCAAACCAAATATACTCTAGTTTCTTTAAAAGTCTTTTATCCTTTACTGGCTAAACTTGTAAATCATTACGCAATTCCTCATTTTTTTGTTGACACACTAGTGAAACCTTGTTTGCTGACGAAAAATACATCATTGACCGTGTTTCTAAACGCCGATCATCCATCATCTATATAATGCCTACCTGTCTTGTTCTTTTTTTTTTCTACTTTATCAACTTTTAATCATTTAAAAAAAACTTACCTATCATGAAAGAAACACTTACACGTGAACAAGCTATCTGTATGTTCTACCACCAGCCATATGAAAAGGAGAAGGCCAAGGAGTTATTGAAATCTGTTGAAAACATCTATACTGAAGTATGCTACAAGGATGATCCTATTAAACCTTTCCTGTGTCCCGTGGAAGATGTCATTACCTTTCAATACCATCAATACCCATTGGAAGATGACTTACACGCCTAATCCTTTGCTTTGTACATATTAGCGTTATTTTAGCTTAATGCACCATATCCCACTTTATTCTTTGCTTAAAATAAAAGTCTCTTTATAAATGCTCGTTATTTCTACACTTGTTGACCCTTCAGACTTGTTGTTTACGAGCACATCGAAAGTGTGTGTATATTGTTTGTGTATCAATGACATGCTACTTCTAATTTTTATATACCCATGACTGATATACAGTTCCAACTTTAGCGTATTTTAAGAATACTATCCCTACCTTAAGTAACCCGCATTATGTTATCTTTTAAGAGAATAACTGACTCCTAATTATTACCAGAAACTATTTACGTGATTTATTATGAGATTTACTAAAACAATTCTTTTACGAGAAGAAGGACCAATGCTACCACAACACATTTTCCTACTACTGGCTGTCTTCCTGGCTATCGCTAAAAAAAGTTAAAGGATCCTTTACAAGAACTGGCGCATCATAACCTTTACGGACCAAATTCAATAAGCTTGATTTTCCCTTTTTTCTTGTCTGGATTTTTTGAATTATCATATCAATTTTATCTTGCAGTGCTAACATTGTCGAGAATATTGAAGGACAAAGCATAACTGTGCTAAATCACACATATAGATTATACATATAATAAATTCATATCTCATCATCACTGATAAATGATAGCTAAATCATAATCAGGCATAAAAAGGAATTCGCTAAAGCCGGTCACTATTTTAAAGTGTCACGGTATCGTAACACCAATGTCCAAACTTAAGACATGTTATTGTTATTATTTCTCTATTGACTATGCGTAGCACTAATTGTCCAATATAGATATTGTTATTGATAGCATACTCATATTGTTAAGAGTAGTATCCTCAGCCTCGTCCATTCCATTTATTATAAATACTCTTTATTTTTCCTCTTCTTAAATCTTTAGTTAACTTTAACATCAATAAACTCTGACAAGAATTCTAATTGATTCTATTGTTTTTTTCTACCTTTTTTTCTGAAAAACTATCCTCTTTAAGCCTACTTTTGCTACAATAACTTCATAAGAAGATCGAGGCAAAGAAAAGGTTTGTACTTCACGGCAGACATAAATACCATCGTATTTCAAGTACATAGTATACAGTTGGCAATCTAAGCCCGTCAATAATAATCCAAACACCATGGGTTCAGAAACGTTGATATAAATTAGTTCATTGATCATCTTTTGCATTTCTAAACGTAATTTGATGAAATCATCTTGGTGGGGAAAATAAGATTTGCTGTTCAGTTTTGCTTCAACTATAAAAAGATCAACTAATTTTGTGGATCGAGCAGGGTAAGATAGCTTGTAATCAGGTATGTAATGTTTTGAAGTCTCTAAACGTTTTGTATTACTGTTTACAACATACTTTTGAGCGTAAAAAACATGTTGAAAAATCATTTTTAATCTGTCTAAAGCATTATCTTCAGTATCATTTTTATGTGGTGCTCTGTAAAATTTCATGATATCTTCCAAGAATTCGAGGTGTCTATTGACGCTTTGATGATCTGATTTCAATGCATATTCATTCATTTCTAATAACTTCTGTTCATAACCTGATGTTTGAGTTTCATGTAACTTGTATGCCCATTGCACTGCTTCAATAGGGGTTTCCATTCTACGAAAAACGTCAGTTTGTGCTAACAGGTCTTCATGAATTATTGGTGTTAAACTGGTTATAGACTGTTCAGTTGTGGGAGATATAACAAATATATGAGAGAGGGTCAATATACGAACACTTGATATTCTTTCGAGATTTAAAGCTGCGGAAAATGACTCTTTTCGTAATTGTTTGAAGTTTTCTGTTATGTTATTGTTGTTAACAATCCAATCTTCATTCCTTCCAGAAGACCACTCTTCAGACCCTTCGCCTTGCAAGCACCAATAGGAACAGTTTGCGTCAGGGTACTTATCGTCTGATAAGAATGACGGAACCCCATCCAGCAAATCACTGTCGTATAATTTATCAATAACCGTGGTATCGTGATCATTCTCGCTATCTTGATTGATTGTATTGTCGTTTTCTGTATCTGACTCGTCTTCTTCATCTAAAGAAGTAGTGTTCATCGCTTTGTAAACATTCAGTGTTTGAGATGTTGCAAACTTAGTAGATTGATAGCTTGATTCAGATATAGATTTCTTTTTCAACTGCTGTTCCCAGAACTTGCTGCTTTCTGGTCCAGAGCGCCAGATCTGAAATTCTTCTTTAAGCTTCTTTTTGTAATTTTTGCTCACTTGACTTATAATTATGTTGTTGTAACGACGGTGACCATGTTGACGATCGGTTATGTTGAACTTTTCGAAATAACTTTGTGGTGTTAATGTCTTCACGTTTTTCTCACACCAAACAATGTCCTTTGCGAGTTCCTTAATCTTAGATTTTCCTTTCGTTTTTACTTTTGCCATTTTTCTTGAAAAAAATGAGGAAAAATCGGAAATGTCTAGACCTCCGTATTTTTTTCAAACGTATTTTTTTGTACCACTTACAGGAATTCTGGCCAGAAGACCAGCAGACCAGTATGATTGCACCTATTTACAGTCCAATCCCAGCTATTCACGGTTCGTGAGTTCCAAAAACTCAAGAACTCTGCCTAGGAGGTCGCCCTCCTATTGCAAAGACTAGCCGCAGCCGCAATATCACAATTATATATCTTTTTCGATTTAGCTTCTTTTCAAAGAAACAAGAGTCACTACTAAACTAACCTTTTTATGTGATCGGTTACTTTCATACGATAAAAGAAGTATGTTAAGGAAAAAGAAAAGGAGAAGAACAAAGTGTGTGAACCAGCTTTATTTATTGGTAAACAAGCTTATGTCAGGATGATTTCATTTGTCTATTTTATCATCCATAATGTTTGAGCCTTTACTTAAAATAGAAACAGTTGCAAAAACCTCCCAAGCAAGTCAGAGCTTGGTAATTGTCTATCTGCATTCCAGTAGTAGCTTGTAATGACAGTAAAGCAGATTTTATGGAAAACAGAAAACGATCATCCAATGAAGTTTAGATGATATGGCATGTCAATCGACGTGTAGACCATCACGTTTGAAAAAATACGTTTGAAAAAATACGTCTGAAAAAAATACGGAGTTCTAGACATTTCCGAAAAATCGCGTACCGACGTATTTAACTCCGCTGCATGACGTATTTAACTCCGTCGCGTGGCGTCACCTAGTAAAATCAATATTACAGTTTTACATGGTAATTGCTTTTACAAGTTTTTTTTTATCTCAATCAAGGCAATGTCTGGTGTAATTAACAAAGATCGTTAGCTTTTTGGAGTTTGACTCCTAAATTAACTATTTTGGATGGTGCATATATTTGTAAACTATTTATTACTATACGCTACCTAATAATACTTTTTTTTTTTTTTTTTTAGAAAGTTGTAAAGCTTGAAAAGATGCCCTGCATGTGTAAGGTTTTGTGGTATTCATGACATTTGACCATAAAATAGAACTGTTGCTCTTTCTTTTCCGAAACGTAATGTTACCTTTTTTTCTCAATTTAGTTTTGCCAACTAGGTTTTAAGAAAGGGTTCTTCTAGGAGATGCATTACATAGTAGGGCTATAGTACATTAATGGCATTTAACTGTATAGTAGATAACAACTTTTCGAACTGAAGTGCTCGGATACCTTCCTTCCTATGAGAAGTTTGTCACTTCAAGTCTAAGTAAGGGTTCTTTTCAAGTACTAAAAGATGCCCTGCATGTGTAAGGTTTTGTGGTATTCATGACATTTGACCATAAAATAGAACTGTTGCTCTTTCTTTTCCAAAACGTAATGTTACCTTTTTTTCTCAATTTAGTTTTGCCAACTAGGTTTTAAGAAAGGGTTCTTCTAGGAGATGCATTACATAGTAGGGCTATATAGTACATTAATGGCATTCAACTGTATAGTAGATAACAACTTTTCGAACTGAAGTGCTCGGATACCTTCCTTCCTATGAGAAGTTTGTCACTTCAAGTCTAAGCAAGGGTTCTTTTAGTTTGAAGAAATGCCCTGCATGTGTAAGGTTTTGTGGTATTCATGACATTTATCCATAAAATAGAACTGTTGCTCTTTCTTTTCCGAAACGTAATGTTACCTTTTTTTCTCAATTTAGTTTTGCCAACTAGATTTTAAGAAAGGGTTCTTCTAGGAGATGCATTACACAGTAGGGCTATACAGTACTTTAATGGCATTCGACTATGTAGTAGATAACAACTTTTCGAACTGAAGTGCTCGGATACCTTCCTTCCTACGAGAAGTTTGTCACTTCAAGTCTAAGTAAGGATTTTCTTTAGAGTTTACAACTTTAGGCCACTTGTTGTGGATATCATAGATATAATAATAAGGTTAGTTGTCACATCACATTAAGGATGGATAATAATATAAAAGTTACTCATGAATCACAGATTACCCCGCTTGTTCTCATCCTACTGTTGAAGTTTGTACATGGGTCACAACCCTGTGGCGAGTAAGTATTTATTCTACAAAAAGCAATACAATTGAATGTGCCTGGATTGTAGAATATTAATAGATCCTGAGCACAAATATTACTTTTGTCATTTGATGGTATAACTGTTGATCCCTCTGCTAATATTTATCTACTCAGTATGGAAGGGCTAAATTTAAAGACATGTTGATTATTTACTATCACCAGATTATTACATCATGATCCAATAAGGCGCTTAATATTCTCCCTAGAACTATCCCAGTTCTTTATATAAATATCCATAGTTTTTTCTCATAGACCATCATACGTTTTTTTAATTAATTTATTTTTTTCGTCCATAATAAAGTGGTATCCGAGTTCTAACAGTATCACTTTTGGGTTTTATTTAAATTTTGCTCTCCATGCAAAACACCACTACGGGTACACAAGACATTAAGTCTTCTTCTGTAAATCAGTTATGACTACCTTTTATAAATCAGCACAGACGTACATTTGGAGAATTGACTGAAAACATACGTAACTCTCAAAAAATGCACACCGACCTAATCATTACCGATTAGTACATTTTCTTACTTCCTTGGCTCTCTTCTTCTTGACCTTTCTTACTGCCAATTAATCACAATATAAAAAATGTCAGGATTGCATGATATCGCAAATACTATTAAGCCAGATTGAGGTTTATGTGAAATCAAATACGGAGATGGGGTGTCTAGGTTTTATAATGCATATAAGTGCTATAAATAAACCTAAATGAAATGTCAATCTAAAGTTTTTGTTTTCCTCTTTCCTATAATATTTGTTTTCTTTCGCAACGCTACATGCCCGCCTCTTCTACCGCTAGCAATTTCAACAAGAATAAGTGGTTAGAAACATATAATAGCAAGTAATCCCAATAAAGAAGACGCCAGTATAAGTTGCTATCAAAAAAAGAAAATGCCAAAGACTGATTGATAATGAGTTTTTTTTTTTTTTTTTTTTTTTTTTTCTCAAGCAGACACCGAAAGGGGGTGTTCGATTAACTTGGTTGAATCCTGCACAGATTGATTTTTCGGTAACAAAGGGGCGACGATGTAATGGAAAAGCTAAAGTTTCGGTTGTGGCGGAAAGAGGTGCCGGAAAGAAAATGATTAGTCCAAGACGTTTCACAGATATTGAGTTCAGCCATTAGAGTGGCAGAAGTCTAATCGTGACTTAGGTTGAAAATTGCTGTGTAACAGCTGGTACCAAAAAATGTTGTCTTTAACACATGCCGTCAAACAAAAGAACATGACAACCAAAAAAATAAAAATAAAATCCATTAGATCATAGTACTAAAGAAGGTCGCACAATCACATGTTTTTTCAAAGGATTGTCAGTAAATATCACTTGGAAGCCAATTCAAGGTGATCGCCTTTTATGACAGAGCGTTTATATCATTTTAAAACTTTATCTAGATCTAGAAAAGTAAGAAAGTTGGAGCTAAAAGTGTCATTGTACTATATGGTTAATGAAGTCAGTGATTGGCGAGAGAAGATTGCAAACCGTGACAACTTTTTTTTTTGCTGTAATTGGAAAAATAGCTACAATTGATGGATTGAAGACGCGAAAATCACCATTGTTCGTGTGAGTGAGGAGTAGGCCAAACACGGCTCAAGAAAAAAAAAAAAAAAAAAAAAAAAAAAAGCGAAATATTAAAACGGAGAAGCAGTGTAATTTTTTTTTTTTTTTTTTTATTGTGAGTCTTCTCTTATTTTTACATATACACATTGACATGGCCACACCGGCGATTGATTCAGCAGCAGCAGCAATAGTAGCAGCAGAACCTCAGCCAGTTCAAGCATATGCTAAGTTAGAAGGAGACGATTTCTGCTATTACATTCGGACACTTCAAGTGACGTTGGGCAGAAAAGTCAAGAAACCAGATAATGTGGATATTCCGCTTGGAAATATCAAATCCGTCTCTCGTCAGCACGCGCGATTATTTTATAATTTTACCACACAACGATTTGAGATGATGGTCCTTGGTAAGAACGGTGCATTTGTCAATGAACAATTTATTGAAAAAGATGTCACTGTTCCTCTGGAAAACAAGTATAGTATTTACATCCATATATAATTTTTTTTATAAGCCTCCAACCTTTTTTTTTTTTTTTTTTTTTTTTTTTTTTTTTGTAGGACAAAGATACAAATTGGTGAAGTGTCCTTCATATTCTTATTACCACGCATGGAGTTAGAACAAGCCGAAAAATCAATACCCATTGGATACATATCAAGGCCACAGCAATTGGAGAAAAAATCTTCAAAAAAGCGTGAGCGATCACCGATGGATGAAGATGACGGTGAAGGAGACGACAACGAATTTAAATATATCAAGCAAGAAAATAATAAACGAGACATGAATCCAGAAGATTGGGTCGAATCTTCTTCACCTGAAGATCCTTCTCTCTATGTCTCAAAAGACGTCAAACCACCCTTCTCTTATGCTTCCTTGATCGCACAAGCAATTAATTCTTCTCGGAATAAACGCATGACTTTAAATGGCATCTATACCTTCATCACCACCAATTTCCCTTATTACCAAATGGCATCTAACGGCTGGCAGGTAAAGATTTTTCCTTTATTCCCAATCAAAACCCACACAGTGTATTTAAAAGTCCAATTAGAACTCCATCCGTCACAATCTATCATTGAATAAAGGGTTCGTCAAGGTACCACGAAAGGATTCTGAACCCGGTAAAGGAGCCTTTTGGACAATTGATCCCATTGCACAAGACATGTTTAAAGGTAAAAAACATCGCTTTGAAGAATCCGAAGATGAAAACTCTCTCGTTCCCGTCGAATCAGACCCAGAAGAAGAACAAGAACCGCCAGCAGCAATAGCATTGCCTAGCCAGATACCCACCATCGAGCCTGAATTACAAGCTCAGTTACAGAACACCATCCAACAGCATCTTTTGGACCCAATAAGTCATCCATTACCTCCTTCCATCGCCGAATTATTACCTCATGCTATATCTCAATTACCTCCTCAATTAGCAAAACAGCTTTCTACTACTTTACAATCCGCTTTAAAAAAGAGGTTCAATCATACCACAAGCACATCTCCCTAATAAAATTATTTATCTTATTCTCTCTCTCTCTCTCTCTTTTTAATTTTATCATTATTTATTAATATTATATGTATACATTTTTTTTTTCAGTATTAAGTACGGTGTTTCTCAAATCCTTGAACAATGGTCTCCAATGATTTGCCTTTAGTTTCAGGCAAGAACACCAAGGTAAATACAAAGGCAGCGGCTGCAACTACAGCGAAAATTACAAACGAGTAGCCTGCAATTCGAGCAAAGATAACAGGGAAGCATTGAGCAACCAAAAAATTCATGGCCCAATTTACACATGTACCAATACTACCGACCGACGAAGAAGCATAGGTAGGGGTTAATTCGGATGTCATTAACCATGGGATAGGTCCAATACCAATGGCAAATGAAGCCACATACAAGAACACACTGACCACCAACAGTGCAGGAATATTAAACACGTAGCCAATCACCAACAGCACCGAAAAAATACAGGCTCCTGCATTGGCCATCAATAAAAGGGGTCGACGTCCCATACGATCAATCAATGCAACAGATACACCCGTCATCACAAAATTCACCGCCGTCGTCACAATTGCCATATATTTGGAGAATTCAGGATCAAATGCAGTGCTAAAGATAGTAGTAGAGTAATACATAACGGCATTCATACCCACCAATTGTTGAAATGCGTGTAACATGATCACAGTAAATGAAATACGACGAATGACAGGATCTTTGAATATTTGAATTACGCCCATAGTATCGTTATTAGCACGAGCAGGTACTAATTGTTCATCAGTGGCATTGTTATCAAACACCTCCTCACTAGGTGTTGTGGTTAATTGATCCGTTTCTTGCGCAGGTTGTATATCCATTTTTTCAACAGGTCGATTATCCTTTTCAATCGGTCGAGTATCGACAGATCTTGTATCAGCTTCAGAAACTGGAGCAGCAGCAGTACGAGGACTAGAAGGAATCTTCTTGCTTTCTTCCCCACTTGTATCGACATAATTCGTCATGGATTGAGCTGCAGCACTACCAAAATATCCTTCTACCATGCCATAAAACTCACGATCCACATTGGCTGAGCCACGCAGTCTTTGAAGTGCCACGCGTGCCTCTTCAATTTTGTTTACCGAAACCAAATAACGCGGGGTTTCAACACATGTACTCATCAAGAAGAATTGCAAAATAGCGGGGATGGCCACAATGGCATAATTGATACGCCACAGCGGCACAGTGGCTAACGGTAATCCAATGACAGACGCCAAAAGAATACCCACCACAATAAAGAACTGATTGCAGGTGCCCATAGCACCACGCGCGTTGATGGTAGACACTTCGCCAATATAAGTAGGGATCGATAGTGAACCCATACCACAACCGATACCGCACAGGATACGACCAATGATAAACATGCCTTCATGAACAGAACAGCCGATCAAGACGCCACCGGCGATATAACCCAAGTTGTTGACAATAATAGCTTTTTTACGCCCGATTCTGGTTTGAATGGCACCACCTGAGAGACCACCAATTAACCCACCTACACAAAAAGAGGCGACAGCGAAACCCCAGAGTGCATTGTCCATTGGTAAACAATCCGGAAATGTCTTGTCAAATATGTGTGCATTGCCGTTGGGACAATTATGTGTGATTTCTCCTGGGATATTGGCAGATCCAATCACCCAACCATTACTAAACGAACCTAAACATGCCACAAAGACACAATAGATCATGTACTTTGGAAACTTTGCATCCAACGAGTCCATACTTGTTATTTGTTTGAAAAAGAAGAAGAAACGTTAACAAAAATTAATGTTCGGGGGGTTGTTGTGGGTAAATATCACGAATCAAGGATGAAACCCGTGTGATAACATTTAAATGAGAGGGGGGTTCATTTGAGCAAAAACCCAGGAAAATTAAAAAAAAGAAAAAAAAATGTTATAATTATTTATTATGATATATAGGTGTGGGGGGATTTACGAAAGTTGAGGATCAAAATTGGTCGTAATACTTGACCTTCTATTAAACATTATTGGATACGGTGTATTATTAGTATTATTCTGGCGCACACCCTATACGAAAAAAAAATCAAAAAAAAAAATGGTAAGTCAAAAAAAATTCATTTCAATTCAATATCACTAATACGTACCAAAGGATTCTTGCTAAATGAGAGTCGAATGCCGCCTTTGACAGAATTGGAAAGTGGGTTGCCATGGAGATCTTGTAAAGCCTGAGCAGCATAAATGGCATCTTCAAACTCAACAAAGCACATGGGACCATTTGATTTATTTCGAAACGATAGTCTTTTATAGCCAGGACACTTGTAAAACATGGACTTCAACTCATCCTCGTTGGTGTTTGGAGGCAAGTTGCCAACATACAGCGTATTGCAAGGTGGGTTTTGATCGGCGGGGTTGGAACTGCCTACCAACATACCGCCTAGACTACGATAGCTCGTGGTGGGTGATAGAGGTGAAGTCAAAGGGGTGGACATGGATTGATGAATAAATAACTCCTCCATAACTCTACTCAAACCTGTTGAAGTAGTGGCAGTGGGTGAATTAATATGAGATGAAATGCTATTGTTGTTGTGGTTATTGGTGCTGTTATTATGAGTATTATTAAATATGAAGGGAGTTTCGGCTGGTGTAGATTTAGAAAGATAGTCTTGATGAAAATTAGAATGAAATCGAGTGGGTAATGAAGGTGGTTGTTTGGCATCGACACTTTGGGAGCGAGAAATAAAAGTCGATTCATAAAAATCGAATTCATTAGGAGATTGAAGTGATTGTGGCACAGAATAAAATGCTTCATAGGCTGTTGTTCTTTGCTGTTCATTCAATCCTCGCTTCGTGTGTAGATTCTTCTTGGCCATTTCTGCCTTTAAAAGACTGTTCTTTTCTGAGTCCACTTTGCGCCCATTCAATATATCCCTCGCATCCATTGCTTCTTTACGTGTACGGAATTTAGCAAATCCAATCTTTTTGTAATACACAATCTTAGTAAGCCACTTTTTGCACACACATATCCCGGATAATTAATAATAATAAAAAAAAAAAGGTTGCTTACTATTTGCTTTCGTCCGTTGTTCATGAGGCAATCCTCTTCATCTTTGCCATTAGGCACTTTTAAGGTAGCCGCTTCAAAACCGGGAGAGAACATAAACATGTTTTGAAATTCCCTTTCTTGCATGTCCTCAGGAAAGCCGACCACAAAAATAGTCGAAATATCCTCCTTGGTAGGTGAAACAAGACCATCCGCTTGCATGTAAATCAGTGTGTTCAGAGGTGTCGGTGAAGCCAACGAGGTTGGCGTCAACGGAATTTGACTCATCACAAAGTAGAACAAACAACAAAAAGAACAAAAAAAAGTGGGTCGTTTAAGTCGCACCCTCAAATGGGATTTTGCTCCCCCGCTCATTTCCCCCTCTAAAGTCAGCCACCCTTTTTGCATTTTCTACAACAAACAAGCGCATCGTACCAATTTACCTGAATTTAATTGGGGGCAAACTCAAACTGCCAATGTCACCTATTCCCATCAGTGCCATCTCTCTTTGCGTACTTTAAATCATGTACTATTACCACTAATTAATATTGCCCAATCAATGAAACTCTCGGTTTGTGATTCTACCAATCTCTGTTATCTTGCTACCTAACCTTCAGGACCAGCTTACCCAAACTTACTATTGTCACTAAATAGTCTATGGATAGATACTCTGATATGTATCCACAGCTAGCAAGCTTTTGTTTTGAACATTTATAGGCAAGTTCACACACCAAGTATGAATAGAATCTGTTTTAGTGCATTTTATCGACAACCTTATTATTTGGTTACACAAAGTCTCGCCATCACAAAAAGCCACTGTTAATGCTCATATAAAGCACAGAAGATAACATGTTACGCACTCAAATATGTTAGGAAATAATTGGGGGATTTAATGGGAAACATACGGTTTCAAAAGTATTATTAAAGAAGCAAGTTTGTTAGCTATCATGTGAAGACGTAAGCAAAAATGTCTTTTTGCATAAAAATGGGCATCCATAGTCCGAAAAAATTTCCTTCAAAATGAACTGCGCGTAACAGTCTTCAGCTGTTGGTTGATCTTCAGTACAAAGTTAGTAAAACTTTAAAATGTCTCTACTGATGAAAATGCCTGAGAGGGGGATTTCCGGAGTAAACGTCCTACAGGTCGTCTTCTCGTCGCCCTTTGCGGGGTTTCGATTACTTAGTTGCAGGCCGGCGGTTGGTTTTCGTTCTGCTTTTCTGAAATAAAGAATATAATTCTCAAAATAACCAGTACTTCTCTTATACGGTATAAATTAAAATGTCTTTATAAAGAGGACACGCTTTCTCTTTTTATGTTTTATACAAATGAACATGGGGTCCCAGTGGACTTGAATAATGGCGGAAACATCTTGATTCTGTTTGTACAGACATAATCACAGTTTTAATTGATCTACACCCATACTTGCTAATTCCCTTGCTATTCTGGGGAAAAGGTTGCAGAACTGCATGGTCTTTTATTGATGTATAAATCATGACGCGATACAACGAGCTGATATGATGAAGGGATCAACGGACGGACCAATTATTCCAATCGTCTTTGTGTTTATCGACTCTTGCAGATATGTCTTGCGAAAGGACCACATCGGGATCGTCTGAATTAGAATAAAAATCCTACACTCGAACCGTAACTTAATTTTTGATTACTTCGTCTACTTACAGAAATACTAACTGTGGCCTCCTTATTGTTCTGTGCTTATAAAGTTGTTTATCGTCTACTATGTATTATTTCCGTGTAATCGCTAATTCTGTCTAAAAAAATAGTCTACTTAATTGGGAATACAGTTAATGTAATTGTAATGATAAATCCTTAATAAAAATACAACTGCACATTCGTCAGTATCCCCAAAATTACCATTTACATTCCCGTTAGCTGAATGATTTTGAACTCTCAAAAAATCCCACTTTCAGCTATGCATTTGACATATTTGAATTTAAGCAGCATGGGTGTATCCATTGCTTAATTATGTTTTGCCGGGAGTAAAGATTAATTATATAGGCCACTGACGAAGAGGATTGATTTTCAGAACTGAGTGCTATCATTAAACATGTACCAATGGCTATGTTTATGTTAGTATTATACCCATAGTTCATCCATCGTTCTCTTGATCCAACGTATTCATATCCATTGTTTGTAACTATTCTTCCATTTTTACATACAAATACAATAACAAAAACATCAACTTATGCTGGTTCAACTTGCATTTTGGCCGGCTATCGTGGATATAGAAAAAAAAAGTTGAAAAAAACTTACAAAGCAATCTCGGATATTTTGATTTTAAGATCAACATAACAGTGTTAGTAACGCGATGAGGACCAACAATAACTAGCTGCTGATTTTGACGACTGTAAACATATGAATGACTACTATGCTGTCTGATAATGTGCATTTGAGAAGGATGTGCTAGTATTTAAAAGGATGAAAAGTCATAATGCAAAATGGTTGCTCTCTGGTCCGGAAGCGGTAAGGTATACAGCGAATTAATATTGATGCACGCTCACAAACTGATCCAGTTATAACTTGTACCCTGAAATAGCACGAGTCAACTTCTTTGTGTCAATCACTAAGAACTATTCTCTTGATAGACACTCACATCGGAATAAAAAAACAGCGATGATAAGAAGCAGGGTGATCAAGAAATTACGTTTGCATTTTAATGTTGAAGAGGATTTGACAATGGCGTTTGAGCCTAACACTTCTCATATCATCTGCTGGTTTCAATTATTACGTATTTCGTCCCAGCAAAAATAGCCAAAAGTCATCCAAAATACAAGTCGTAAAACTGCTCTTCAGAAGGCCATTCCATCCACTCTAATAAATATGTCGTAGAAGAGTTGAATGTGCAGAGAACACTGTTGATACCATTAATGCCTAAAGCTGTTTTTTTGTCCGTATATACGTCACCAAATGATATAATCAGACACCTCATTTTTCTTGAAAGAAGAATGAATAGTGTTCCTACTTGCTTTTTTAACATCATCATGTTCATACTTCTCCGTAAGATCGTCGTTATATCCATTAATAGTCGTGTACCATTACATTTCAATTTTTTTCAATGAACCCTGTTCGTTTCTCCTACATCACATCTCTGCAGTATATCCGTAAATTACATACTCATTCGATTATCGCAATTATCCTATATCTAATATAGTATCTCATGTCGCTCAATTATGATTCTGCTATTATTGCATCTTTTAGACCTTTTTTCTTCACAAGCATGTCTTTCTTGATGCTTTGTGTACATAATATGTATTATTCACACTTTCACACTAAACAACACTGCGAAGACACGCTTTTGATCTCAGAGCGTTCACTGACAAAATAACATGATTTATTCGGCAATCTTTAAATTATCAGTCTGGTACCAGTGTTTATAGAGAAGTGGGCCAAACCAGCCCGACTAATTATTAAGCCAATGTCCCCAAAGCAGCTCAAGCGAGTAAAAAAAAATAGGAGCAATAAAAAAATAGTAGATGCTCATAACTTTGATGACAGGTAAATCTGGGCCATTTCTCAAAGACATATATCTAAAAGTTTACATAATAGATTCACTTTATATTAATATAAAAATACATTCAGCTCCTGCTGGATTTTTCAAATTTTAAAAACTAATTGTACTATGATTTATTGAAATAAGTTTGAGACTATGCTTGCTACTATTATTCTTCTTCTTCTTCTTCTTCTTCCTCTTCCTCTTCTTCTTCTTCCTCCTCCTCTTCTTCTTCTCCTTCTTCACCTTCTTCGTTTTCTTCATCTTCTCCTGTTAATGCTTGAGCGACTAAAATTTCTGTATTCTTCTCTATTTCAGCTTCCTCACTAGGCGAGAACCAGCTCTTGCTACCCTTTGATCCGATCTTTCTTTTTGTAACTGCTTTAACCATGATATATAGTGTTGTTCTGTTTGAAGGGATAAATATAAAAGCCTATAAGAAGATGGGAGTTTATTCAATGAAAAAACTCGAGCTTATATACAAAAAATCTGATCGAATTGTTAAGGGCCGAGCCCAAAAGGCTAAATTTTTTTCTGAATATCCGGAAGATCTTCCCACCTCTGATTGTAAGATTTAGAATAAAGCATCGTTTGTACCACTTTTGATGGCTTGGACAATTTTTGAAAAAAGAAAGCAAACAACACAAGGATAAAAAGAACAACAAATAAGTTGAAACTTGAAAATCATCAAATTTTATCTAGATTGTACCACAGAATAAACTTGAGTTGATTTTGCAAACATGTCGAGTAGCTTCAATAAAAAAATAGGGAGGGGTTTCAAAAAGCAAATAAGTTAAATGAAATAAATATCTAGCAACCAAGTAGCTTGAAAGCTTGTATTTGATATTAGAAGACTCGATCACAAAATAAAATTATAATTAGTAACAAGATAGCTGGTTAGGCTTCATTCTTTAGTAAATTTGTTCCGGACTACTTTTACACAAATCGTGCCTTACTTTGGTATTGATGTGCGCTTGATATACCTATGTTTTACAAGACATACATGTACACTATTATTTGTGCAAGTAAATCGCAGCAGATTTTATAGTACACAAATCACAAAAGTCGGGATCCAGCTGCCTAACTACGCATATGGGCATTATATTTTCTGGTTCGTGATACCATGAAAGGGTTAAGCCATGGAGACCCAGACGTTATGTGGTACCGTTCCACTTTTAATTTTCACCAATTGTCACGGGGAATGTATAGTTAGACTGGAAAGAAAAAGATGGGGTTTCTTAATAAAAAGTTCAGGCCGGTGAGTTGATTAAACTTAATTAATCTTGAAACAGTGCTTTTTCTCGTCAAAAATTCTCAAAGTTTTTTTCAGAAAATTTTGGAATATATCTAATGGCGAAATTGATACAATAAATCTATTGCATCGATCCAAAGCAATGATACGAACGAATTTTTGTGATGCACCAGCTCTAATTCCGTTGTGTGCCACTAGATACGATCTGCTGAAGAATTAAACATACACTTAAAAGAATTATCAAAAGACCATGATCATAACAGCAGCTCATGCTTATTAACTCGTTTGGTTTGAAGATAGCACGAATTGATAGAGGAAGGACACTTTTTTGTATTTATAATGATATGATGCATACGTGTGTAATTTTTTTATAACGATAACTGCCTTAAAAGCTTATTATAGTAAAACTTGTCTTCCGTTATGACCGCTTGCTTCGCCAAATCATCGTTTGTAGCATCAGGTGTTCGGGTTTTGGTGAGAAATTTTATTGTAAAACCAAGATGAAAGTCTAAGCCTTCCTCATTACAGCTTATTCCAAAATA